CAGAGAGCACGGTAAAGAATGACATTGTTTTCAGTCTGGGTGGTATGAAGGGGTGGCTTAATCTTACCTTTGACCTCATGTCAGCAGATGCATTGCCTGACTGTGCTGGTCACTAATCCTTCAGGTGGTCTCCTGAATCTGGGTGGTAAGGTGAGGTCAGCTTAACGCGGTCACTAATTATGGTGTTAGGTGAAGTAAGGGCCGCGGGGCCCCCACTAGCACGGTGCCCGGGCGGTCGGACTGGTTGCCATGCCCTCGGGACGGCTCTGCTCACCAGCACCAGTCATCTTAATTCTGTTGGTTGTAGCACTTGTGAGTACGTTACCCGCCACTATTATAATTTTTTTGACCTTCCCTTTTCACACCTCAGCGACCCTGAGTTTTTGTTGTTCTTTAATCAGTACCAATATTCCTACACTGATGATGCTGGTGTTGTTCCTTTAAATTTACTGGACCGTATGTGTTACACCCCCGACACAATACTCCCTCGTATTGACCCTGATGCCTCTCTACAACACTCACTGGGTTACACCAACCCCAACTGTAACTCTTACTCACCTTTTTACTTTATCCTCTTCACCAAATGATCGGCTCGTTAGCCGCTTGGGCGATCGGTCACGTCTCTGTTACGCACTGTTGGCAAATACTGGGCATGCACCGGCTCCTGAATGTACCTGAACCTGCTCCAGTGTTGGTCAAGTCTTGTCTTGAAAGAGCTCACACTCGGTGCCGTCACAACACTCTCTGGTAGATTGTTCCAAGAGTTCACAACTCTCACTCCGAAAAAGTTTGCCCTCACAGTTTTCTTGACTTGCGGCTTCTTCAATCTTGAGCTGTGACCCCTTGTGGGGCGAGCGTCCGCCAGCTCCAAGTAAGGGCACTCGACTGAGTAGTGCCCCTTGAGATGCTTATACACCTCAATTAGGTCACCCCTTGCCCGCCTGTAGAACCGACTCTCCTGAGTTTAGCTTTGATCTTCTACTATCTCATTCCTTCTCCTTAATTAGCCATAACATCAGTAGTATTCTCCTTCACTTAGATACCTTTTTAGATCAGTGTATATCTTCTGCCCACAAATTTCATGTACTTGGGTTCTGCGTCAACACGTCACGACACAGTGGTGGTGTCGCTCTGCATGTTGATATGAAGTATAACACTTCTGTAAGAGATGATTTAAAGGTTCAGTGTCATGGTCACGTTTGTGTAATAGTCCGTTCAACGCTTAAGTATTCATATTATGCTACATCGCCCACAAAATATATGAACTTTTGAGTCCCCCATGTGAGACGTTCGTTCTCTAATCACTTCAGTATGGCTTTGACCTCCGTTTTCTTTTCGTGTAATCTATCAGTGACTCGGGTATTTCTGTATACCTCCCAGGGTGATCCCGAATTTGAAATTGTGAGTGAATGAATTTATTGTACGGACAAGTGTTTCTCTCTTCCTGGTTGGCTTGATCCTTTGGGTGTGGTTTCGTTTGCTTGTTTGATGGACGGGCTGCTCGATAGAAATATCTTGGTCCTCTGTTGTGGGGGGCTTGTTAAATTGAAGTTGACAATCTTTTCCTCCTCTTTCTGCTGTCTTGGACCGTCACTCGCGAGTGTCTGGGTCATGTTCTTCGTGCCATAGTTGTTCGTAGATGTTGAGGAGGTGACCGTGATAAGGTGTTCGTCTGCCCCGAGAGGCCCGTGTTTTTCTTGTCTCTTGGTAACTTGTGTCTTTTCTATTTTTTTCTTATCTTCTTGTGTTTTTGTTTCTTTTTTTCCTAACTTCGGTGTAAACTACATGGAGAGCCTCCTTGTAGCGAAGTTTCTTGTTTTGGCGAACCTTGGCTACCCTGCACTCCTTCCACTTGGGGCAGGTCCAGTCGGCAGTCCCCATTTTGTGTTTTCTTTTAAGATCATTTAAAATGTTTCATTATGTGTTTCGGTCGTCATTAATTCCTTTTATTTTGTAACCGTAATTTAAATATCCTGAGGTGGCATGTTTGGCACATTTTTACATTTAAACCTGATTATATTGTAGGGTACGTGATGTTTGGTTCACACTCAGGATGGGATGGAGAAAGGAAACTCACAGTGTGCTCTCTGTATACATGTTGTATTGGATGTACAGTGCAGCTTGGTGCTGGGAAGGCAGCATGGTTACAAGCGTGATGTAGAGAGAGCTGGTTGGTGAGGACGCTCAGAAAAGGACAGCTTGTGGGTCGCCATGCTCGCCGGCTGGAGCGAGGGCCGCCAGGCAGCGGCGGAGGAGGTGGTGTAGCTTGCTGCGGCTGTAGCTAGAAGAAGAGTGGTCACCACGAGGTCAGGTCTTATATAGCGGAGGTAGGCGTGGCTTCATAGTTGACCTCCGTCATGTAAGGCGGCGCTGGTTGACCTAGACCACGAGGCATACACTGGGGAATTCGCGGGGTCGGCTTCTCAGAGACAAACAGCGTTTGTAGGGGAGATATCCATTACAATATATTATATTATACTATTTTATTTAACTGATGAGGACTGCAGTTGTCAGTCGAAATTTGTTAATATTATTGCAATTTTTAGTTTTATGATTCACCTGTACTGCATCAAAGCATAGCAGTGGCGAGGTGCTGGACAACTCGTACCCAAGCAAATTGTAGCCATCAGAAAATGTCAAGTCATACCCAATTCACGAGACAGTTCGTACCCAATACCCATATATATATATATATATATATATATATATATATATATATATATATATATATATATATATATATATATATATATATATATATATATATATATATATATATATATATATAATATATATATATATAAGAATAGTCCTTCGGGGCAACTTCTGATCCGCTACACCGGTATGCCTACTCGCGTTTTAAATTTGGACTTTGCGTAGCGATAAAAAGCCTATCTGGTGATGTTTTAAAAATTGGCACGGTGGCACCAGAGAAGCTACAGCGGTTCTACAGCATCACAGACATAATCAGGACCGAGTTACATGCAATAACTTTGATATAGAAGAGAAAAAGTCTACTGTGTGGCAAAGAAAATTATGTAACCATATATGTGTTGTACAAAACGCTTTAGCTAATAAAAAACTAGATGGTTTGAGAAAATGTAGCATAGAAGGGGTTGTAGTGGACGTCTCCCCTACAACTTCCTACAACTGCGTAGCCACAGCCACTACCTGCTACCGCCTCCCTAGCAACCAACCAGATGTTACCGTATCTTAGCAACGGAACTAGTCACCGGCGACTTCTCGGGTTTTCCCAACATGACTCATAGCGGCTGCTGGGTATATAAGCTCTGTCTCTCCATTGAGATTCATTCTGACCATCTTCTTGAACAAGCAACACCTCCTCGCTTCTCCTCGCCTGCCTGGCGGTCCTCGCTCCCGCCAGCGAACATGGCGACCCACCAGCTGTCCTTCACTGAGCTTCCTCACCAACCAGCTTTCTCATTCTGCCCATCTTCCTGAACAAGCAACACCTCCTCCAGCAACCTCCACGCTGTTAACATTTATTCAATCAGGAGGCCAGCAACAGGCAACATCTTCTCTAATGAAGCTCCTGCACATCTACCTCCTTCAACACGCTACTCACCGAACGTCTTCTACTGAGCAGCCCCTCACCACACGGCACCTCCAGCACCAGACTGTCTAACATATAACTTATATTATATAAGAAAACCACATTAGAGTTTCCTTCCATCCTGAGTGCTAGACAACATTAATATCTCGATACCCCTACAAATGGTGACTCCCGGAGATTAGCACTCACACAGGATGGAGGAGACACTGATCACGCTCCCAGTCTTCAAGCAGACACTGGCTCCTCTTCCTGCCCCAAGCACCACATCCTGATGACCCCAGCACACCGTCCTGCCTCAGACGCCGACCCCGGCCCAGCAGTAACCCCTGCCGCCCCTGCCGCGGACTCTGTTCCGGAATCCAGACCCACACACCCCTCTTTTCTCCCTCAGGTACTCCCTGCTAATGTCCTGCACCCTGCTGCTGTCGTGGACCCAGCTGCTGTCACGAGCCCTATTCCGCTTCTGCTGACGCAGCCCCTGCTCCTGACCCAGGCCCACACACACCCCAGCAGGCGCATCTGACGACCCTGTACCTGTCGAGAGGGAAGCACAACATTCATCGCCTCCACACACCCTTTTTCTCCCTTCTCCCACAGATAGTGTGTATCTAGACAGTTGTATTTCAGCGATCGGCTCATCACGCCATCGCCGTTGTCTCACATGAGGCATGCACCGCCCGGTCTGCCTCACATGTGCTAAGCAACTCTACAGACAACAAGTCTCCTACACCGCCTGGAGGGAAGGGGGAGTATTGTAGTGGACGTCTCCCCTACAACTTCCTACAACTGCGTAGCCACAGCCACCACCTGCTACCACCTCCCTAGCAACCAACCAGATGTTACCGTATCTTAGCAACGGAACTAGTCACCGGCGACTTCTCGGATTTTCCCAACATGACTCATAGCGGCTGCTGGGTATATAAGCTCTGTCTCTCCATTGAGATTCATTCTGGTCTCTCTTCTTGAACAAGCAACACCTCCTCGCTTCTCCTCGCCTGCCTGGCGGTCCTCGCTCCCGCCAGCGAGCAGCGAGCATGGCGACCCACTAGCTGTCCTTCTCTGAGCTTCCTCACCAACCAACTCTCATTCTGGCCCATCTTCCTGAACACGCAACACCTCCTCCAGCAAGCACCACGCTGTCCAGCATTCATTCAACCAGGAGGCCAGCAACAGGCAACATCTTCTCTAACGAAGCTCCTGCACATCTACCTCCTTCAACACGCTACTCACCGAACGTCTCTACTGACCAGCCCCTCACCACACGGCACCTCCAGCACCAGACTGTCTATCATATAACTTATATATTATACAAGAAAACCACATTAGAGTTTCCTTCCATCCTGAGTGCTAGACAACATTATTATCTCGACACCCCTACAGGGTACTCATATCTAGCGCTTATCTAGCGTGTTCCAAGTGTCAATCGAGCGTCATATTGGGGTTGGCAACACTGGTGAGGGTCTGTTTACCGTCTACTGGGACGGTCGTCTGCCTGTGACCGATAGACAGTACCGGCTGACTCTTAAAATATGTTACGAATATCTTCCCGACTTCCACCTCGTGTGACATCTAAGGTTAGTGTCCAGTTTCTTCTCCTTCGAGGGTGAGGTGAAGATATACATTACTCCCCTTGAGTGTGAGAGTGTGTCAACCATCAGCTGATACAGGTAGCCCTAAATAACCCATTGAGTTGGATAAATCCCTCCATTCACCTATTGGGGTAATTAATCTGCATATGATTTAGTTATGATAAATAAAGACAAATTTATGGTAGTACACTGTTCTATCTTGATGTTAGAAATATGTTTTTCTGAATGTTTAAACTTTTAAGACATATTTCGTCCATGATATTTCTAATACCGAAAGAAATATAACCTAACTTAACCTACCCTTTTTTATGTATTAAAAGACAAAAGACAAAAAATCACCAAAAACTAACCTAACCTAACAGTAATAAACAGTAACCACAGAATTCCGGAAATTCACTCTTTTCAATCAATATACGTAACTATTTTTTTCTATAATCATTTTCTTATATTATTTTAGGTTAGGTAACACATTTTTTTACCAGATTCTTTGGTTGCTGTAATCTGCAATTTTACCACCTAACCTAGCCAAACCCAACAACCTAACCTAACCTAACTTATCATCTTAGGTTCTGCGAGCAAATGGCGGTCGACGACTGCAGTCATCATACTCGGGGGGAGGAGGTGCCAATAAAACCTTGTTCGCAGCAGCAGGAGCAACGTCACTTGTGGCCGGTGTTGTTGGTTACTCTGCTTGGAGTAATGACAACAGGAAGGTATGAATTTTATATGTTAAAAAGTACCTCCAGCCACTCCCCGAGTTATGAACAGGTTTCATTCCTGGGCCCTGTTTGTAGGTCAATTTGTTTGTATATTGGAACAGTGTCAATTCCATAGTTTAGGTAAGGTTAACACAACCCTGCCCATACTAAACAAAATAATGTACCATTTATAACTAATAATGTAAATATTACCAAAAAAAATATTAAACCATATAAATTAATGTAAAAAAATGGGAATTTAACTACAACGCTGTCCATACAAAACAACAGTAATAGCCCTTACATAATAAATAATGTAAATAAAGTACTGTAATGTTAAATAATACAGAATAATGAAGGTAGTAAACAATGGGACTTTTGTGATAAATATATTTGAATCCATTTGTAAGTGCAGGTGTTTTTCACTTGGGGTTCTTAACTCTGGGACTGTCTGTGTATGACAGGACCTCAAGAATTTTTGTGGTCCATGTTGACATGAATGTCTAGTCTTAATGTCCTTTTGTATGAAAAACCAATTAATTTGAAGCTGTTTTAATACATTTACTGTACTAACCTTGGTTGGTTGGTTAGTAACAGAAGTTTATTTTAAACCACGGAAAATTACTTTACATCTTATTGCTACAAATCATCTACAGTCCATACTTCACTTTAACGACTAATTGGTACCTCGAAAACGGTCTTTAAAGTGAAAATTGTTAATGTGGTGAGTATAGTTTGCAGGCTAATGAGTCAATTGGTACCAGCCCTCAGACACTTTCACCCCCTCGAACCCCTATAAACCCCACAAAAATTACAACCACTTACTCACACATTAATACTGCATGTAGCAATACTACAGGTAAAAGAAATAATTGTCCTAAGGGCATACAAGTAAAAATGTACCCCCCCCACCCCCCCGTCTGCAAATGTTATTCGGGGATTTGTCGATTCGCAACCATTTTGAGAATCTAACCCTCGTGAATTTGGGGGGCCCCTGTATTTTATTTACCTGATGACTTAAGTTTTTTACTTTCATTTACTGTATTTTGTCATTTTCTTTTTTTCTTTTGTCGTAAATTAAGTGATTTTAGATGTATATAAGGAGTTAGGCTATGATCTAGTGGGATTTTAAACATTGTTCTGTAAGTACGTTAGGCACATAGCATGTGTTCAGGAATGGAACCCTTTCGTAACCCGGGGATCCCCTGTATTCAATAATTGTAATGAGTTCCACTCTACTACAATATAAGTAACACTTTTAATTCCTCATATAAATATTCCGAATAAATTAAGGAATCTCATCACTTGGTCATTTTGTGCAGGGTGTTGAGAAAACCATTCCTGGCTCCAAGTATCTGCTTGATGTTATTCTTGGCCCAGAACAAGTACCTGCACCTCCTAAACCTTCTAAACCAGAAATTGGGCTAGTGAGGAGGAGGTTGGAACGAGAAAAGAAGAAAAGGCAGCAAGAAGAGGAAGAGACAACATCTATAGTAACTGATAGTGTAGCTGTCCAAAAAGGTAAGCATCATTTTTGATGGACTAGGGAAGGTAGCCTTTGGAAGAATAGCTATAAGGTAAGCTAGGTAAGCTTTAGGTAAAATGAAGATCATGCTTGAGCTGGAATATCCATAAATGGGAAGTGAGAGGAATGGAGGTAGTGATGGAAGATAATGTTTGACTAAAGAAAATTGACCAACAGTAGAGGTGGCATGGTGAAGAATGAAGTGTGTTATGGTTGGGATTGAAAGGAATTTTTATTGATTGGATAATGCTTAAATAGCCCTCTGTACTTTTAATTCTGGAGCTGGGTTTGGTAGAATTGAGGCTACTGGAGACAGCAGCAACTTAACACTGAGGACACAAGCCAATTTTTTTAGCCATTATTCAGACAGTAAAGTCATCCTATTTGTCATAAAATACGGTAACATGTGTATTTATTGTAAGACTACCGGGTATTTTTTTTTACTTTAAATACAAAATAAACATGCATAATGAAAACAAAATAAACATGTACACTATAATGAATACAAAAGAAACATGTTCAGTATAATGAATTTAAAATTATTTAATTTGGTATGCGGGATGGTGCCTTTTTTTTATGTGCTCACTGCCCTTGACATTAAAACCTGGCTACTCTGCTGTGTTATTGTTATTTTTCAACTCCTAAGTTTGAGTAGACATACATACAGGGATATCTCCATTAGCCGGAACAATTGGCGCAGAGCACTTCTGGGAATGAGAGATTTCCGGGTAACGAGACAACTCTCGAAGCTGGAAAAAATTTCCTCGTCCCCAAAATTTTCCGGGTACCTGGAAAATTTTATCAGAAGTTCCAGATCTTGTGCATTGCATCATATCTCGAACCTGGAAAAAATCCCTTATCCCTGGAATTTTCCAGATAATTCCTGCTTTGGGAATGATTTTCTGAGAAAATTTCAATTCCGGTCGGAGAGTTCCAGTTAAGAGGGATTCGGGCTAACGAGAGATATTACTATTTTACTCTGTTACATGCACACACAATTCTTCATACAGAATGTGCCAAAAAAAAAGAAGATTATCATGACGTCAGAAGCATAGAGAATAAAGCTTTCTTACATCTGCGGGAGTAAGTGTGCAGATTGTCAAAGAGGTCTGTACTGTACCTGAAAATTGCTTAACTATTAATGCATAATCTTATTTTATTTATTTATTTATTTTTTTTTTTAATTTCAATGTTGGGATAAATTTACATTTCTTGTTAATTCCATTGAGCCTGAGCCCCAATGATATTAAACAAACTTTTTCTGCTGATTTATTTTACGGTATTTTTAAAAAAATAATAATATTCTGCAGTAAATGACTTTGTATTTCTTTGTTACAGAACTTGAACCAGCTGTGGAAGTCTCTCTTGGTAAGGATTTTTCTTTTGGGGGGAGGGGTTCAAAATAGATATACATACATACTTTATGCAATAAACAAAACTTACTGCAAAACACATAATCCCTAGAATATAATTTTCCATATTTTCACATCATATGACATTTTCCGAGCTTTCTTGTGTTCAGTTACTACATAAAATTAAATGTACAGTTATGGATTGATTGATTGATTGATTGTGGTAATTACATCCCTGGCGACGCAACAGCTGTTTTGCCAAATTAAAATTAAGGATCAAAAGACAAATAAAATAATGTAAGATAAAAACACAATAAATAACATAGAACTTTCCTAAAACCATTTAAACATTAATAAATAAAACTCAAAGCTTGTGTAGAAGGCTGGCTTCCTCCTCCCAGCTGTTCTCTCTTATGCCCCATCAAGCAATTGCCAAAGAGCAACACAGTATTCTTTTATTTTTTTATTTATTCCTCTTATTTACTGGTATAGTATACTGTACTGTACATGTGACACAGTTCAGCTGGGCAGTCACCATGCTGATACAAGAGATGTATGTGGCTGCTGCCTGTATGCCATGACGTCACATAGGGGTGCAGTGAGAGTGCAGCTGGCCGCAGTTACAGCTCAATGCCTGAATACATACTGTCATTTCCTGCACATTTATCTTATTTTATTGTTTTATGTTATATTTTCCTTTTATTTTTAAGCTACATTAGAGTACTGTATTGTAATGAAGTGCACTTGGAGCACAGAATCCCTGTTTTTCCGACTTTCCTCCCAAATTTTTCCCAGTGACTTGAACGCCAGTAAACTGAAAATTTACAATCATTAATCAAGAAAGGGTGTTATAATTTTTATATTCTTAAACCAAAAAGTGATTAATTGTTAAACAAGAGATTTCTGTACCAGTATTTTAAAGGCGACATATTGGTTGCTACCTCATTATAACACTGATAAATTAGAGCTCTACCGAGGCTCAAAATAACTCGTATGCCGATAACTTTGTTGTACTCCACTGACAAAATATATATGCCTTGTGAGACCAAATTTAAGGCATTACCTACTGGATACCAGTACAGAAATTCATCGCGGGATTTTTCATTATAAAGGGACGTCCTCCCCAACTTTTAGAAAACAGTTACACCCCTGCATACCACCATGAAAGAAGTTCTATTGTACAGTTTTTGTATGGCGTTGGTCGATTAGATTTTCAATACAGTAACAAACATTGATGTGTGAATGTAATTTGTTACAGTAGAACCTCAATAAATCGGACTGATTGGGGCAGACCCCAGTCCGTAAAATGTGAATATATATTGGGGGGGGGGGGCTGGAGATAACGCTGCTTATCTGAGCTGTTTTGGTTGTCAACAACTGTTGCCACTGAGATGATTGTTATTTACTGTAAAGTGTTATATGCAAGTAACCACAGAATTTGTCTTATGAATAAAGAGAAAACTGTATACTGTACAGTACTATAAAGATACAAGTAAGTGTAGGAGTATATTGTGTGTGGAAGATGAATGTTTATCTGGGAGCAGAAGGGAGGGGGAGTATTACAGGTGGGTGATCTCTCCCCCAAGATTCCTTTTACACTTCTTTATGCAACTTTCACCACAATTCTCATATAATTAGGATCATTTGGTGCCAGGCTGATAAAATATTCTCCTTAAAGAATCAACTCTCCTGAAAAAAGAATCCCACGCTGAATTCCATGAATCTTTTGTTTGTTTACAAAGAGCAAACAGCTGATAGGCTTACCACAGTGTCTATCTTCATCACTTAATAAATTAGTACAGTACAACTGTTTATCAGCACTTAATAAGTAATGTTATAGTGTAAAGTATTATGCATCTGCATATACCCTGGTTTATTCATTAATCATTTGTCTAAGTGTACAAGTAGCCAAACTGAGTCATCATATAACACTCAAAGGTAGTAAATAACGTTTTTGGGGACGTGTCTTCATATCAAATACTATACAGTGTGTTATAGTGACCCCTGTTGTAAGCTGGTCTACTGAAAGCTCTCACAATAACACATCTTGAGTAAACAACCTTCTGACACAGCTTATCCTTTTATTTTTAAGTCATATTACATATTACTTACAGCATTGTATTTTTTTTTCTCTTACTGAAGATGCTATATTAATCATGATGAACCAAAACCATAAGAGGCTAATCATTGGAGAATATAATACTGAATCAATAAATAAATAAACCTGACGAATGCAGCAACACCTGATCAGCCCCAGCCTGCTTACATACTCAACTGTCTTAGTTCTCAGTAGGCCTATAGCAAATCTCATTAGACCACTGTACAGTATTCAGTAAGTGGTGTTCATTTCATAAGAATTTTTTATGGAGACCAATTTATCGAAGCTTTACTACAGTATTACAAACCAAGTAAATATTCTGTAGAAGATGACTTTGTATTCTTTTGTTACAGAACCTGAACCAACTGAGGAAGCTTCTAATGGTAAGAAAAAATTCTGTGTTGGGCTCGAGGTAAGCTTGTATGTGTAATAGACTAAATTTGATGCAAAACTTTTATACGGTAGCTTTCATACTTTTAATTCTTAAGTCACTCTTGTATTTGGTTATTTAAAAGAATTGGTAGTAAATAAAATGTAATGTTTCAATCTTCATTGTTATAAGCAAAGTGATAAGGAGAAAATGAAAGAAAATTTGATAGAGTACTTAAAGAAATCTGGATACACTTGTTTTGTGGGGAAAAGGTAAGGGACAAAGTAGACTGGCTGTTTACTAGGGAAAGTTATACAGAAATGTTGGGAGAGCAAAAGGCATGGTAATATTTGTCTTGAATGAGGAAGTAATGGAGTTGTGTCAAAAAAATTGTGGAATGATTTAGCAGATTAAATGTAGGAAGAAAAATGTGGTTTATAATAAGGACATACTGTGTGCACAGGGAATGAGAAGAGCGAGAAGGAAAGATAAACATTATGGGAAGACCTGCACTAGATGCTCCATTGATCTCACCCACAGTCCCCCACTGCTGAAGTATACCATGTGAACAGATGTGCCAAATCATAAAAAAAATTTATTTTTTCATAAATTTTATATATGCAAACCATCCAAGGTATTGTATTGTATTTACGTATTAATTTTTGGTGTTAAAAAGTCGCTTGTGAATTAGGCATTACAGAGGCTGGCATTAATGAAGGATGACATTGAGAGAAATTGCAATATACTGTACAGGCATCCCTTGATATACGATAGGTTGCATTCCTGAAAAGTTGATTAAGTCCTCCGGCAAGTGACCGTATATCGAACACATTATAGCATGGTGTCAATGGAGCTATGTTCAAGGATTCAGTCAAATAGGGCCAAAAACCACAATATTAATACACTTCAACACAATACTCTGTCACTATATTAAAACACCCTAACACCACACTATCACTATATTAAAACACCACACTATCACTATTTTAAAACACCTCAACACCACACTATCACTATATGAAAACACCCTAACACCACACTATCACTATTTTAAACACCTCAACACCAACTATCACTATTTTAAAACACCTCAACACCACACTATCACTATATTAAAACACCCAAACACACATTTCACTATTTTAAAACACCTAACACCACACTATCACTATATTAAAACACCCTAACACCACACTATCACTATTTTAAAACACCTAACACCACACTATCACTATATTAAAACACCCAAACACCACACTATCACTATTTTAAAACACCCTAACACCACACTATCACTATATTAAAACACCTCAACACCACACTATCACTATTTTAAAACACTCAACACCACACTATCACTATATTAAAACACCCAAACACCACACTATCACTATTTTAAAACACCCTAACACCACACTATCACTATATTAAAACACCCTAACACCACACTATCACTATTTTAAAACACCTAACACCACACTATCACTATATTAAAACACCCAAACACCACACTATCACTATTTAAAACACCTAACACCACACTATCACTATATTAAAACACCTCAACACCAATTATCACTATTTTAAAACACCAACACCACACTATCACTATATTAAAACACCAAACACCACTATCACTATTTTAAACACCTAACACCACACTATCACTATTTTACTCTTATCACTATTTTAAAACACTCAACAACACTATCACTATATTAAAACACCCTAACACCACACTATCACTATATTAAAACACCCTAACACCACACTATCACTATATTACAATATTAATACACTTCAACACAATACTCTGTCACTATATTAAAACACCCTAACACCACACTATCACTATATTAAAACACCACACTATCACTATTTTAAAACACCTCAACACCACACTATCACTATATGAAAAGCTTTCTTTTTACCCTCTGTACCAGGATGTATCAGTCATGTGTCCTTTCTGTTTGCAGAATGATGCCTTTTGGGTTTTGTCTCAGTAATTTTGATGTTGGTCCTTGGAACTGGTTACTGGTGCTACTGGCATACCCCTAGGAGTAGTTTCTACCGTATTAGAAATTTCATCCACGTAATCTACAAGCTTAGTCATGGGTTTATATTCTTTATTTCTGGCCACTGTGCGTTCAGTTGGTTCGAGCATGATGATAAACTGTTGGAACTCAATTATTTAAAAAACAAATTCCATTGTTATTTTTCCTTGGTCATCAAACCAATATGAGGATATCATGTAAATTTTTAGATAAATGACTCGAGGGATGCCTGTACCCCTGTCTTGGGCTATCACCCTTATAAATATGTTACACCGACAGAGACATCCAATATCCTATCAACAGGTAACTACAGTATTGTTTGTTACAGTGTCGGCTTTGACAGTCATTACCACAGAAGGCCAACTAACATCTGTGAGCTCTCCTCCAGCCCCAGAAAAACCAGGTATACATGCAAGCATTGGTTTCCAATTCTACCTCAGTTTTGCTATAGATTTTGCCATAATCTACTCCTAGTTTCATAATTGAAGATTTCTACATTTCTTACCCTAATTTTTCATCATCAATGTTTCATGGCTATTTTTCATGCTTACTTAGGTTGTCTGTGGTTACCTGTTTTGATGTTTGAGAATCATTCTGAGTGAAAAGGAAGTTTGAGGTCAGTAATCAGTGTTAGTTTAAAATTTAATCCTGACAGTGCAGTCAGCTTGGGTCAGTCTTCTTGTGTGTCATCATCAGAGAGACTAACATCCCCTCCCCTGACTGAGAACTGTTAGTGAGGTCAGAGTCAACACTTGTCAACTCAGGTCAAAATTAATCCCCTCCTCCGAGATATGACAGCTAGTGAGGTCGAGCTCAACCTGCTCCGGTTACAAGGGTTGACTTTAAAATGTTGTTAATATTGACGTCATGGTTCAGCCTGTCAGGTCATATATAATAAGGCAGTCCCAGCAAGTTGCTTTAGTTTTAGGAGACATTTGTGGATTGACTTTACTGGAAGACTTCTGTTTATAATGTAAGAAACAAACTTATCCTCTAAAAAGCATCACATTATGCTTTCTAATAAGATGTAAGAGATGTACAGGGCGATTCTTTTTTTTATTCGAAAACCCATAAATAATTCCTATACCCCCTGTACACTAAAATCTATATTAGTTAAGAATCTAATGCTTTGCATAAATGTAGCCTAATGTTGCAGAAAGATGTAACATGATCATGAGAGTTATCAAGTATCATGTGATTTATCACGTGAACAACCTTACGCAATGCACAAAAGGCCATTGCATTCTGTGAAAATTTTTATTTGGTGTGCAGTAAGTCGGCAAAGAATTATATGCCCAATTTTCATCTCAGAAACAGTAAACTTGGAATGTTACCTCAACATTATCCATGAGTTTCTTGGGCACCTTACAGATGAGGAAATCAACCCAAGTTGGTGCCACGAGTCACACTTTGCGTTACAGCATGAACGAGCTTAGGCTAGTCTTTGGTGACTTTGTATTGTCCCCAGATTTCTTTTTGTGAGATTTTTTGAAGGATATAGTATATGCTACAAATCCACTCACCCTTGGTGTATTAAAAGCAATAATCAGTGACACAATCAACAATATTTCTCAAGAAATGCCTGCAACTTGGTGGTGAACACTGTCACCACTGTATTTAAGGTAATAAATAATTTTGTGAATCATGTCACATCTTTCTGTAACATTAGGCTACATTTATGTAAAATATTAGGTTCCTAACCGATATAGTTTTTAGTGTATGGGAGTTATTTAGGGTTATCGAATTAGAACTCACACCTGTACAGTAAAAACTCAATAAATGGGACTTCAATATACAGTATTAGACTCCACTTTTTTTTGGACTCTCTGAGGTGCTCTGGACCTCAGCATCAGTCCGGACAGTTTGTGTTCGTATATGAAGTTGAACGTCTGTGCGTGGGTGTCCTGCAGCATGTGACACACACACACACACACACACACTAACTAACTAACTATAGCTGTCACGTCTTAGAATTTTTATTTCATATGCAAATTTGCGTATAAAACCCTTAAGCGATAATTTAAATCATACGCAATTTTGCTTCTGAAAACCCTAAGAATGTTAAAAGTGGCATCCCTGTAGTGAAGGGATTAAAAGTAAACAATGATAATGCTGTAATTTTTTTAAAGGTGTGAATGTTTTTACAGACAGGAAGTCCAGTATTGTATTTGAACTCTTCACAGTCAGCACATCTGGCATATTGACATTAGTCAACATTTTCTTGTCTATTGCATATATTTAGAGCTGCAGTTTTGTGAAAAATAAAGAGAATGAAACAGTGCTTATTCCCCCAAGAAGATACTCAGTAGTATAGGTGGATAGAGACCTAAATAATTGCCATGTGAATATGTGACCCAAAGGTTTACTGCAGTTTCAGATCTTGAGGAGAGAATGGCTGCTGGAGAAATAGCACAGGATGTAGAAAATGCGGCCTTAAGTCAGACATTAGAAGACCTGGCAGCACTAACCCAGAAAGAGATCACTGGTGCTCTTTCTGCTGCTGAGGATGCTGCCATGATCATCAGACAACATACTGAGAAGGCATATCAGGCCATTGATGCAGGACAAGATAAAGAACATCTTTTTGCTGCTGTTGCTGAGCTGTCAAACAAGCGAGTAGAAGTGGTTAAAAATGCCCAAGAAAAGATTGCTGCTGCTAGGTAAGTTCATTTTATTTTTTAGAGTGCCTACAGAGTGAAGCATTTGGCCTAGCTTTATCTGTTCCAAATGTGAGGCTGAGTATATATTACATTGTTGTAGGATGAACTTGCTTTTTATATTTGTTTGAATCTCAGAGTAGCTTATAACTCATTCTTACTTTGGTTGGTAAAAATTTGACTGTTATTGTAGTCCCTTCTTAACGTGGTGTAAAACTGATGGACCTCAAGATTTTAGTGACAACCTCCTTTCACTTCCAGAGATGTTTTATGGAAGTTATATTGGAGTTATATTTGAACACCACCATAGGCATATCTGTGCCTGGGTCTCATCCCAGGACAAAGTAAACAACAAAGTCAAGAATCAAATAGATTACATTTAAATTAAGGAAAGATTCAGAAATTCAATAACCCAAATCAAGATGTATCCAGGGGCAGATTATGGGTCAGATCACATCCCAATAAGGAGTTTAGTGAGGATAACACTTCAAAAATTTAAAAAAAAAAACTATGAACAAAATCAAATGGGATTTAGGTAAACTCAAAATCAAAAACATTTTCATACAGGCATCCCTCAAGATACAAAAATTCACTTATATGAATTTACTAAGTTGACACCAGCAACTTGAGAAATGAAAGCTTATACAAATTTGGGTCTGGGCCCAAATTCAATTTTCACACGCTGGGAGTCAGCTGGCGCGTCCATCATGGGAGAGGATGTGCTCACTGATCATAACCCCCCCCCCTTTTATCTCCCACAAGCCCGTGTCCTTCCATCCCCCATTCAATGTGTGTGTGAAGTGATCTCTCTTTATCTGTGTGTAGTCGTGCCATCCTTTCATTGTACCTTTCGTTATGGCATCCAACGTTCTGCTGAATCTCTGGCTACCGGCACTACGCTGAAGAAACCACGAAAGGCTATGACTTGTGACAAAGTTGGAAGTAAAGTAATCAAGTGTCGTGAATGTGGTGATGGTCCTACCAAGATTGGGAAAGGTCTTGGTCTGGCTGCTTCTACTGTGGCCACATTTTTTAAGCATGCTGAGAACTGTGGTGGCCTTGGTAGACAACAGTGATGAGGTTGAAAATCCTCATGTCGCTGAGTAAAGCCCCGTTTACACGATGCGACAAATCGTGGGTGGTGTCCCTGCGACACCAGATTTGTGTCGCGAGGGGGCAAAAAACGGGGGCATCCGGCAACCCACCAATGTTGGGTATTTGTTGCACATCATAGCTGCCCCAGTGCACAACAGTCTATCAAGCGAAGAAGATATATCAGCTTTCATGTTTTGGCCTATACAGCTTCAGTGGCATCAATAAGACATTATGCAGTTAATAGAACTGTATAAAGAGAATAAATGCCTCTGGCAACTGAAAAATAAAGAGTATTAAGACAGAAGTGCTAGAGATACTGTATAGCTGTATTGAAAATTTTTGAACACCTGAAAGACAACATACCACAGGTGACTGTTGCTGATTAATGTGCATAACTGTCATCCAGTACAGTTTACCACAGAATCTGTGGGTCGCTGTGTGGGCAGAAGGCAGCAGATTACGATTCACCATCCCCTCCTATATTATTTATATTTTAACAGTTCTCTTATTCCATGGTACAGTATGCCTGAACACACTATATTTCTTTCTTGTTTTTAGGAAATAGATAAAGTTTTTAAACTTTGTTTCGTGAATACTTGGGTCCACCGGTCCCTCACCTCTTATACTGATTTAGGTACATGTAATTTTATAGCTATTTTTTTACTTTGCAAGTATTCACAGTCTCTCTCCTGAAATAACCCAAGGCTACTGTAAAAGTTGTGGAACACATCTACTTTTTTTTTTTGCTTCTGACCCTTTCAGTACAGGGATGCCACTTTTAATATTTTATTTGGCTAATCCCAGATGATTTTATTCAGCAGAAAGAGGACCCACCACACAAACAGTTAATTAGTTGTTTGTCTTAAGGGATTTCTGTTCATGCAAATTCTGAGGTTAGAACTTTCTGAGAACAGCTGAATTACGACTTTACTTTACTATACAAATTTTAGAGGTTTTACCTTTTTCTTTCCTGTTACTTCAGAGAGGCAGTGGTGACGTTCCAAGAGCAGATTACTAGTGGTCTGTCCTCAAGTCTGACAAAGGAGAACAAGAGCCTGATTGCTGCAGAAGAAACTTTAGGAGAACTGAAGTATGCTCTGGAAAACATCAAAGCTATTGTGACAGAATCGGAGAGAGATGGCAAGGTTGTCAGTAAGTAGAGTCGTTGATTTAATTTATTTGTATCTTTTTTGTTTGAGTGTAATATGGGTCATAAGTGAATAACCCAAGATACACCAACATTATGAATCTTGTTAATGGCACCTGTAGTTTCAAAGGATATGATAAATCAGTGGCAGTAAACAACATTTATGCAAATAACAAAATTGTATTAAATGCAATACAGCCTCACCCCGTCACCTTGTTACATCCAGAACACATTAAGATTTATGAGATTTGGTTGTCAGTAACAGCCATGCAGCGACGGATCCAGGCATATTAAAAAGGGGGGTTCAAGAAGTTGTGGGTGGGGGAGCATGGAGAGCAGAGCGAGGCCACCCAGATGTGTTGGGGGGGGTCAGTGTCATAGGCATTTTGAGGCTATTTTGAAGCCATGTGCTTGATATTAGATATTCTGAGGTCAATAGTAATTACTTTTTACTATACAAAAATGCCTGAGTACAATATTGCCATGTGTGGTTTAGGTAGAAGTTATTAACCCTCACTAACATCCTGCATCTTACACTGTCTCACTCACTCAATTTCAATAAATCAGTCAGTTGATCACTGTCAGCCAGTCTCAATTAGTCAGTCAGTCTCACTCATTGATTCAATCTCACTCTCTTATTCACTCAGTCACTCTCACTCACTCACTCACTCACTCGCTCACTCAAGCAGCTGTCGCACTAGTCATTGAAACCGTTTGCTCCAGCACTGGATTTTTGCCCAGCTGTCCACTGGTATTCATGGATTTAGGAGGATTGAGTTAGACCCTCTTCACTGGGGAGTTAAAATACAGCATGCTCTTAAACCTCTATAGATCAATTTATATTTTTGTTGTAAAAAAAATTCTACTGTGATATTTATGCTAAAATAAGGATACCATAGATGACCACTGCTTATTTTAGTGATTCATACAATATATGCAATAACATGATGATTTAGTCATGTGGGGACTGAATACAATGTAAATTTATAATACAGTATGCAGAGAAAATATATACTGTACTGCATATACAGTATACAGTACAGTATATATATATATTTATTTATTTATTTTTATTTTTATAAATTATGAACAGGATTGAATATAGAGTAACTTATTATTTGAAGAAAAAAAATATTAATAATAATTTATGTCCTTCAGATAATGTACTTCATATTACTAAGTTGCTGAAAAATGGAACATAAATTGTTATAAGAAGCCTATATGGAAAAATGAGTGTATTATCACCTAATCCTTTCATATCAATACATCATAATACAGAGTATTATAATTATAACATTGCAACTCTGTTATAAAGAGAATAGTGTTAGCTCCATGAATATTAGATATTATGGGGGGTTTTAAGTACTATATGAAAAATAGTACAACCACAAAACCTGTATTTCCTAGAACAATATCTTTGTTTCTCTCTTATGTATGGAACACTAGGAAGCAGTTATTTTTTTCCTTGAGACAGAGACTCAAATTGCACTTCACACATCTTAGGGAGGCTTCTTAGCCCAGAACCCCCAAATGTTTTGTCCGAATCTTCCAAAATCCGGGTCCAGATTTTTTTATTTAAACCAACACTGCACTGTATACTGTATTATCAATTTGTTAACTAAATTTCAGAATGACCAATAATTTTAATGTAAAAATGCAATAATATTCAAGAGCACAACTTTCTCGATGTTTACTCCATTGGAAACAAAGGTAAAAATAGATCCGATTATTGGCGGACGAGTCGATCGGCTGATGCGGGCTCCAAAACGTGTTTCTTGTAAGGCTGTCTTTAATAGAATTTGTACTCGTTAACAGGACAAAGTCCTTACAGGAGGCAACTTTTTAACTGAAATCTCGTATATTGAACTGCGCGTTAATCGAGGGTGCACTGTACATTCTGAGACCATATCCATGCCGAGATATCGAGGGTTTACTGAATATTTTTTAATAAATAGTAGGAAATAGAGCTTTAGGAATGCATCTCATTTTATACTGTGGTTATACTGAGTTCAGTCCAGAGCTTCCATAATGAGCGACATATGAATGCTCACATTCATGTTCGTCTGGATTTAGTCCAGATTGACATATGGCATCTGGATTAAGCAACACTATCCAGATAGGACTAACGAGGTTTGTCTTTTATTTTTTATTTTTTATCCACCAGGTGATTATCGTGACCTAGTTGAAGCCGGTCGGGAGCAGTTCGAAGCAGAGGTTAGGTCACTGTTACCTGAAGTGAAGTTGGGTGAGATGAGCAACAAGCTGACCCCAGATGAATTGAACCTGCTCATTGCCCATGCTCACCGTAAAGTTTTACAGCTGCAGAAACAAGTTGCTCGTCAGCAGGTAGCTATGATTCTCTCTATAATATCCAGTATACGTGTGAAATATAATTAAGTTATTGTACATTCTGTTTTGAAATGTTGATACAAGTATCCCCTGATCTATGGTCTCCCTATCTACCATATTCCACTTTAACGATGGTGATGTACAAAGACCACCCCCCCTATCTATACTGTAAATAATCTGCAGGGACAGTGGTCATCGTCTGACCAAAGCACTTAACAGTCACCAAAACAGAGTACAATGTGAACATTAGTGATGCCCTCTCATTGTAAGGTAAAAAAACCCACCCAGTTTTAAGTAACAACACCGTTACTGACTGATAATCATTGAATTATACGATCACGGCCATATAGCATCACTATAGAACATAATTTGGTACTGTAATGCATTGGATGGCTGCCCCCTCATGTCTGTTGTTGTCAACATGCTCGCTGCCTGGCGGCGTGGGAAACTTTTTTGAATTTCGTGGCATAATGCAATTTATATGATCAAGGGTTAAAGCAAATGAATATTGTACAAGTTCATTGTATTTTTCATACCTGGTAGTAAAAAAAAAAGTCTCCATTGCCATGCATATGATTTTTAATGAGGTTATCTTCATATATTTTTTTTTTCTTGCCTGTGTGGTAAGTATGAATTTGTTTCCATATTTTATAGTGACAGGGCAATGCCTTACTAATATATGTTGTTTTTCTTCTCACTGTATATGCACCAGGCTGATTTTGAGGTGAGTGTCAACAAAGACATTTTATTTTTTTCCTTCAGTACATTGTTAGAAATGTGTACTGTAACTCTGTTGCTTTTCTCAAAATGCAATATAAACCGAAGGAATGCTTATTAGTGCCGTGACAATAGTCTGTGATGACAAAAAGGCACATGTGAAGGTTAACAAAACACTTATCACTTATTAATGGCTTTTTGAGGTCCCTAACCTCATTGTATAACGGTCATTGTCTGTACTGTACTGGGTACTTAAATCAGTAAAAACATCATTGACTATACCAGTATCCATTGAAATATAGAAAATATGTAAAGGGAATATGGTTTTAGAAGAGTAAATATTTTAAGAGAATGATTGGTGAGCTCTGATTTAACTCTTGTGCAGTGCAACTAAAAGATATGTATCATAATGTGAAAATCAATAGAGTTAAATGGTGTTACAGTGTCTGCTAGATATGATTATTGTTAGTTTTCATATTCTCTGTACCAAAGTTTCACAAAGTTACAAAGGAAAGATGTAAGTGAGGAAAGGTTGGTTCTTTAAGTTTATTTTCCTGCACTTGATTTTAAAACAGTTTCATAGGCTCTTTACTTTAATTGTAATAATTATTTAACCCCCCTTTTTTTTTGCAGACTTTGGAACACGACCGATTCAAAGAAGCTCTAACAAAGCAGCGCGAGGAGGATGTTAAGTTACTAGAAGCCAAAATTACTGCTGAATTAGACAGACAAAGGCAACAGTTGGAGGTTGAATACAAGTGTGTATTACTGTACTGTTATCTTAGTTGTTTTTTAAATTTAGTGAAGAAAGGTAGCTGCTATGTTTAACTTTATTACATGTTCAATAATATTTTGTATTTAGAAGGATTCCTGAAGCATTAAAAAAAAAATGTGAAAATAGGAAGGAATTGGTGCAGAGCTCTTCCATGTAATAAGACGAATCTCTCAAACCCTGAAAAAATTCCACATCCTCAGAATTTTTCCGGGTACAGGAATACCACATAAACTGACGTCCCCTTAACCGCCCCTTCATGTAAGCAACGAGTATACGAGGTCTGACAATTAAGTTGGTTAACTCGCCGCGTGGTTCAACTGGCGGCAGTACTGTAGCGAATGTGAGTGGCGTGCGTGTGACCTTGATCCCTTCTCTTACTACCCCAGTTGTGTCGTCGATCTCAAGCAATGTCTGTCATCAACACTTAGTAAATTAGTACAGTACAGTCGTGTATTTATAATCACTTAATAAATATTATTGCAGTGTATTTATCACCACTTAGTAAATACTATTGTAGTGTATTTATCATCACTTAATAAGTAATGTTATAATGTAAAGTATTATGCATCTGCATATACCCTGGTTTATTCATTAATCATTTTTCTAAGTGTACAAGTAGCCAAACTGAGTCATCATATAACACTCAAAGGCAGTAAATAACGTTTTTAGGGAAATATCTTCATATCAAATTCTATACAGTGTGTTATAGTGACCCCTGTTGTAAGCTGGTCTACTGAAAGCTCTCACAATAACACATCTTGAGTAAACAACCTTCTGACACAGCTTATCCTTTTATTTTTAAGTCATATTACAAATTACTTACAGCATTGTATTTTTTTTCTCTTACTGAAGATGTTATATTAATCATGATGAACCAAAACCATAAGAGGCTAATCATTGGAGAATATAATACTGAATCAATAAATAAATAAACCTGACGAATGTTGCAACACCTGATCAGCCCCAGCCTGCTTACATACTCAACTGTCTTAGTTCTCAGTAGACCTATAGCAAGTCTCATTAGACCACTGTACAGTATTCAGTAAGTGTTGTTCATTTCATAAGAATTTTTTTATTAATCTTCCCCATTTTGTTTTACTTTTTTTCTTTCTTCTTTTCTTAAGTATTTCTGGTGACCAGAGCATCTCAGAGTCCAGAAAAAGCGAATTCCAATATACTGAAGTCCAATTTATCGAGGTTTTACTGTATTGTATTAGAGTGTTTTCTGGTTTTGTCGCAGGAATGACAGATATTGTTTTAAAACAAAGAATGAACATCAAGTTTCTTGTGAAACTGGGAAAAACTGGGCCTGAAATTTGGGACATGTTAATGGAAGTTTATGGGGATAATGCACTAAAGAAAACAACAGTTTACAAGTAGATTCAGTAATTTTCTGGGGGAAGAGAAGATGTGACAGACAATGACAGAGAAGGACAACCAACAACGAGCAGGGCTGAGGAAAACATTGAAAAAAATTAGGGAAGTCGTGCGAGCTAACAGGCGATTGACGGTGTAGAAGCATTGCAGATTGACAGGGAAACAGTTAGAAAGGTTTAACTGAAGATGAGAAAAATTTGTGAGAAAATGGTGGCAAAAACTCTCGGTGGCAAACAAAAACAAAGAAGAGTTGAAATTTGCTCTGTTCTTTTGGAAAGAGAAGAAGCTGGAGATGACCTGCTTCACCGAGTCATTACTGGTGGTGAGTCATGGGTCTACCAATACGACCCTGAAATGAAACGCCAGAGTGTTCAGTGGAAAATTGCATACTCGCCACGCCCCAAAAAATGTCGCATGTCAAAGTTGAAAGTGAAGACAATGCTTATCACTTTTTTTTCGATTTTAAGGGTGTAGTTCACAAGGAATTTGTTCCCTGGGGGCAGGATGTGAACCAGTCTTACTATCTCGACATGCTTAAAACACTCGGAGAAAAGGTTAGATGAAAACACCCAGAACACTCGGCATTGATTCTGCAGGAGTTTTTGGCCGAGAAACAAATTACCTTACTGGAACACCCTCCTTATTCACCTGACTTGGCCCCGTATGACTTTTTTCCATTTCCTTTGCTGAAGAAACACATCAGGGGGATATATTTTGAGACATAGCTGACATTCAGAGTAGCACAACAGCAGCTATAAAAGCAATTTCAGAAATGTTTCCAGGGGTGTACCATTGTACACTGCGTCATCTAGACCCACAAACAGCTGCTTTCTCTTATGAAATACCTTCGCCTTAACCCTTAGGCCCCGGGTGACGTTCCAGAACGTCCGCCTATTTTCCCGCTTTTTTTTATGTTGATTTTTTTTCACGATGTAACCTCGCGTGGGGGGTACTGCCAGCAGCACCCTAACCTGGGACTTAAGGGTTAAACCCACCTGTGTCAATCTTCTTTGCCATGGCCCTGAGTTTATCCTTGGCATGAACAATATCTTAGAAGGTTAACTTCTTGATCCCATACTGTTGACTCCTCACTCATACTTTTCCAACATCTTCATCTTCACCTGCAAGGACAGGTTCTTCTTCTTCTTCAAAGAAGGTGTAGAGGCACGAGACTTGATCTATAGGAGAAGTAATCATAACACAAAAAGTTTGTAGTAAATCACTAAAAGTTAACGTAAATGAGTGTAGGCGGTGAGGGGCAGTGCACTGGTGATATGTATGGAAGTGGGACTCAGACTGAGGCACGTGCCGTGTCCGCGTGACACCCACACACGTACAAACACGTAAACCATCCGGACTGATGCGCGATTTTCTGGACTTTTTTTTTTTATTTAGAGGGATGGTCCGGAGCACCTCGGAGAGTCCAAGAAAAGCAAATTCTGATATGTTGAAGTCCGATTTATCGAGGTTTTACTGTATTTAAAATATTCAACTTTTCGTTACCCTGTACGTATATAGAATATTTAATGTTTACCATTTTTTTTTACACGTGTTTGTACACATGCATTTCAAACCAAACCAGGCACCAATACACCCAAAAATATATTTCTAATGAACTTTTAAAGAGGTTAGAGAAGGAAGTGGCCCTGAGTGTGACAGGCAAAAACATATTGTTGTTTGAGAAACATATACAGTGAACCCTCACTTTACACGGTCAGTTGAACCCACGGCGGCCCGCGTAAAGTGAACAACATAACATATGGGATTAATTGAAATAGAGACCAGGCCGACCCCCAAACTCCACTTTTTCAGACACAATACCTACGTTGTAGTAAAAATAACTTCTTAATTTTATGATGGTATGCACACACAATTAATAATTAAGAGAAATATCAATAATATTAGGTTTTTTAACACTTACATTAGCAGAAAAGATGGCTGGGCACACGGGGATGGGGGGTTGGTTCCGAGGCAGAGGGCAGATTATTGGCCCTCACTTGTATCAATTGTATCACTATCCACCACAGAGGCTTGCAGGGCCTCTTTGTCAAACCCCTCAAAGTCCATATAAGTCCATATCCTCACTATCATTATCACTATCACTGACTTGGGCCGGCTGTGGTGGGTGGCGGGTGAAGAACTCGGTAATGTTTTGATGACTGGGCGACCTTGTGCGCACCCTGCTCGCGCCGCTCTCCGCGTAAAAGGGTACACACACCGCGGAAAGTGAGCATTCCGTGTTCGGCAGGGTACTGCGTGAACATGGAAACACGTAAAGTGGAACCGCGTAAAGCGAGGGTTCACTGTACACAGTGAAGCAAACAATATGAACCACTTCACAGGTCTGATCAAGTGAACTCTCCTGCAACACTTGGCTAGAAGTCACATGGGGTTGCCAGGGTAAAACTTTGCACAAAATATGAGATGTAAATACTCAGAGCTACAGTTGAAAACCAACAATTGGCGAACAATTACTGCAATATAGTGAGGAGTCTAATGATGCATTGTAACTTTGTCCAGATATCCAGAACCCTTTTGTCTATTGATCATGTTAAAGCAGAAATGGGTCATGTTTTGTGGAAAGTGTTCCCTAATTGGTGAACAATACCGCACTTGTACTGTATAAGAAATTATAAACCAGTATTGACCACATTGTAGAAATCATAAGATATTATTCAGGAGAGTGTTCGTTATAAAAGAGACATACTGTTCATGTATGAACTGGATGTATATTCTAAAAATAATACTTGATTTGTGTACTAATTATAACAATGTTTGATTTGTCAGACACAAGATGGCACATCTTCGTGAGGAACTGGAAGGAGAACTACGAACTCAGCTCAAGCGTCAAGCAGCTGCCCATAGTGACCATTTGGCTGATGTTCTCTATGTACAAGAGAAAGAATTAGAGACCAAGTAAAGTATCATATTTTTCACTTGTTTTTCTGTATGGAGTTTGGATTTCTAGTGTAGTGAATGATCATCTGGTTTGTTGTTTCAAGGTGTTTAGAATAGAATAAAAAAAAATGGAATGTTGTAAAAAGGAAACTGATTGATATCCAGATATGATTGTTACCATTCTTTTGCATGGTCATTACTATTTACTGTAATATTAAAGCATTTGGCAGAAGGATATGTGCTTTAGGTAAGGGATATTCCGGTACGTCACCCGGGGCGTAAGAGTTAAGGGAATATTGTATAGTGCTTAGAATTGAATTCTTGTATGCGAATCTTAATGTAATTGTCATAATTGTAAATGGGAGATGGGTATTTTTCCAAGAGTTTGTACAGTAAGTGTCTGTCTGTTGTATTGATAATGAAATATAGAGTTTTCACAGTTGATCAATTGATTTAACTGTTTAATCCTGCCCTGGTTACCTGACGTTGTCGAAAGTGACCGCCGCATGATGCCTCAAGGGGGAATGCCGGCTGGAGTTCAGGTGATGTGAGTCGGGAGGTGATATGAGTGTACCCCTACCTGTGACCATACCCCACTACCAGGTCCAGCTCCAATTATCCCATCCCAAGGGATGGTTTGTCAAACCTGCCAATCAGATATGGAAAGTGACAGCTAGAGTCAGAAGCTGGTGACTATGCAGGTCGGCACTGACAATGAAATCATACTACCGATAGGTCAATTATTTGACTGATGCATAGGACACCTTTGCATCGATCAGAATTTTTTGAGCCATGCAAGTGCATTGATTGCATTATCCTGGATCCGGCAGTGGGTATTGGTTGTAATTGTGAGGGATATTAGATCATTTGATCAACCTCCTTTTAACAAAGTCGGTGCTGTATGGTGGCCAAGTGTAGTAATAAGAGCAGATGGGCTTTAGGTCCTGCCAGAAAACAGGATCCTTTATTTTTGAGGCAGTAATATTATATGGCAAATACAGAAAGAATGTTTTATTTTTTTTTTTTAAATACTGTACATCCATATACTGCAGTATATTGTTTTACATTGGTATCTGTCTAAAATATCCAATTGTTTCAGATGGTTTGATCTTCTCCAAGACAAGGTTCAATATGAGAAGAACAAATATTTAGCATCTGTAGCTAAGATACAGGGACAACTACATGGTCTTAAGGTATGTATGAGGTATCCAGAATTATAAAGTTTATTGTGAGAGGTAACAGTTACATGGTGTAAAGTGAAAGCCAATGGGTACAAGGATTACATTGAGGTAATAGAGGTGTTAAAATGAGAAGCAATAGGTACAGGTATCAGATTATTTGTATGGCTTCCAGGAAACCAGATTTACCTGATAACTGGTTGTGTTTGGCTGGCCACGTTACTTTACTGTTGGTAACGCCACGGTGGAGCACGCCTCAATTTTAAACAGCCGACATTTGTGTGTACTTGGGTCTCTCTACTTTTTGTGGTTATACATATAAAATCTCTCTCTCTCTCTCTCTCATATATATATATCTGCTTTTGACATTATTTATACTTCTCTCTAGTGCTAAATTTATTGTAAACGTATGCATAATATTCATACTCACTAATTAACAAAATATTTGTACAATGGACTGCAGATCCTGTCAGCCTCTGGCAGCGCTGTTCATTGTCCGCCGAGGATATCTGAGAGCATTAGCAGTATTGATGTTGTCTTTTCTCTTGAAGAGGTTAATCCGCTATATCTTAGTTCTTCATCTTTAGGAAATGTATGGAAGTGTATATTTCCCTCTCATTGAACAAAAAATTGCACACAAACACTACACAATTAGTGAACATTATTCAACAAAAGACACCAGTTTTCACAGTAGAGGCTGCAGCCAAGTGAGGGGGCGGCCTTTACACTTAATGACGTCATGTGCTAGCTGTGTCTCTTTTTGGGTGGTCAGGTTTGGGCAGACCTCCTTTTCTATAGTCCTTGGCTTTAGACCTCGGCTCTTATTACTGGCTTTATATCAGAGACAGGTAGAGAGGTATGATGTGCCAAAGGGTGAGAAGCAGCTGCTTTTGCCACAGCATCAGCATGCTCATTCCACTTCTTCATGACAGGGGCCAGAACCCACCAAAATCTGACTCTCCGGCCCTGACGTTGGATGAGAAACAGCCATTGTAAAATAGCTATAACTAAGGGATGGGGTAATGAGACTTTAGCTAAGGCCTAGAGAGCACTACGAGAATTGCCAAAAATTGTATAATTGTTTTGAGGTTAGGTAAAAATAATCTCGAAGGCAACTAAATTCCCGGGGGAGACTACCATCCCGACAGTAATCGGGAAAGACTACCCCAAAATCCACTCCTGCATCCGACTTAGAGCCGTCGATGTAAACAGGGTTAGTCCCCCTGTGAGAGGAGGCTTGCTCTAAAAAAAGAAAGTGAACCACACAGGGAGGGAGTAAGTCCTTCCTTTCATTCAAATACTGACAAGCTTGAACTTCAGGGAAAATACACAGAGCAGCACTAGGGAAACACATGGGGCATATCTGAACAGGAGGAAGATAAAGAAGACTCAACTCCCCTTACCCTGAGGCTCGGTTACTGAGTGTAGTGTGGGGACATTCTCTCGTCAACTACACAAGTGTTGGTTGCAGACTATGGAAGGTGATGTAGGCGAAACTAACACTGGACTTGGAGATACTGGAGTCAAAGATCAAAGGATGGTTCATCAGCATCAAGCGGTACACTTGGGATTGACGAGGACCTGAAGGCACCAGTCCCCAGGCTCACCCCAGCATGATGAATAGAGTTCAGTGTATTGAGTCTAATCTCAGTGGCTGGAGAGTACACCTCATACCATAATTCAGTTTGGGTCTAATTAGCATGTAGTAAAGGTGTAGCAGAGTTCCTCGGTCAGCACCTCACAACATGTACCCCAAGGCTCAATAACTTCAGAGCTCACTGGCAAGACTCTTTGAGGTAACATATATATTGCTGCCATATAAGCCGGTTGTTGAAGATAATACCCAGGAAGCGGGTCTCTGTGACGCACCGCACACGACCACCATAGAGCTGTATATTGGAATCTAGGTTAACACCTTGAAGGTGGCTGAAATGCATGGCAACGGTCTTATCTTGGGTGTGTGGTGGTGGTGGGTGGTGAGGTAGTGGTGGTTGGTGGTCAAGGGAGTGTGGTAGTGGTGTGAGGTGTGGTGGCTGGTGGTCACAGGAGTTTGGTGGTCGCTGGTGATCATGGGTGGTGGTGGGTGGTGTGAGGTAGTGATGGCTGGTGGTGTAAGGTAGTGGTGGGTGGTTGTGAGGTAGTGGTGGCTGGTGGTCATAAGAGTGAGGTGGTGGTGGGTGGTGTAAGGTAGTGGTGGCTGGTGGTCACAGGAGTTTGGTGGTGGGTGGTGTGAGGTAGTGGTGGCTGGTGGTGAGTGAGGTGGTGGTGGGTGGTGTAAGGTAGTGGTGGTTGTGTGAGGTAGTGGTGGCTGGTGGTCATAAGAGTGAGGTGGTGGTGGGTGGTGTAAGGTAGTGGTGGCTGGTGGTCACAGGAGTTTGGTGGTGGGTGGTGTGAGGTAGTGGTAGCTGGTGGTCACAGGAGTATCAGAGTAGGGAATGTTTGGCACAGAATCTATCTCAACTCCAAACAAAAGCAAAATTTGTACTGTTCTTGTGTATAGTAATACTGTAGCTGGTGGTGAATCAGAGTCACTTACTTGGGTAATATCAGAGCCATTTTCCTGGGTAGTGGAGGCAGCCATTGTTTGTGTTGGCGTGTCATCTGGTCTAGAGCAGTGTTGCCAAGATTCCTCCTCCTTCACCGAGGAATTACTTATATCTTCATCCTCTGGTTCCCACTCACTGTCACCACTAACTGCCGACAGTTATAACACTGCTGTGCTATCTCCACTACACTCCCTACTAGCTTCCACAAGGGGAGAAGGGAAACAGAAGTTGTATCCTTCCATAACTGGGTGTGGCGTGTCTGGAATAGTGGATCAGTGCTTACCAATTTAATTTAATTATTTTTGGCTCATAATTTTTTGAGTAAGTTCTTTGATAATAATAGAGGTAACTGAACTGTCTTTGGAATATTTTCAGAATGCACTGTCGGCACGAGCCGATGTTGATAAAGCTGCCTATGCTGCCCGTGAATTGTGGCTTGCTTGTGTGTCTTTAAGAAGTGCTTTACGGTAAGTAATATTGTAGAAACATCGTGGTTTTCTGTGTACAGGTATGTATTTTAGGAGGTAGTATGTTTCAGTGTAGATTTGACAGACAGTATGATTCAGTGTAGATTTGACAGACGTGATGTCATCAAGAACTGATCAATAATCAAACAATGTAGTCGGAGTCTTTTATTCCTGTAATTCATTCATCTTGATCTATTTCATAATATATTCCTATAATAAAAATTGACTTTTTTAAACTGCTCGGTTATTTAAGAGTCATTCCGAATTGAATTTGAAATGTTTAATTATCTTTGAAAATTTTTTTTATAAATTAAGCCAAAATCTGAATTATAATAGAATTTTTGGTGTTAATCAATAAATTGTTTAACTTTGAAGCCATTTTGACAGATTCATTGAAAGTGAGGGAATCCTGTACTCAACAATTACTTGAAAATTTTTAATTGGTTGCAGTCATTTACGATTAAAAATTACAGTTGCCCCCAAGCTGGCTATTAAGGTCTCCTACCCTTGAGAGAGGGAGAGAGAGAGAGAGACTAGGATGACAGTAAGGAGGTTCTTGAATGTATAAAACTCCTTGTTAGTGTCTGGTTTAGGATCAGTGCTCTGTGTTACCTCTGTACTCTTACAGTATTTGTTCTTTCATCCTCGGTGAGACAAAGATCACCGCCGCTTTTATATTTCTTTCATAGTTTTCACCCATTTCAAACCACTTCATGAACCATTCATTGTTTCCCATATATGAGTTCACTTTCCTTTTTGCCACACTCCTCTCAGCAGATGTGTCTGCTCTGTTCCTATTTTATTTAGTCTACCATCTTCTGTACAACATTTTGAAATTTCCAACTTTTCTAATTTTTTATAACTGTAATTAAGTGATATATTTTAGCACTGCATAATTTTTCTTTACACATCACAGACTTGGAAGTGACGGTGCCAAGTCGTGGGAGGAACAACTTAAGCCACTCGGTGACCAGATAGCAACAATCAGAGCAGCAGCAGGTGAGTCAATGGGAGGAACAGCTTAAGCCACTCAGTGACCAGATAGCAACAATCAGAGCAGCAGCAGTTGAGTCAATGGGAGGAACAACTTAAGCCACTCAGTTACCAGATAGCAACAATCAGAGCAGTAGCAGTTGAGTCAATGGGAGGAACAACTTAAGCCACTCAGTGACCATTTTGGCTGAGGGTCTGCGAAAATTCATTGCCATTGCAAGGCAACTCCACAATGGCATGAATGGCAGTGTCCTACACAATGGCACCCAGTCTGAGTTCTTCCCCATTCAAACGGGGGTAAAACAAGGATGTGTACTGGCACCAACTCATGTCAGTGTCAATTTAGCTGATGGGGTGGACATTAGTACTAAGTGAAGGGTCTTTTCAACATAAGACGACTCCAAGCAGGAACAAAGGTGTCAACAGCTTCCATGACTGAACTTCAGTCTGCAGACGACCTCACCCATGTCACTCACACTGAACAATACCTACAGGAGATCCTGAACACCTATGCAGATGCTTATGTATACTTTCGCCTTGAGGTGAATTTATGTAAGACTTAGATTCTCTTTCAGCCTTCCCCTGGTTCAGCCACACCTCCACCATCCATCCAGCTTAATGGTACTACCCTCTCTAATGTTACCCACTTTCAGTACTCGGCTTCCACCTGTCCACCACCGCAGACATTAATGAAGAGATTCAACATCGGATCAGATGTGCATCTCGACCCTTTGGCAGACTCCGTACCTGTGTCTTCAGCTGTAGGGAGCTGAAATTATCTACAAAGATGCACATATATCGAGCAGTGGTCCTCCCCTCCCTGCTATATGGCAGCAAGACATGGGTCACATACAGGAGGCAGCTCAAGGCACCTGGAAACTTTCACCATCACTGTCTATGTTCCATCCTCCAAGTTCACTGGGAAGACAAGAAAACAAATGCCACTATTCTCACTGACACCAACTGTAGGAGCATCGAAGTTACCATTATCAATGAACAACTACGCTAGACTGGCCATGTTACCCGCATGGACGACGGTACTTTACAGTCACCTAAAGAATAGTAAACGTATCACTGGCGAGCAACTGAAAAGATATAAGGATAGTCTTAAGACAAACCTGAAACGGTGCCAAATCAACCCCCTCACCTGGGAGACAATTACTCCACATCGTAACGCTTGGAGGAGCACCACCACACAAGGTGTCAATACTTTCGAGTTAGCCCGACTTCTTTCCAAGGCAGACAAGCGCCAACGCTGGAAAGACACTGCCGCTGCTCCTCCCACACTAGATATAGCCCTCCACATGTGCAACATCTGTGATTGACTGCCGGTCCCCTATCGGTCTCTTTAGTCACCTTAAAACTCACCAACGAAGGGGACATCCTTAATAACTCATATAATTGTATCATAGTTGGATGATCGTCATGCGCGATTCCAAGTGACAGCAAAGTAGAGTGTGGGTGTGTATTGTTGTGTGGGTGTGTATTGTTGTGGGTGTGTATTGTTGTGGATGTGTATTGTTGTGTGTGTGTGGGGGGGCGGAGGGGGAAGGTGAACGTATGTGAAGGCCACTCAGTGAGCTACTGAGCTATACTGCTTGGCTGACTCACCCGTAACAGTCAGCCGTCACCATCTACAGTTTTCCCATTTTTACAATTCTTATGACACTAAAACAATAAGATTTCATTTAATATAAACATGCATAAAAGATTTATATAATTTCTGATGATGGATGAGGTGCGCACATGTTCTCCTTCTCCAGGTTGTTGTGCATGTAGTACTGAATTTTCTTCTTATAATAGCTTTTTAAAAAAAATCTAAATTTTGGGCAATATTATAATTTGAGATAAATAAAAACTGCTAAATACAAGTTACTTGGTTCTAGCAATGCATCTCTGTTTTTACCAGATGTTTACTGTGATAGAGCATTATGTGCCTGAAACCAAACCATCTCTGTAGAGGGTCAACTGTATCTATTGTAGATTACGAAGTTTCAAGGATTTTTTTTTTTACAACCTCTGGTCGCATCCAATAATTTTCTTTGTATTTCTTACCTGTAGGGGAAGGTAATCCATACATCACAACAGTTCTGAATGCTGTCTCTGAAGAGGCTATGGCTCGTGGAGTGTTTACAGAAGAAGCTCTCAGAGAACGCTTTATGAAGGTTGACCGAATTTGTAAGCGTGTGTCCATGATTGGAGACAATGGTGGTAGTCTGATAAAGTACGTACATTATGATAAAGTTCTATTCTCTAATTACTTGCTATATATTAAGTTTAGTGTTATATACACAATTTTATATTTAGTCAGATGACAATAGATGAGAAGCAGCTTGTCTGTACTGTATATTTATTTTTCATGTCCTTACGTTATTGATGCTGCAATAACATCTAAGTGTCTTGCACTCTTTATTTTTTAAGAATACAGCTCCTCCCTGACTTACGACGGGGTTAAGGACCCAAATCCAGGTCGTAAGTCAAAATGGTCGTAAGTCGGAAATGCTTTAATAATACATAGAAAATCTAAATTGGGTGTCTCTTTTTCTTCTCAGCACCACAAACACTCACTTTTAAGCTTGCCAGCCATTTTAAAGTGAATTACAAACGAAAATTTTGTCTGTGTACTGACTTAGGGACTCAAAAATACGTAATTTGACCAAATTTTGGTACGACTGCTGGTCGTAAGTCGAGTCGGTCGTAAGTCGGGGAGGAGCTGTACTCTATATGTTTCAAATAAACTTTACGTGTGTTCATGATATATTTTTATAATATTTTATGAATTGTTTTGTTTTGATTTTATTAATGGGGTGTGAAGATATGGCTGTCAATATGAGCTGTTCTGATCAAATTTCCCTAATATGGATTTTAGATTTTGTATCCTTGTTATTTTTACATGTTTATGTAGCCTTTAACTGTTGCACAGGACAGTGAGTTATATATAATACCCTTATATCATATGATTCTTCACATTTGTACATTAAAGACACCCACTATTTCACTCTCTCATTTCATTGTAGTACTTGAGTAATTTTTTCCCAGTTTCCAGTTCCCTCACAGATGTCTCTTACTCAATTTCTCCACTTGTAATCTATTTCAAAGTGTGACTTATCATTCAGTTTGGGTCATCCTAAACCCTCATGTATATTTTTCAGATATCTGCTCTCATATGTTCAGAGTTTTTTGGTGTTAAATGCTTTTGAATACCTACCTGGGACTGAAGTTCGTGATGAAGAACTTGCAGTTGATTCACTCTCCACCTACGATATTCTAGCAAGAGCTCGGTATGTGTTTTTATTATAAATAAATTAAGTAAATTTAGTGTTTTTGTTCCAATTATTCTTCTTTTCCTGAATCACAAACAATAGTTATGAATAATTAAAAAAAATATCCAACTGCTGAGGATGATTTTTCCTTCAGCTTAGACATATAAAGTGTAATAAAATAAAATCCCTGAAATGAGCTGATGCAGAGTATCTTTTAACATACAGAACCTGTCAGTCATTCACTGTGTTGCACTTCAAAGTACTGTACTACAGGAAAACCTCCATAAATAAGAATAATTGGGGCACTACCTTTGCCAAAAATAAAGAAAATTCCAAATTATGATCAATTTCTGTGTAATGTTCATGTATACTGTAACCCCAATAGTTTACCTTCCTTTCACTCCTTAATTACCACACTTAGGGTACACCTCTCAGTATGGTTGTGCCTCGTCAAATGTAAGTCTGCGCAACGTGAATCTGCCTATATATGAAATTATATTTGACACTAATCTTCCCTTCCCAAAGGCAAGCCCACCTGCGTGTGAGTTAGCACAAGTTACATGGCTGTCATTTTTAATTTAACATGCACCATGCCTCACATGGCCTGCCACTCACGAGTCCACCTGGCTAAATATTCCGTAGATTTATATTTAGACGTATAAATACGGTAAACTCTTTCATATTTGGCACCTGTGGGACCAGGATGGTGCCAGTAAATAAAATGGTATACCAACACCTAACATCTTGAATGTTTAAGGAAACCAAATTTTCCAGAAAATTACGGCTTTGGGAACAATTTTCTGAGAAAATTTCAATTCCGGCTATCAGAAAATTCCGGGTTTGAGGGATTCCGGCTAACGGAGATATTACTGTATAAACATTATTGACGAGAAAGCTTCCTCACAGACTTGTTGTCATTCTACTTGGATGATTGTCTGTTTTATGCAGTTTTTACCTTCTTAATTAAATGATCATGTTAGGTTAGATTAAGTTAGGTTATGTTAAATTGCATAAAACAGACAGTCGTCCAAGTGAGATGCAATCATAGACATAGGTGCTTCCAAATTGTACCAGAACCTTGATAGCTCCATTTCTAACTGCTGAATGTCTCCTTACAATTAAATATACTGTTTTCTATAATTGTCTTTGCTAGTGTTACCATGACCTCTTGGTTCCCCAAGGCACAAATATCAATGTTCTTGCAAAGAGTAAGTATTTTAATCTCATTTTATTTTTTTAGATACCTGTATGTACAATTTAGTACATGAATAATTTGTATTTTAAAAGTTTTAAAAATTGGTCTTAATTGTCTATTATTAAAAAGGAATTTGATTCCTGTTAATAATAATTTAGTTTTATTTTCATATTTGGTACAGTATTTTACTTGTACCTCTTCACCACTGTCTGTATAGCACAGTATTTTGCAATTAATTTATGAATAAGATTTAATGATGAGTGTGAATAACATACAGTTCAAAGTTTAGATGCCTTTTAGCTGTATCAGGCACCTATAAGAATACCGTTTCTGTCGTGTCAAAAGGGAGGGAGGCGTTTAACCCGTGTGTAATGATGCCGCGTATGACCAATTTTTGCTTAATTTTTTTGTTTTATTTTGTCTTCACAGGTATTGCTTGGATAAAGATGATTTAACCCAAAGTGTTCGCTACATGAATCTCTTGCGTGGGGAGCCTCGCAATGTTGCTGCCAGTTGGATAAAGGAAGCCAGATTAACTCTAGAAACACGCCAGACTGCAGATGCTCTTCTGGCTCATGCTGCTGCCACAGCTGTTAAAGCTCTTTGAAGTAGTTTTAAGATGTTAACAACTCACAAAGCCTTGGGAAACACTTTATCTGCTTAATGTGTTTCCAGGTTAAGGGTCAATATGTACTCAAACAGCAAGATTAATCTTATTCAAAATCTTTTCATATCTACTTTAGTGCAATGTTGAATATGTTATTAAAATTCTATTGAATATTTTTACTTCTTGATATGTGGCTGGCAATTTAATTGATATTTCAAACAGACAAAGAACATTTTAAAAGTCTACAATTTCATCTTAGAACTTGTGAAGCTATGCTGAGTATGGGTTAAAAAGCAGAGTTTCCTACACGTCTTGGAAAAAAAGATAATTGAAAGAGACAATATAGTACAATTATCTGTAAAAACCTTGAAAATTAAATTTAATTGCATAGAGACTTGAGATGAATGAACATCAGTGAGGGAGCATGACGGTTATGACAGTCAATGAGGGAACATGACAGCTATGACATTTTTTCTAGTACCCTGTATTGAAAGAGAAATATGTACTATACTTGCAACCCAGCAGTCATCCTTATGAAAATGTGTAATTGTATTTGTCTTCTCTGTTTGAAGGATTTGTCTGTTGTAAAATTTTAAGTGAGATTATACATGTACTGTATTTTTTTATCATGGCTAACCCACACAAGTGTGTAAAATGGCTACAAAGTGATGGTGATGACGAAGATTTTACAATGCAAGGTGTTGTGATTATGAAAGGATGTTAATGAGTTCATTGCATAATGCTCACTATAATTATTTTTTTGTAAGAAAATTAAGCAAGGTAGTTATTTAGTCATAAAAGAAGATTTGGAGGCCAACTAAATCTTTGAGCACTGCACCAGTTGTTCTTGCTAACGGAGATATCACCATTAATAGTTGTGGGAACCTTGAATAAAAAAAAATAGTATGAACTGGAAATTGTTATCATAATTGTATGCTAACTGTATAGATTCCATGCTTTACAATGCTATATATGTCAAATTCATTGTTGACATTTCTTATGAAAATACTGTATGCATAAAACTAATACTCTACATCCTTTTGCATTGGAGATATACAGTATATTTTAGAACAGTGGTTCACAAACTATTTTCATCACAACCCAAAACTAGATTGGTCAGGCACACTTGTGATCCACAGTATAAACTAACATGAATCAAAAATAATTTGTTGTCTTTATTTTGTTAGTACTGTATATTCAAGCAATAATATGTAATACAATAGAGTATAATATAACTCAAACTAATAATATATCATAAAATGTAAATAATATAACTCATGCCAATGACAGGATGTCTTTTTGTCTAAGGCAGGTCCTCAAAGTGAGACGTTGTGGCAGACAGGCTGCAGCACAGATCATGCTTAGGCTGAGAGTGTTTTGAAGCTTCGTCTTTGTCAGTGCCAATGTGGAAAATCTTGTCTCCCAAAAGTATGTTACGTGGCTGTTAATGGCACAAAGACTATCAAAGTTTCAACAGCAACAGTTACTTTTTTATTTAAGTGTGTGATCCAGAAAGAACTGAGGGATTGCTGCTTGAAGTTTTCACACAGTAATTCATCATGTGTATTTCTATCAGTTGTTCCAGCAGTTCGGGTGTGCTGTTATCTGGCAAATCTTCCACATTAACACTGAAAGGATTTCAAACCAAACACTATTTCATGGTAGCTTTAGCAGGAATATAGTGTTTGAATTCTTCTCTGAGATTGTTCAGGTTCTCCAAGACACTACCATAAATGTCCTCAAAAGATGTTGATACACTTTCCTCAAAGTCTTCCAACAGGTGACTTAAGGATGGGAAAGACCCAGTCTTTCCACACAACATTTTGCCTTTCCACAACTTCAGTTTGTCCTTAAATGAACAGCTTGTCAGTGAGTTCAATGAAAGTGTGACAGCTCTGCAACCCAAATTTGGGTCACGACCCATAGTTTAAGAATCACTGGTATAGAATAATTCATACTTGAAGAAGTAAGAGTTAGCTTACTGATACTAGTCTAGATGAAAAACCTGTGATTTCAAACATTATTTTACGAACTGCTGCTTCTATTGCGAGATATTTTCAGTGAAATTATTGAATATGTGTTTTCAGAAAGTGTATTAGGGCACACACTGATAATATGTTTGTCATTATTTTCTAATTTTCATTACAAAAATTAAAGGTTAATTTGGTGGTAGTTAATTTGGCCTAAACTTTCCTGATGTAATTGTTTATTTTCACAAGCTTATATATACAGAATGATGATTTAAAATTTTTGTAATATGTACATATTGTTCATACTGTGTAAAGATCATCTTTTGGCAGATAAAATCAGATTAGTTACTATCTTTTTTATCTTTTTCCTAATGAGGTCAGTGTCACTGTTCTGTTATACAGGTCAGTGTAAGACGCTCTACAACAGTGGAATCAACTTCATGAGAAAATAATGAAATTCTTGACTTTTTATATTTATATTTGGATGGCTAGGAGAAAACTTAAGCCGAGTGACTGCAAAACTGAGATTGTTGTTGTCCAAGGAAATTGTAGGGGAGACAGCACAGGGGATTTTGGCTCTTTAAGCTTTGGAGAAGTACAATATTTTCTTGATTTAACAAACTAATTCGACCCACCCCTGTTCATTAAATGAAAATTTCCACTAAATTGAGCTTTCCGCCACTCATTGTGTGTCCTGCCGCCATAATTGCTCACGGTATTGGATCTTTGGACCCATATTCTGGAACAGGATGGTAATATTGACATTATATACCTAGATTTTGCCAAGGCTTTCGACAGTGTACCCCACGAAAGGCTGAAAATCAAACTGAAAGGGTACGGAATTCGGGGAAATGACCTCACGTGGATAGAAGACTTTCTACATGACCGCAAGCAGTGTGTGGTGATTAATGGCACGAAATCATCATATGTAACTGTCACAAGCGGGGTACCACAGGGCAGTGTATTGGGCCTGCTGTTGCTTGTTTGATTCATAAATGACATGCCTGACGTACACACCTCCATACAAATGTTTGCAGGTGACGCCAAGTTATTTCAGGAAATCAAGAACCAAGCTGACTGTGAAGAGCTGCAGAAGGATCTCTGTGAGCTCCAAGAATGGTCGAAGAAATGGCTGCTGAGATTCAATGTCACGAAGTGTAAGAGGATGCACCTGGCTTGGGTGTTTGCTCCCCTCTGTAATGTGTTGGGTCTTTAACATGTTGGAACAGAAAATTATCTCTCGGAGTTTCTACAAAAAGAGTAGCAGGGTTATTCAAGTCATTACTTTTCCTTTTCTTTTATCCTCTTCACCAAATGATCGGCTCATTAGCCGCTTGGGCTATCGGTCACGTCACTGTTACTCTCTGTTGGCAGGTACTGGGCATGCACCGGCTCCTGAATGTACCTGAACCTGCTCCAGTGTTGGTCTAGTCTTGTCTTGAAAGAGCTCACACTCGGTGCCATCACAACACTTTCTGGTAGATTGTTCCAAGAGTTCACAACTGTCACTCCGAAAAAGTTTGCCCTCACAGTTTTCTGGACTTGCGGCTTCCTCAATCTTGAGCTGTGACCCCTTGTGGGGCGAGCATCTGCCAGCTCCAAGTAAGGACACTCGACTGAGTAGTGCCCCTTGAGATGTCGCCATAGTTAAAGTCCCCCATGATAAGGAGGTGGCTAGGATTGAGCATCGATGCATTGTCTATTAAGGCTTTTAAGTCCTTTCTTCGATTTAGTGGGCTACAGTTTGGGGATCTGTAGATACACCCGACAAAAAGTAAGTTCCCTCCCTTTACATCACTTGGACCCTTCAAAAACATCCTATCCTTGTACCCTCGCCTGGCTGGCTCTAAGGTCTTGCCTAGCATAGGTAACCACACCCCTCCTGCAAGTTTCTTGAGAAAGGATCATAAATTAGACAAATCCAGCAATTCTGAACTCGCATTCCTCTGGGTCAATTCTCCTGTTCTTGTACAACAGTTCTACAACTCCTACAATATCGAGTTGGTGTACAGTTTCGTTCAAGATTCTTCGAACACTGCTGGAGACAGCTGGCAACTCAAGGTCGTTTGTTTGCTATAGTACGTAGTATAATATTGTAGTGGATACTCTCCCCTACAACTGCTGACTGATCACTTGTCGTTCGCTTACCAGCCAATCGGCAGCGAGCTTCACAGTCCGGACCTCACTCTCGGACTGTGCGGTGATTGGCCCGTTACTGCCTTTACCTCAGCCAATCAGCAGCGCCGCTCACTTTGCACCTCTTCTCTGATCCTGCAGAATCGTATAAATACTCCTCAGCCTAGCCGTGGAGATCATTCTACTCAACTCTCTCAAACCAACAAGACCTCTCAACAAGCTCCTCACCACACAGCAACTCCCTAGCACTGTACTGTACATACAATATATATATATATAAAATGCTTTGTGAGTTTCCCTTCTTACCTCTATCCTTAGTGTGAGATCTCCTACATGTACGTATGTATGTGAGCCCTACAAAGAGAAAATAGACAAACAGAGAAGTTTGACAACTGGCCACATATAGTATGCTACAATTGGTGACCCAGGAGTGATGCACTCGCACAAGGATGGATGAGAAACTGATCACTCTCCCAGTCTTCAATCACAACATTAAAGACTGGCTAATCCACATGGAGGCAGCTCTCATCGGCTCAACAGCTACAAACAAAAGTATGTCGCCCTGGTCTGTTCCCTGCCCACAGAAGTTGCCACACAAGTTACAGAAGTCATCACCAACCCTCCAGCTGACAACAAACTCGCAGCTCTACGAGATGCTCTCAAGAGGCGATACCAGTGGCCTGACACCAGTCTCCTGCAAGACCTATCTGGCCTCTCCCTTGGCAACTCAACGCCTGCACGTCTCTGGGACGAGATGCGAAGACTGAACTCCCGCCACACAGACCAGCTTCCTGACACTATCCTGCGCCAGCTTCACACTCAGAAGGGCCCTGCAGAAGTTCGTCTCGTCCTCTCAGCACTGGACTACTCTACTACCTCGGTGACCTATGCAGCCACGGCAGACAGTGTTCCACGAATACACTGCTGTGCGCCATGCTGCCGCGAACAACTCAGCGGCCACACCGTCACTTTCCTCTGGTCTCATCAACCAGATCAACGCTCCTCAGAGAAATAGCATTCCACCAGACAAAGAAGACTTGAAGGACCTGCTACAATCTCTACACCACAGAATGGACACCTTCAAGCAGCTCTGCTCCTCCATGCCTGCTGCTGCTCCTGTTCCTGCCCCACGCACTGTGTCTTACCGACCCCAACATCCCCATCCTGCCTCAGACCCCGCCGCCAGCCTCCAGCACAGTGTACCTACCTTCTGTTGGTACCATCAACGTTTTGGTGTTAACGCTAGATGCTGCGAGGCTCCCTGCAACTACACGAGGAAGCGACATTGACAGGGATTGATAGACCCCATAACCTCCGACACTATCAAGCAGCATATCACACGCCTTACTTCTGACCTTGACCACTTCACTCCTGCTGCCCGTCACGACCTACTACAAACACTACGACAGGCAGTTTCTGCATTCAAGGCTACTGCCCCATGCCAGCCTTCACACCGCCCTGAACACATTCATCCCGCACCTCCTCCACCAGTCTGCCCACCATTGCCCTTTGCAGCACCACCTCGCCCACAACATTTCTGGGCACCCTCTTTTCTTCCTCAGGTACCCACTGCACCTGTCTTGCACCCTCATGGACCCTCCTCCTGACGTGGCCCCTGCTCCTGACTTGGACCCACACACCCCACCAGGCGCTACTGAGGACTGTGTACCTGCCGCAAGAGAAGCACAACCTTCTCTTATCCACAACCCTCCTTCTCCCTCTGCTTCTACCACAGATCTCGTGTCTCTAGACAAAGTTGTCTCCCGTAGCGGCCAGCTCATCCACACCCCCACCCGTTCTGTCTCACATGTGGGATACAACCATGCAGACAACAAGTCTCCTGCACCGCCTGGAGGGAAGGGGGAGTACTGTAGTGGATATTTCCCCTACAACTACAACTGCCGTTTGTCGCTGACTAGTCGACCCCTCTTCGAATAACCCAGCCTACGCCTCGTGGTCTAAGGTCAGCATCTAGCGCCGCCTAACAAAGCGGAGGTCAACTATCAAGCCACGCCTACCTCCGCTATATAAGACCTCACCTCGCCGTGACCTGCCCCTTCTTCTACCTACAGCCCAGCATGCAACACCTCTTCTGAGCTCTCTACTCCACACTCCCGAACCAGCCAGCTTCCAACAACTTCCCAGCACCAAGCTACACTGTACATCCAATACAATATATTACAGAGAGCGCATTGTGAGTTTCCTTTCTCCAACCCATCCTGAGTGTGAGACATCATTAAACCCCACAACAAACGGCCTGAGTTGCCAGCAGTGTTCGAGGAATCTTGAACGAGTCTGTACCTTCAGTAGTGTTTCAAACTCCTCTCTTATCAAGGAACGTGTCAGTATTAGTGTACATGACATTCAAGCCAGAATTTGTTCTCGGTAATGTCTCTGCTCTCAGTAGTAATTCTCAGAAGCTGCAGTGTTTGCTATTGGAATTCTCTGATGAAAAGGGGGATCAGGACCCCAGTATCCCCCCCCCCTAAGACCCGTCCCTGCATGTGTCTTTATTCTAATATTTTATTGAAGGTCTCATCACTAATGTCTCTACTTTGGCACAATTCCCTCATAATTAGCATAAACTAAACAAGACTATCAGTAGATCTAGCGCTAAATTGGCAAACCTTTGGCCTCTGGTAACAATATACTGTATACATCACACACATATATTACCCTCTTAACATATCCTTACCAATTACTGAACCTAACAGATAATATAACACCTAAAAAAAAAATCAAACCTATAATATTGTAGAGTGATTAAGGTTTATAATTAGTGATAAAGAACCATCAGTTGAGGTGAGTGGTGTGTCACCTGGTGGGTCGAGGTAGAAGCTGTTATATTTACTAGTGTAGTGGTGGTGGTAAGACTCACCTGCCCCCCCTCTCCCAGGTAATACACTCATCTAAGTAATATGACCCTTAAACTGTTTTATTAGGGATTGGTTTCTTGGTAGTATAGTGATAAAGAGTGTATGGTGAGAGATAAGGGTGAATGATGGCGTGGGTGTGATGGTTGGGTAGGGCTGTGGTGATGCTGGGTAATAACTACTTAATCACCATTTATACAGTATTTACTTCATAATGGTATAGTATATGCTGTTAGTTGATGGGTAATAATACATCTCTTATAGACATATCAATATTTGTATCTATTTCATAATGGTCTAGTATATAGTTAGTTATGAAAAATATTAAACAATGTTCCTCGAGTTTTGCTGAAATATTATCTTCATTAGAAACTTGTGCTATTATTCACATTAAGAGTTGTGGAGTTGTTTTATAGACAAGAGAGTAAATTATTGTTGTAAAAGTTAGTCACTGTCAGGCTGCACCCTATTACTGTATTGGTGTTTTTCCCGTCAAATTTTAAGTTTTGGTCATCCCTGTATTTAGAATATCCAAACTATTAACCTAACCAAACCAACCTAACCTAACCTAACCTAACCAAACCAACCTAACCTAACCTAACCTAACCTAACCTAACCAACCTAACCTAACTTAGCCACGGAACCCAGGAACTATAGGCAAGCTGTGTTTGTAGTCTTCTTTACATATAAACGTCTAATATTTTCTGTGATGCAATAGAACAATACTTACATATTTCTGACTGCAAGTTAAACAATGAATCTAAAATAATATAGGTCTACTGTATATAGTTTGAACATTCTATCACCTAAACTAGGTAGCTGCAGTATTTTAGACATTATGTAGAGAAAAAATTGGGTATTTTTATTGTAGTTCACACAACATTCCAGGGAATCTTTTATCATATTAAAAAAAAGACGTCTAATTTTAAGGTAATTTTCTTCTATTACTTTACCGTCGGAAACATATAATAATGAGATAGTACATACCTAATCCTTCTCTATTTTCTTCCATTAATCTTCAGCCATCATCGCCTACCTCACCCCCCACTCAGCGTGTTCCCTTCATAAATCGTCATGCGCATGCATTCCCGTACACATCACGCGGCTAATCAAAAGTTTTCTTTATTTTGCCACGAATTGAAATGAATTGTGGTTTCTGCTTTTAGAATTTGCGGTATTTTTTGCCCAATCAGATTCGGTTGTGATTTTGGGTCTCATGCTTCGAAATTCAAATTCATTTCTGACTATGAAAGTCTGTGATGGGTGTCACTTCAATTATATGGAGTTGATTATGCATTTTTGGGAAAAACGAACAAGCAAAAGCATTTTTTAGATCTCGTGGTGTTCTCCCTACCTCAGTAAAGATTCTAATTCGGAATAAGGTAAGAAATAACAGTGATTCCCTCATATGGCGAGAGTCTGGTTACGTAAAAACACCGTGAGAGTTAGGTTAGGTCAGGTCGTGTCGTGTCGTCCAAAAAAGGTTAGGTTTATGTTTTTTTTGTGTTTTTTTGTTTATTTTGTATTCACTTGGCGATGATTTTTTTCGGGAAAACCCCCACCCAAAACCCTGGTTCCCAACAGAGCCCCTATCTTGTTGGGGGTAGAAGGGGGCAATAACTAAAAAACAGGCAATTTCCGACGGAAATCAAGGTCAGAACCAATCAAAACACACAAAAATACGCTAGAGAAACATGGTTTTGACTTTGTAACAGAGTTGTGTGAACTACTATAAATTTACCAATATTTGGGTAGGTTTTTTCACCTATTGTGTGCTGGTACCTTGAGGACATTTATCCATAGAGGATAAGGTAAATAATTATTCTGTTAACATCGGCAAATGATTTATATGCATGAGAAACTTAATTATTTTTAATGGAGTTTATCTTTCTGAATGTTGGTGAATGAAAGTTTGGGTAAATTGACCAAATTGGTCAATCTAGGATAGTAGCCAGGTTTAGGTTAGGTTAGGGCGATTAGCACCAGAAACGAAGGTCGGATTCATTCAAATCACAACAAGAACCATAGGAAAAACTTATTTTTTATGGACAAATCAAAACCTGGCTACTGTCCTAAATTGACCTGCATCTGTACATTTTCTTTTTTATAAATTCATGTGGACATATATTCTTAAAACATCATAAGCTCTCTCAAGAATCGAACTAAACATTCAATAAATAAAAGCTTACAAAACTAGTTATTTTTGAAACGATAATCAATTCTGAATAACATAGAGTTAACAATATGACTAAAATATGGTTTACAGTTTTTCTAAAACTCAATTATACCCTATTATTTATATCAGACTTTTTGTTGCTGCTATAGGAAGCTGAGAGATTCTCACGCATTTTTATGTATAATTAATTTTAGAAAATTGTGTTTTATAAAATTAAAACATAAGTTGATGAAAAATGCAATGATAAATTTCAACTTGTATTCACCACAATTTCTCTCATCTTTCATGCCCTGTCCACTACAGGTGACTCGTAAATAGAGAAAAATTAAAAGATTAAATACACATATTTATAATGAAAATAAAAAGTTGTATTGATTTTATAAGTAAATATCATCCAAAATATAGCTGTGGAAAATATGAACAAAATATGTAAACATATTTTGATATTAACCAGCTCCTTTACCTTACTGAGTTATGACCCTTCCTACCCTATCAACCTCGACTCCACCAAAGGTGGGTAGGGGAAATTGTGGGGTTAAAAACTTAACTAAAAGAACCTAACCTAACCATTGCCAGAAAAAAATCAAATTTCAATACAGTCGTGTCATATCTTATGCGGGGGTTACATTTTGAAGAGGGCGTGTAAAGTAAAAAAATGCTTATGTACAGTCAAAATTGAAAAGTTTGAAAACCTCCTAAAATATACATTTATTTATATCTCTACAATATATACAAATCAATACAGTACATTATAATGTTCCATGGTTGACCTTTTCCAAATCCTAACCCAATTTATTATTATAATTAACAAAGTTTAGCTTTGTATTAATTTGTTCATTAAACAGGAGACATAGATAAGAGTGTAATGTAACAATAACTTGTCAGCGTCATAACACAAGCTGTTGCTAAGAATTACTCTACACATACACATTTATAATCATTGTTAGATGTCTGCTTGTGGAATTTTTTGTCTTGCATCATTGTTGTCATCTTGTTCATGGTACAGTATATATTGTTATCTTTTTAAGCAAAAATTATAGAGATGTACTGTACAATATTTTATTATTTGATTCTCAAAACATCTGTTTTCTATGTGTAATTTAATGAGTGCAATATTCTCACAGACAAGAACAACAGAACAAACTCACATTTCTGCTCAGTCTACAGGAACTGAAATACTGTACCAGGATATGTAGTATAAGCACTTTTTTACATACAGGTGCACACACAAAAATCATAGATAACCTGGTGTTCAGTCCTTGTCAGTCTCCCAATTTTACTCTCTCTCTCTCTCTCTCAGAGGTACACATCCATATACAGTACAAAACCTGTCTAGAGTCTTTTTGTGTTGATTCAGTTAAAAATGACTTAATTTGTATTTAATGCATTAATTCTCCAATCATTACAGAGACAGACAAGGGCCATGGACTAGCAGTTTCCACCGTGGGCGCGCTGGAGACTGCTATTACAGTGCACCCCAGGAGCAGTCCAGTGAAAATTCAAAGAAAAGTTTTTGCATTAACAGTTAAATTTTTGAGTTAATGTAAATAATCTGGAAAAAATTGTTGGGTGGGAATATCTGAGCTACATTAGTCAGTAGATGTGCTCCCCAAGCCCTCCCATTTACTTGTATTAAGCTCAATTCATTTTAAGTGGTGTAGAAAACATTGAACATACCGTAGTGTGAAGTGTACATTTTATTAAAAGTGACATTAACGGATACACCTAGCACAATGACTGCCTCTTTTGACCCTCACGACCGAACCAGGTGAGTACATTACCTGTACAGTATATATATTTGCTTTCAGGGTCAGGACCTTGCAGGGGAAATTTGGGTAGAAAATTAGTAAAGATATGTTACAATAATTATGTGTTTATTAATACAGTACTGTACCTTTACCTTTCACATACACTACTGTATAGTATAGTATATCTCATAGGTAAAAAATAATGTCATGAGAAACACATTTCCATACAATATATGCATTGAAAAATGACTCCTTAGAGTGCAGTTTTGGATATTATTCAGGAACGTATCTGGAGTATTACTGTATACAGTAACCTCTAGATAACTCGGCATGGATGTGGTCTCGGAATATATTATAGTATAACTCGGGGAAATGCCGAGATATATAAAATTATCTGGGGAAATCTTGGCATATCTGGCCACCTGCACCACCTACCATACCTTTGTGTCACCTATCATACCTCTGTGTCACCTACCATACCTCTTTGTCACCTACCATGCATCTGTGTCACCTACCATACCTCTGTCACTTACCATTCCTCTTTGTCACCTACCATGCACCTGTGCCACCTATTATGATGCTTCATTCTTCGCCTGCAGTGCTGGTAAGTGTTATTTTTTTACATCTAGTAATTACTGTACATGTACACATACAGTAAATGGGTCAATAACTTTTTATTGTTGTATTTTTGTAGGAGGGGGAAAGTGCCTCGACAAGTCGGAATTTGGAATAACTCGGCAAGGCCAGAGCCCCATATGTGCCGAGTTACCGAGAGTTTACTGTACCTGTATTACTTATGGTACGCACTTAATTTCCAATAACTAAAATGATTAAAATTGCAAAATTTGGGGCTAAACAAGCAAAAGATCACTAAATTAATGCTATACCACTACCCGCACAATCCATGGCTCTCTGCATAAGTTATAACTATGGTCATATTTCAACCAATCACGTAAGCCATAACTGCTCATGAAAGACCCATGCAAAATGAGATCACTGTACGTAATTTTTTTTTTACTCGTACATGCACACACAATTGTTCATACAGGATGTGCCCTTTTTAAAAAAATCATTATTGTAAAGTCAAAACCATAAGGGAATCCAAATTTCTTACGTCCCAGAGAATCATGGGAGGAGTAACGCTGTGGGAGGGGGGTGCAGTGTCGGTATCTTGGATTAAACATTTATTATGTGTGGGAGACAGCACAAGAGAGTGAGGGAGTGGCGTTCTCTCACGGCTATGCTGTCTCGTGCTAGTGACAACATTGCCAAATGGCAACGTAGTATTTTTCTTTTTTTCTTTATTATTATTATTTGAATTTATTCCTCACATTTCCTGGTTCGGGATATAATATTTTATGTACAAAGAATAAATTCTTTCACACACAACCCATCCTCTGGGCGATGCGACACATTCAACTGCTTAGCCTGGCAGTCACGTGGGTCGCACGTTTAACGCCTTTCCAAGATTGTGTCATCATATCTCGGAATATTTTGAATTTCATTAAACCCTCGAAAGGAGTATTTAGGAAAGAACTTTTGTGTGTATTTTCCTCCTGTAGCCGTAGTTTTCTGAAAATAATAATGATATAAACCCTTGTTATTCACAGGGATTAGGTTCCAAGGAATAGTGTGAATAGGCAACACCAAGAATAACAACTTGTACTACCTTAGTGCACTACTGTATACCTATACCAAACAACCGACCAGCTGCGGCAGCACTCATCCCCTCTTTTAACTTATCTAATAATTCAACTTTCTTTGTTAGGGTCATCACTGACTTCTGCCTTTTACATTTCACTCCATTAGCAACTAGCACTTACACTAGACAGTCATTTAGGAACCGTTTCACACAGTAACACTAAAGTTTTGAGAGTACAACACGAGATGCTGCATGGTGTCACTCTTTGTGCTGCGGGAAAAGGCTGGCAGGCTAGCCACCATAGCCACCATCTGCTCACCGCGAATTGTCGAAATCGCGAATCGGAAACCCGTGAATGGCAAGGGTCTACTGTACAATATAGTATACCAGGAAATGTGAGGATTAAATAAATAAATAAAATACAGCAAAAAATACTGCATTGCCAAACCAGTAAATAAAAGCCAAATGAAGGTTTAACACAGTCACCATTTGCATGCATTCCCCATTTCACCATGATAACGGAGACCAGCTGGGACGCCGACTCCCTAGCAACGCTCCCAACCCTCTACAACCTGCACCCTCCTCCCTTCCCTCACTGAGCCAGATAACTCGTGTGCAAAGAAATGTATATCCCCTTTATGTCTTTGCCATTAGAACAATTATTTCTTTTACTTTTTCACAATGTGAATGTAGGGTGGTGTGTGCACATATCTGGGTAAAAATAAGTGAAGAAAGTTACCCAGTACTTATATCTACCCAAAAATACGAGTTGAAAAACAGCTCACAGCTTGGCTGGGTCGCCTGGTGGTAACTTTAAAACTACCCTTAGACATTCTTGGGTACATCCAGGGTGTCATCTGTGAATTTTAAGGGCATCCTATAGTTTGCACTGGACAAAACATTTTTAGTAATTAGCTTAGTACAATCGAGCACAGGTTGTGATAACTTAAATTTTTCCACAACTTGTACAGCATTACTGTTGACTTATTAGTTGTGGAACATATCCTAATTTTCCCCATAAGATTAAGTATTCACTATATGCGTCCCTGAAGTGATATTATTAATAAAGAACTCGCATATAACAATGTTACACAAGCATATATCGTTTCAGCTGGTACTTTGGTCAGATGTCGCGGCAGGACGCCACCGACCTATTGATGGCAGAGCGCGATGGCGGTGTGTTCCTGGTGAGAGACTCTACTACCATCCTCGGGGACTTCGTGCTCTGTGTTAGGTAGGCCTCACATATTGTGTTGATGTGTTACTTTGTCCCTATATATCGTGATACTGTGTTTGGTAGGCCCCACATATGTCAGGTAGTCCTCATATTGTGATACTGTTTGGTAGTCCCCAAATTGTGTTAGGTAGTCCTCTTATTGTGAAACTTTTAGGTTGGCTTTGCATACTGTGTTGATGTGATAATCTGTCCTTTCATATTATGATACATATACTGTACTATGTTTGGTAGGCACCACATATTGTGTTTGGGAGCCCTCATATACATACATATTGTGATTCTGTTAGGTAGGCCCCAAATAGGCACTGTGTTGATGTGTTATGTTGTCCCCTCATATTGTGTTAGGTAATCCTCATTTATTTTGATTCTGTACTTTGTTAGTTAGGCATCACATAATGTGTTAATGTGTTACATTATCCCCACATTGTGTTGGGTAGGCCCATATACAGTAGACCCTTGCCATTCGTGGGTTTGTGATTCATGGTAAGCAGATGGTGGCTTTGGTGGTTAGCTTACAAGTCTTTTCCTGCACCACAACAAGTCACCCCACGCAGCATCTCGTGCTGTATTCTCAAAACTTTAGTGTTACTGTGTGAAACGGCCCCTAAAAGACCGTCTAGTGTCAGTGCTAGTGATGCTAGTGGAGTGAAATGTAAAAGGCAGAAGTCAATGATGACCCTGACAAAGAAAGTTGAATTATTACATAAGTTAAAGAGGGAATGAATGCTACTGCGGCTTCGGTTGTTTGGTATAGGTATACAGTGGTGCATTTGGGTAGTACACTGTATATGCTGCTATTCGTGGTTTTTCCTATTCACACCATTCCTTGGAACCGAACATCCTTGAATAGCAAGGGTTTACTGTATTGTGTTAATGTGTTAGAAGTGGCTGTAGGAAGTTTAGGGAGCTGCTGCCTTTATTGACAGCAAGAGGACTAACCCTCTGAGTGAAAGGAAGAATGTATGCAACTGGTATGAAAAGTGTGATGTTATATAGTGAACTGAAATGAGATTGGTGAGGTGTATCTGTATTGTAACACTGAGAGAGAGAGAGAGTAAGCCCTGCGTCAAAGCTAAATGGGAGACGGTTGAAAGTACTGTACGTATTATCAAAGTCCTTTGTAGAGGCAGGTTGATATGGTTGGGGTATTTGAAGAGAATGGATGAGACCAATTGGGTCAAGAGATGCCTTAGCCTAAATGTGGAGAGGAGGAGAGCTGGGGTGGGCCAAGAAGGACATGGGGAGAGGTTGAAAGAAGTGACATTAGAGTTAGGAACCTGGCAAAAGGGGCTGCAAGAGACTGTGTAGCTTGAAGAGCTGCCACAATGTAACCGCAGCTAAAGCATGCAAACATGGAAAATGGCCATAAAACAATGATGATGACTCCCCTAAGGTAGCCCCCACTTATTGTGATACTGTATTAGGTAGGCTATACATATTCCAGGGTTGGTTTGATGTAAACCAAAAGATTTATTTAAATCATTGATTTAAATATGGACTTGCTCCCACATGAAATAATGGAGTTGCCATTTGCAATACGTGTACAGTACAGTATAGTATAGACACTCCCCGGGTTACAGAACACACATACAGTACAGTATAGACACTCCCCGGGTTACAGAACACACAGTTTATAGAAATTTCGAGGATACAAAATGCCTCCAATAAGTCCCATTATAAAAAATTTGGGGTTGCGCAAGAGTTTGTTATTACGGAAGGTAACTGGTACGGCGTAACAACACTATTTGTGGAGGATTATGCATAAGGTGGCTGAGCACATCCCTTTGTGAGACACCATCTGTGATTCAGTACAGGGAACAGTAAAAGTTTATATTATGGAAGGGTCGTTTTCGGTTTACGGAAAATTTGGCTTAGTGTCCAGGAATGGAACGTTTCCATAAATCGAGGAGTGTGTCTGTATATTGTTAACGAAAAATATCCTATACTGTATCATAATTTACTGATAAGTATATATTGTCTCGAGGGTGTGATTCATAACTTGCTATGATATCTGAATATCTTAAATTATCATTGAGCAACCGTGCAGTCTCAGTCAAAAGTAATCATCCACCCCTCCGACTACCATACCCGTGAGCTCGAGGCCTTTCTACACGACGGATCACAAGAGGGTGGGAGGAGAACTGGGGTTGCAGATTGGGGTTAGGTAGGAGGACACAAGTCAAGGGCCACATTCATAGTGAATTATTCTTAACACCTGAAGAAGGTGCTAAGGTCGGTGGATGTAGCTTGACGTTGACGGCCTTAATGACCCTGGCCGTTGATAGGCCTAAAGCCCAAACAACTAACCAACCAGGAAGGTAGGTGTCTGGGGAGGTGTCATATGGACTTCTCTTTCCCTTAGTTATCTATGCCTTTATTCGTGATTCCGGAGAAGAATGCAGGTGAGCTTTTGGAAGATTGTATGATATGACCACATAAGAGAGGTGGGGGTAGGGCTTGTTTACCACCAGGAATATTAAACTAGGTTGTTACTTGATCATTTCCACCTCTCACCACTACTGTTCTTGAAAAAATAAATCAATATTAATTGAAAAAAAACAAATAAGAATGAATTGTTACTTGATAACTTCCACCACTACCGACTTGAAAAAATAAATCATAATGATTTATAAAAAAAAATTAAGAATGAATTGTTGGATAGAAAGTGACTTGTCCAGCCTGTATTGTGTGTATTAGAGTTGTGAAATTGAATGCGGGTGATGAGGTGGTAGTAGCAGTGATATATGGCCACTGCTCCACACCTAACCCAGGAGGGACGCTATAGAACGTCGATTGGCAAGTCACAGGCAAATTATCGGTTTGTGCACCGCTGGCTACGTGTCAAAAATTACAAGGGAGGTTGGGGTCTGTGTGAATGATTGGTTAACCCGTTGGGAGGAGTCTGGGAAACCGGCTGCAGTGAGTATTTTTTATGGTTTGCTGGCATTTGATATATCAAAATGACTGTTTTAGGTGTGTAATGTAAACAAAACATTGGATCTCTTATTTCATATAAATGATAATTAATCCGGGGAAACCACGATTAACCGGACGGGTTATTGAGATTATGCATGACTTGTGTTGGTCATATACAAAATAAAAGTGATTTTCACCCTTGTATTCAATATATCTCCTTATATAAACTTTATTATAAGTATCTAATTACCTGTGTTTAAAACCTGAAAGAATTATAAATAAGGAAATGGATGGCACATTATAATATAATAAGGGTCCTTATCTATTACTCATTCAAGCATGTAAACCTAAGATAATATAGTGGAAAAAATAGCTTGCATCCATCCTTCCCTTCCTTCCTTCCTTCATGAATTTACCTGCTTTCTTCAATCCCCTCCCCCAAGTCAACCCTCTCCTCCCCACATGATTTACCGTGCAGAAAGGACCCAGCCAGGCACAGGTTAGGTGGTGGAGTGGATGATTACTTTTGACCACAACTATTTATTACAGAACCATTAACAGACTGTGTATAGTTGTTGCCACACTCAATGTACATATACTTTTAAGATTTTTTTTCATATACTGTATACAGATATACAGTGATATCTCCATTAGCCGGAACAATTGGTGCAGAGCACTAATGGGAATGAGTGATTTTAGGGTAACAGGACGACTCTCTCGGAGCCAGAAAAAATCCCTCATCCCCGGAATTTTCCTGAATTTTCCGGGTACCGGAAAAATTTCCGGAAAATTACCCGGATTTTCATCTCTCTAACCCGGAATAAAATCCCCCATCCCTGGAATTTTCCTGGTACCATGAAAATTTTCTCAGACTTTAACAGAAAATGTGCCCCATGCAAAAATCATTCCCAAAGCCGCAATTTTCCAGAAAATTACGGCTTTGGGAATGATTTTCCGAGAAAACTTCAATTCTGGCTATCGGAGACTTCCGGGTTTGAGGGATTCCAGTTAACGGAGATATTACCGTATACTTAACACATATGCGGACTGTGCAAAGTCAACAGTTAATGAATCGACGATTATCGAAGCAATTAATCCCACAAGAATAACAAATTTGGGAGGTTAGGGACCAGTCACCCTCCATAAACTCCCATCTACTCTTGATTTATCTCTGTTGTGTACACTGTCAAGGAAGAAAATAATGCAGACATATGAAGCAAACATAATAAGCATTAAATAAGGAATGTAATCATCAATTGAGACTGTTACTGTATTTACCTGTGTTGAAGCGTTGAGTTGGCATTCCTCCCTGAGGCTGGAGGGACATGTTGGTTGGGATAGTCTTACTGGGTGAAGGGTGCAGGGTTGTCATGGTCCTCAAACCCAGTGTCTCCTCTTTACACACACACACTCATTGTCAGCAGCCTCATACTTTTTCTTGTCTCTGAGGATGGTAGAGGTGGTCAAGGCTGGCAAGCTCTAGTCTCTACTAATCTTTGCAGGTCGATGACCACTCTTATGCCTTATCACATCAAGCTTGACTGGAAGACTCACAGACTTATGCAACCTCTTAAGGGGCAGCACAAGATGAACTATTACTGGGGCGTTTAGGCATGATTGAGTAACACACTTAAGTCTGAAACGACAGGGTAAACGAAAAACACAAAGTATCACCATCTTCATCAATGTTTTATGGCCATTTTCCACGTTTGTGTGGGTTAGCTGCATTTATCTGATTGCAAATTTTGGGTAATGCCCAAATGGCAATCCCCCCCATCCCCCTCACCACTGCTAATCCAAGGTATCAGTGCAGAAAATATAGCAGAGGCCAAGGGATGGGCACAGCTCTGGTGATTCAGCTGCCATCAGGCATTTTGAGACAAAGTTTTATGGCTGGATGCTCCTGATGCCAACCCACAAGGTGGGAACAGTTGGCAAGGCAGGGTCATAACTTACTGAGGTCATCTAAGTATACCTGCCGATGAACCAAGATAGTCCCCAATTGTATTAATATGTTGGGTTGACCCTGCATGATGTTGATTTGTAAAGTAGGCCCATGTACAGTATTATGTTCTTGTGGTAGGTAATCCCCACCTAAACTAAACCCTTGATAATTGGGCTTGCTGGAGGCTGCCTTTGCAGAAATACAGAATTTCTTAATTTTTACACAACTTTTAGCATGATATCCACATATGTGCACCTGGGGTATAAAGTACTCGACCATTCATCTATGGACAGATTAATGGGTAATGGAGCAAATATTGCTAATCCTTCACAATACTGTAGATGGCATCTCTCCCCACCATCTCCCTCCCTCTCTTGCACTCCTTTCTGCCCACCCCCTTACATACTTACCCTCACCTTCCCTCTCTCCATCTCCATATCCTTCCTTTTCTACCCACTACCCTCTTTCTCTTATTCACCGACTCCTACTCTTTCTCTTTGCCTGTCTGTCTGACAGTGTCACTTGCCTACCTATCATGCATCATACTGATTACTGTAATATTCTTCCAGCATCTCCTTCCTTTCGTGACTTCCTGTCCAAACAACTTGTATTTCTGACCCTTTAATCTCCCCCTCCTCATTTCCTCTCATCCCATAACAGCACAACACTACTTTCCCCTCTCCTTCAGCCTACACTCTCCACTCCTACCCCAGCCTCCTCTGCTAACCTTCAACACCACCAACCATCTATATTTCACTTACTACCTAGATTGTTTTATTGATCATTATCGACAATAAAGGTTGAGGAAGGTGTGACTATGTAAAAGCACTTTTGTTTTCTTCCCTTATATGGCAACCTCAATAGACCCCCCTTTACTTGTGATAATCATTGGACTGTGTTATGGTTGGATAAATATTTACCTGATAGCTTTGTATATAACTTCATGACCACTGTCCTTAGGGAGCATAACAATGTAGCTCAGTCAAATTGAGTTTGCTCATTTTTCATCACACATAAGATAAATAATTTATTATTTAACTTCTTTAGCAAATTACAATATATGCATGTATGTTAGCATCATACAAATGTGTTGACTGCACGGTTTTGGGCAAGTGCAGTTAGTCCCAACCTTCATATTAGATTCGGCAGTTTGATCATTAGCTACTCGGTTCCATCACCTTCCAATTCCTAGCTGGTTTTCTTAAATCTCACGGTGCTCACCAGTGGCCCACATTCATATTAGGACAAGAATAATTTTATGAGACAGGGCTAAAGCAAATAATCCAGACACTTTCCTCCTTCCCAGGGTTAGGTGTGAAAGCAGTTACAACTGTAATGTTTACTGTACATCTTCATAAACAATTGTTCATGAGTTGTTCAGGGACTCATTTCAGAATTTTGAGTCCTGACCTACCGACAACGACCATTATAAACAATTACTATATCAGTCGATACCAATTCGGTTTGAGATACTGCTGGTGAGTCGTTGATATTATAACAAAATTAATGTTTTAAAAACAACATTTCCTGCCATTAATTATCATGCTCATATCTTGAGGGATTTACTGTACAGGTATTATATATTATGGGTTGGTCATCTCAGCCCTCAGGCATTTACTGTACATTACTGTAATGAGTCTAGGATTTAGTCTTCAGTGTCTATGTATAGATTAGTTTGAGTTTTTCTTTTATGCAATGAACTAAATTTTTTTTCTAATTTCCAGGGAAGACAACAAAGTTTCACATTATATAATAAACAAGATACAACAGGGTGAGCAAGTGCGTTATCGCATAGGAGATCAGATGTTTGCAGATTTGCCATCACTTCTCAATTTCTATAAACTACATTACCTAGATAGCACACCCCTTATCCGACCTGCACCTAAACGTTGTGAGAAGGTTGTAGCAAAATACGACTTCGAGGGCAGTGTAAGTGTTCCTTGTACAGTATGATTAAAGTGCTCTCTAATTTATTGGTATAGTCTAGAGCAGTGATGGGCAACCCACATTATTACTGGGCCACATGACTGATCCTCCCTCATCTCAGTGGGTTGCATCCTTGAAGATATGATCATAACCCAAATTTCAAAAGCCAGAATATTTATCCATACAATTGCAATATTTTATCGCATATAGAATAATATGTTTTTTAAATTTATCAAATAACTTGACATGCATACATACATACATTTGGGAAAAGAACAAAAGATTTAGGAGGAAATGGAAAGAGTTAATTCAAGGGAGGACCAGTTATTGATTTTGAACAGTTTTGACAAGATATGAATAAAAAGGCACAACTCATTTTACTGAAACACCAATGTTCTTTATGTTTACTTTCTCTTAACTTTCAAATGCAAATTATCAAAACAAATATGGCAATGTCTAACCTAAGCTGATCACTCTCAAATGTTTATGAAGTGTTTTATTCTTATTACTATTTTTTGTATGTGAATATTGATCACTTCACTGGCAATAGTTTACAATATACTGTACAACTTAAAAGATGTGTACTGTATTAAGCAATAAAGCCCAAACCCATCAAAAAGTAAAGCTCACACACCAACTGATGTGACTTGGGACTCGAGAGGGAGACAGGCAGGTGCTGCTTCGGTTTAATCTTGAGCGAATCTGATTTTACAAGAGTTTCAAACCTCTCACAGTACCTCGGTCACAGGACTAGGTATCACAGTACCACACATATAACTCTAGGCTTGTCTTACAAAAATAATCCTAAATATATAACTATTTCCTCCACCCTAATAATTGAACTTATACAATTTAAGACAATGAATAATTAAGCCAGTTAAACAATGGAATCTTGTTGTGAGACTTAACACTGCAGATGATATACCTTAATTACCTTTGTAACTCAATATATACAAAATGTTAGAACCATCACCTGAAGCAACAATTGACATTGAAATTAAAGTTTTATGGGGTTCTCAACTATACCTATCCTAAAATCCTAACCTAACCAATGCCTTTCTAATCCTTGTCAACTTTCGGTGAGGAGATAGGCTAACCGTGTGGTCCTGACACACCCCTATAGCTGGTGGTGGCGAGACAGCAGACATCGAGGGCAAGCTTGGAGTAGTCCTGGTGTGCTAGGAAGAACCAGCCTCTGGCCTCCTATTGACAGCTGGTTGGTTGTCCAATGGAGAAATGGCAGGTGGTGGCGGTGCATGAGGCTCTGGCCAGCCTTGTGGTTGATTATGTTGAATGCATTGGAAACGCAACCAGGAGTACTGCCTCACAATCACACTGCTCTCATATGTTTCTCGTGGCGTGAATGGCAGCTTCCCCCCCCCCAGCTTGGTGGCCAGCACATACTTGGAAAAGTCCATAAAATTCTGGGGATGAGAGATTTTTTCTGGCTTTGAGAGGTAATGTAATGTGCAATTTCTGGAACTTCCGAGAACATTTTCCGTCACCCGGAAAATTCCGGGGCCGAGGGATTTTTTCTGGCTTGGGAAGAGTCGTCTTGTTACCCGGAAATCTCTCATTTCCAGAAGTGCTCTGCACCAATTGTTCTGGCTAACAGAGGTATCACTTGTGTGTATGCACAGTATACTCTCGATTTAAAGGAGTCTGAAATAACGAACTCTCGATTTAGCAGAAAGCATTTTTTTCACAGGAAAAATTCTGTATAACTAACTCGAGTGGTCAGTATAATATGTACCTGTACTGTATTTTTTGTTTTTTATATTATTTATAGTTTTTATACATTTAGTACAGTCACCGGAAGATTCAGACAATCGGCTTTTTCGGACAGGTGATCCCCCCTTTTAGTCCGGTCTTCGAGGGTTCACTGTATTTGAAGAAAAAAAAATTTATACTCGTTTGTATTGTGTAAATTAAATGTTAAGTTTGTTGTAAACAAAACATAACTTGTAAATTATGTGATAAACAATGAAGGTAATTCTAAACATAGAAAATCTTACCATATTAATGAAAAAGAAATGCTGTATTTAATATTGGTCTATTGATTGCCGTGCCAAGTGCACCTATTTTTGATAGTACAGTATTTATGTACTCAAGGACAACAATCGACAGAAATCTCGCGGGTCTCACTTTGCACCTCGATGGGCCACTGGTTGCCCACCACTGGTCTAGAGCCATGGACTTCTGAAATTGTGCAATATTTTTTAATATTACAGAAGGTCTTTAGGAACCTTCTGCTAGTGTCTGATGTATTTCTTCACTGAAAGAGTTAAGTAATGAATATGATAGTGGTATAATGCAAACATTTGTTTAGGATCTTAATGTAATTTTGCTTCACTTTTCAGGATCCAGATGATTTGCCGTTTAGAAAAGGAGAAGTGTTGACTATTGTTAGCAAAGATGAAGATCAATGGTGGACAGCCAGAAATTCCATCAATCAGACTGGGTCCATACCAGTACCTTACGTGCAGAGGGTAGGCAATACTAACCCAATTCCTGAAGTCTTAGCAAAGGATGTTATAAATACCTTGTGGTGTAGTGTGTCTTTTCATGCTGTTCATGTCTGGTTAGTTTATCAACAGTGTAATATGAACACTTTAAATGTTACACAGATATAGATGGTAAAACCTTTCTAAGGGAGAACAAATGTTTTTCAGACTACAGTATTGCATGAATGTGGGTTTCTCTTAGGCCTATTTATAACCTGGTGTCTTCTAATCCATGTATAGTATGCAATAATGTTATGGGATTCAACCCAGATATGAATCTGGACTACTGATAACTGGTATTAATATATAATTTGTATGGCTCTATGCAATTGTTACCAATAAAAAAGGCAGATGAGAATTGACATTTTACCTGAATGGCTGAAAGATGAGCAGGTTTTGGTGCTGCAATCACACATACTTCCACTGTTAAGTCAATTTCCTTGTTCAACTGGTGGCTGTTTGTGGCATCAGCCATACCCATATACAGTTTGGTTTAGTTTACCAGCTCAGTCAATACACAGGGAGGTCCAGAACAGTTAAACTTCCTGTGTATAACAGGTTTTGCTGCTCTCCTCCTCTTCTAAGTACAGTACTTATAACCTCAACTTTAATGATTGTAAGAGACAACAGCATGTGATGTGTTTGGTTGTCAATCTACATGGAAAATAATTTCTTCATCCTCACCATGTTGTGGCTTCTGACCCTTGAATTGAATATTAACATGGCTGAGCCAGTTGAGAACCTGAGCTCTCCGATAGGCACCTGATATATACTATACATTTATCTCAAGGAAGCATTATGTAACATTTAGTATCATCTGGAATATTACACATAGCATGGTGGTAATAAGAACATATCAGAATGTTACCATGGTTATCACTTCAATATTTATTTTATTTATTTATTTATTTTTTATTTGTTTTTATTATAAGTAATATACATAAATTACAGTGGAATTGAAAAATATAAATATAATGGGGAGCAGTACAACACGGGTTGTACAGTATTAAGGTTGAACAAGAGGACAGAGCTGTCAGGATTATGTCTAGTTGGCAATTATATTTATTGCAATGGTAATTTTTTATCTATTTACATGATAATATCCGATAAAATGGTTTTGATGTTACAATAAAAGCAGGTACTGTATATATAGTAGGTTTTACAAGAAATATTAATACTTAGACAATAGATATTTTTTTAAGAGATGATTTAAAGGAAGGGAGCATAGTCTTTGCTCGGGTGGGTGGGGGTAAGTTGTTCCACACCTTCACACCATGATATTTTATGGAGGTCTGGGACTGAGAGGAGAGCACGGGGGTGGTCTTAGTAGCTCTGGTGTCTTAAGTTGTATCTCTGATTATTCCGGAACTGGAAATAATTATTGTCAAAAAAAAAAAAAAAAAGGGCACAGCAGTAGGTGTTAATATCTTTGGATTTTAACATTTTCAATTTTACAAATTTTTCATTTGTGTGATCTTTTTTTTTTTTTTTTTCAAGTAGTTCATTGTTCGTACAACTCTCTTTTGTGCAGTAACCAGGGATTGTGTTTTTGAAGAGCCAGAGGCCCCCCATAGCGTGTGGCAGTGTATCAGATGTTGGTAAACAAGATCATGATAGATTTCTTTCATTGTTGAAGTCTCGGGTCAATGACTCGCCACATATCTTGAATATTTCTGTAGACGTGAAACCAGCTGGAATTCTAAATCCTCTGCAATAGGACTTATCCTCTTGAGACACTGTTGTGTCTATGAGTTTGACACATTTGATTTTATCTGCAAACTTATCATTAAGAACTGTACTCACTAAATCCAGAGTGGATGTGAGAATAAGTTTCTCAGCATATGTATATGACACTTTTTCTTTTGCAATGCGATAAGTAAATAACTATGATGCCAGTTGTACTTTATCATTAAGAGTGGTTGCTTTACTGAGATTATTTACTGACAACTTTATTTCCTTCTTTCTTCTCTGGAAGTTCTCAAGTGGTTTGCCACTGAGCTTGGCATGTTTTGTCTCTAGGTGTCTTTTCAATTTGGATGGTTTCAAACTTTCATATGCAAGAACTTAATTTTCTTTTTGGCAGGGGGGGGGTCAGAAGAGGTCACTCCCCACACTTTCAACTGTAGGGCTCTCTGACTGTTTATCTTTCTCAGATGCAATATGTATCTGATGACTGAGAAGGTACTTTGCTTTTTCTTATAACAAAATGATCCAGTCTGTCCTTGGGGTGGTAAAGGGTACTGTATGGCTAACGAGGGACTACAGGTTGACAATCCCTTATCCGAAATCCTTGGGACCAGATGCATTTCGGTTTTTGGAATTTTTCGGTTTTCAGAATGGTTAGTTTTTCTTTTTTCTTTTTTTTTACAGGGATCAGCCCACCCGGGCACAGGTCACTGACCCACATTGGGGCCTGGGGGCCAAAATATAATAATAATAATAATTATAATAATAATAATAATAATAACAATAATTCATAGGTCTAGGTCGTGTTTCTCACTTTTGATCTTTTTTTCATTCTTGTATTTCTTTATTATTATTATAGTATTATTGTTATTATTATTATTGTTATCATTCTTATTTTATTTTTGTGTATTTTTTCTTAAAATTTTTATTTACTATGAATAATTATTATTATTACTGTATTATCATTATTATTATTATTATTATAATTATTATTACTATTACATTTTCACCCCCCAGGCCCCAATGTGGGTCAGTGACCTGTGCCCGGGTGGGCTAATACAAAAAAAAAAAAATACTCCACAAAAAAAAAATTCCGTTTTCAGAGCTTTTCGGTTTTTGGAATTTCGGATAAAGGGTTGTCAACCTGTACTTCCACCTTCCCGCATTGTAACCATAACTGAGAAAAATTTCCTGTATTGTACTGTGTCATATACACGACCGAGTTACGTCTCTCCCTTTCCCCACCCCGTGATCTCTCTCTCTCTCTCTCTCTCTCTCTCTCTCTCTCTTGTACTAGTAACATAGTCATTTTGTTAATGTTTTTTTATTTATTGATTCATATATGTATTTTAATTATCACTTTAGTATTTTTGTATTTTTATTATACAGTTCTACTACTACTGGTGCCATTACTGCTGGGACCAATAAGAGAGACCAATGTTTGCACTTTATTATAGCAGGGGAAGGCCAAATAGTTTCTAAAGAGTAAATACTGTATACTGTACAGTACAGTACTGTAATGTGCATAATAATAATCTTATAGTTTTATCCTTTAATATCATTCAGGTTTGAAAAGTTGTAGTTTGTCATGGTAGAAACATATTTTAATGATATCCTTTTTCAACAGTTTGAGGAAGGAGAGAGTATTCCCATTAACTCAACCCCAAATAGAGGCAGTACACAGTCTACAGATGGTACGCCACGTCAGAGGCCTAGCCTTCAGGTACTTAGTATATTAATGCTGTTATGTGGAATACCCTTGTACTTAAATAATGTTTTTTTCATTTATCATAAAAACTATAAGTTAAAATACGTCACCACTGCAATGTTAGAATTGTAATATAAAGATTATTGAACTGTTTATTACAAATCATCTTGTTTCTAGGTGACGTATGTGTAAGCAATCTTCATTTGGAGTTCAGCTAAATATTTTCTGCCAGGTAGAAGGAATAGTGAATAAGGTTTCGTTTGAGAATGTGTTGCCTCCTTTTACTTAGATATATTGGATGGAGTTAAATGACAGAAAAAAAATTATTCGTGGACTGTTATGCACTAGGTGTCCAGAACCACCTCAGTTTTTTTTTGCTATGGTTGGTTAGGACTGGGGATTTTTTATTTTTTACCTGTCTGGAATGAACCTAAATACTACACCTTTACTAATATCTTGTATCTTGTGAAGAGATTTACAAGGCTATTTGGTAACACTGTTGTAGGAATTACTTCAGTTGTATAGATATCAAATGGTGTTTGTGAAATATTTTATTTGCTTATTTAATTAACCAGACTCCATCTCGGTTATTTAGGATGGACTCGGCATAAAGTGTCATAAGAATACAGTTTAACAAAAATATTTACAATATATTATGTAACTGAAATCAATGCACTTATCTGCAAGTTTCTCAATACTGTATGTGACTCTTAAAAAGGTTGCAGTTTTCTGGATGCAATTATTGTGGCTTCAAACTTTTGTAGTTACCAGAATACTATTTACATTTCGGTTGTCACTGATACTAAGGCTTTGTCATAACTGATACCCATTATACATCTTATCACTGCAGCACTAGCTTATAGAAACACACTAAGTAACCTAACCATTTTGGCACTTTCTTAACACTCAGGATCGCCTGAAGTTTATTTAATGAGCCTGTCACTTGTTTTGTTTGGAGCCAATAGAATGACCAGAAATCATGATATTTTTGCTCCAAGCACTATTCATGGCTAAGATATTATCAAATATTTATTCAAATGATGCCTTCCTACAAAAAAAGGCTGGGAAATCTTATGAGACCCTCAAAAATTAAATAAAATATTAAATAAAAGCCATTTGGCAAATATAAGTGAAAAGTGGGAGTTTGCTGTTGATTCCTCTTTGTGCTGTACCCACATCATTGCATCAGTCATTATAAAATGCACATGAAAAGAAAGAGTAAATCACGAGGAAGATGATGGTGTAAGTATAAAAAAAGATAATGTAAAAAGTAATAGAGTTACAGAATAAAAAGTAAAAATAAGTGGTGGTTAAGCACGCAGTCGTCGAATTGTTTATACAGGTACACATTTTTTTTGCCTTGCTAGTTTTTTTATTGAAGTCTCTCGAAAGAATTTTTCGTCTACCATTAGACAACACATTATGCTTCCAATATCTTCCCAGGCGGTAGTACATGAAGTAGGCAAGGTCAAACCCTGAACAGAGCAGAGATTTTAAAGCATCAGTGGGATGGTGCAACCAGTTTATGAAAAGGAAAGATCTGGTATTACTACAGTAGAAGCTACCTGATGACCTTGACCATCAAGTTACCAGGTTTCACCAGTTTTTTATTGATCTGAGGCAGAAACACCACTTTTCATTGTCAAACATTGGAAATATGGATGAAACCTCCATGAACTTTGACATGTTAGGCAATAAAACAGTGGAATCTGAAGTTGTGAAAACTGTGCTAGTCAGGAGTACAGGCCATGAAAAGACAATGTTCACAGTGGTGTTATCGTGACCCATGGTCAACTTCAAGCGCAAATTCGAATGCCCTTAAAAATATAGCTAAATCTGGCATCTTTTAGTCCTATTTGCTCATTTATTGGTAGGTTTAGGTAATGGCATAATAAAAATCATGTCTTCAAGTGTGGTGTTTGCAACTGGCTGTTTGAAATAGAGTTACCATTGTCGATGCTCGTCCTTCAGCAATATGAAAAGCATCTCTTGTAGAGACGCACCGTACTTCGTGGGTTAATGAAAATGCACAAGTGCCACAGGGAATGACGGTATGCAGCTGTTCGTGTGCATTTTTTCCACTGTTGATATACAGTGATATCTCCGTTAGCCGGAACAATTGGTGCAGAGCACTTCAGGGGATGAGAGATTTCTGGCTAACCAAACGACTTTCTCAAACCCGGAAAAATGCCTTATCCCCGGAATCTTTTCCTGTTATTGGGAAAAGTTTCCGAGTGTCTAAACTAGACATCTTGCATATACGGACACTAGCCCACTTCCACAGAACGTTTCTGGGTGCTGGGGATGTTTTCATTGAATCTGACGCAATGTCAGGTGGAGGTAGGGTGGGGGATTAGTGGTCTCACATTACTGACCTTCTGATGGAATGTCAGGTCACCCTTTCTTGGGTGGGGGATTAGTGGGTTTCATGACCTGAAGATGTCTTGAATAAACACGAAATAAAGTATTTTTAGGGAGATTGCAATAAGTATAAGTATAAATGAGCAAAGTTGTAACCCTTCAACACTATGTTACATAACATTTTAAAATATGGGGTGAGAAAGCAGAAAGGTTTGGGTAATTAGAGAGATGGAGTGGAAATCCGCATTGCCAAGCGCTCCTCAACAGCTTATATTTAACTCACTACCACGCAGTCACACACACATGCAGATTTGTCTTACAGCAAGACCCTCACTCCTCATGCTTGCAGTCTTAATTCCCTTGTTGGAGAGTGTATGTGTGTGTGTGTAGCACAGTGTTTATTAATACCTGTACCCTTCATATACAATACTGTACTGTATATATCTCGTAGGTAAAAAAAATAACATCATCAGGAACACATATATGCAATGATACCAAATTCATTTCTCTAACACAATTAGAGCAGATGTTATGGATAAAAGTTTATACTTTTTTATTACTAGCAACCTTACACCTCAAAACTACCTTGGCTTTTGTCTTTATTCAAGACATCTTCAGGTCATAAGACCCACCAATCCCCCACCAGACAATGGGTGACTTGACACTGCATCAGAAGGTCAGTAACACAAGACCCACTAATCCCCCACCTACAGTGGTGTTTGCATAAATTATTACAGTTCCGTGCGAGCAGAAAATACCAGTCGTCGCTATAATATATAGCTTCATTCACTAGGTACATCTCACTCCCATATCATATAGATTTTTAGTTTTTTAAATATAGTTATTTAACCTAACTTTAAGATAAACTATTCAGGATTATTCTAGTAAAGAAATGGAGTGTTTAGCTTAATTAGAACTACTTTACAGACTGGTATCAACATTTCTTACATATTTCTTAAAGGAATGGAGTCCCAATCGTTATATCGTGTCATAATATTTTGTTTAAGGATGTCTTACTGGAAATGTCTCCTTGAGAATTTATTCAGGATAATTATGGTATCACATTCATTTCTCTAACACAATTAGAACATCTGCTGTGTATAAAAGTTTATACACTTTTTCGCTAGCCATAAATATTTTCTCTTGTGCCCTCAGTCTAAATGTAATTTGGGCATGTTTGTCCGTGTGAGATGAGATGGTGAGATGCATAGTTTAAACTCTCATAGATTCACAGAAAACTTACCCCAGCTCCCAGAAACATTCCAGGGCTGTGTGCTAGTGTCAGTCTGTGCAAGATGCATAATTTAGACTCTCGGAAACTTTCCCAATAACCGGAAAATTTTCGGGATGTGGGAATTTTTCCAGGTTTGAGAAAGTTTTCTCATTGCCCCAAAATTTCTCATTCCTGGAAGAGCTTTGAACCAATTGTTTAGTTACATTTTGCATTTCATGAAGACTGCTGAACCAGATGTTTCCAATGTTTATAATAATGAACTGATGAAATATATGTTGTCATTTAAATAAAATGATTTACAGGTAGTAGAAGAGTCAAGGTGTTTCAGAGTCAGTCTGTGTGAAATAATTGTACTGTATTAAAAATGGACAGCAAGTATAAATGTTAAGTACCTGTACAGTAAGGCAAAATAATATAATATTACTTTGCTTGATAATGACTATACTACTAACAGTTTTACAAAATTAATTATGCTTGAAATAGTTCATATGACATTTTTTTGTCTCGGGTTGGACTTTGAAGATATCACGTAATATTGACTAAGTTGTTATACCCTGAACCCATGTGGCCTAATTGTAGCATGAACAATGAGCAGTTGTGTTAGTAAGCATGTTTGGGTATCTTGAAAGATGCTTTTTACCTTCCCCAGTATTTTCTTAAATTTTCATTGTATTGGTTTCTTGATTGTATATTTCAAATAAGACACAGAGTTGCTTTAAAACAATATTTCATTTTTGGCTCATCAGTTTTTGCAGACAACAAAAAGCTCCTGTCAACACCCTGGTATTGGCATTATTGTCTGGTTTAAGTTTTTCCTTGTAGCTCAATAGTCTTAAACAGTTCAACATTTGCATTAGTTTGCAGTGCTCTTGTTAAGAGAGTCTCACATGTATCACAATGACCATTGATTACATTTTAGTTTTGTAACTCCTAATACAAAAGAATTAAGGCCAACTTTCTTACAGCGGAAATTACCGGCCTATGCACGAGTGAAACAAGCCAGAGTTCCCAATGCCTACGACAAAACTGCTCTCAGACTGGAAATTGGAGATGTCATCAAGGTGACAAAGATGAACATCAATGGGCAATGGGAAGGTGAACTAAATGGAAAGGTTGGACACTTCCCATTTACACATGTAGAATTCATTGACAGTGAAAATTCAGTGGATGGAGATCCAAATTAAGATGCATTACATAATTGCATTAGGATTGTGTAATTTCTAGATTCTTTTATTTTCTTAGGAATAATGTGAGTGTGTATGAAAAGAATGAATGGAAGTTATACACAGGTAAATTTGGATGTGATATGCTGGTCATCTTACCTGTAATGCAAAAATGGCAAGTTTGTATGTGACACAATTTTAGGAAGTTTGGATCAAGGACTCGATTCTGATTAGGGTTTTTTTTTTTTTTTTTTTTTTTTTTTTTTTTTTTTTTTTTTTTTTTTTTTTTAGTCAAAGTTTTTTATGAAATTATTTAAGAATAATTGATAAAAGGTATTAATATATTCAGATTTTTATAAACTACCCAAGGAGTCTAGCTGCTCCAGTAAGATGAAAGTCAAATTTTAAGTGCATGGGTATATTTTTTATCGGTTTATTTATTTTTTTAGACAGTAATACCTTGGTAGGGGAGGGCATCACTCTCTGCATCACTTCCTTTATGATGCTTGTGATTAAACAGAGATTTGATTGAAAAAGTTGTTACTGTGACGACCATATTTTAATACATAGGGATAATGAAATCAAATATGTTGCCTTTGAAAACCATTTTCTTGCACATAAATTGCACAATTTTTTATTAACAATATCCATAATAAACCATGGCAGTTTTCTTCCACTTTTCTTGCAAATGGATTCAACATATCATGTTGGCTCATGTAGTATATCTGTTAATATATGTAAATACTTAACCCCAAATGGCTTTGTTCCAAATTAGTCTAGGGACAGTACTCTTAGCTGCATATTCATATTGGATTGTATTTTACACTGCATAACTGTCTTGCTCTCTGGTCACTGGTAGATAATAGGTACAGTAATTGTAGAACTTTAAAGATGTGTCAGTACCCAATAAAGGATTTATTATCTGTAACATGCAAGGGTTGCTGTAGCATGCAGTGGTCCCTGTAACATACAAGGGTCATGCAGTGGTCCCTGTAACAACAAGGGTCATGCAGTGGTCCCTGTACCATACAAGAGTCATGCAGAGGTTACTGTAACATGTAGGGGTTACTGTAACTTGCAGGGATCACTGTAACTTGCAGGGGTCACTATAACATGCAGGAGTCATTGTAACTTGCAGGTGTCATTGTAACTCTCAGGAGTCACTGTAACTTGCAGAGGCCATTGTAATATGCAGGAGTCACTTTAACATGCAGGAGTCATTGTAACTTGCAGGTGGCACTGTAAGTTGCAGGAGTCACTGTAAGTTGCAGAGGTCATTGTAGCTTGCAGGGGTCACTATAACATGCAAGAGTCATTGTAACTTTCAGGTGTCATTGTAACATACAGGTCATTGTAACTCTCAGGAGTCACTGTAACTTGCAGAGGCCATTGTAACATGCAGGAGTCATTGTAACTTGCAGGAGTCATTGTAACTTGCAGGTGGCACTGTAACTTACAAGTCATTGTAACTTGCAGAGGTCACTAACTTGCAGTGGTCACTAACATGCAGGGGGTCACTGTAACCTGCAGGGATCATTGTAAGATGCTGTGATCACTAACTTGCAGGGCAAGGGTGGATCCAGGGGGTCTTGGGAACCAGAACCCCCATTTTCATCAAAAAATTTCAATACTTATTCTTTAATGCAATATTGTACTCGGGCATTTTGTAAACAGTAATTTCTATTGACCTTAGAATATCTCCTAATATCAAGTGCACATGGCTTAAAAATGCCCATGATATTGGTCAGATTTAAAAAAAAAATACTGGGGGGGGGGCTTACAACCCACCCCCCAAAAAACTCCCCAGTTGGATGGGATCGCTGCACTCATCATGTTCTCCCACCCAAAACTTCTCGGACGGACCCCCCACCCCACCCTTTGATGTTCTTGGATCCACCCTGCAGGGGGTCACTGTAACAAACAGGAGTCATTGTAACTTGCAGGAGGTCACTGTAACAAACAAGAGTCATTGTAGCTTGCAGGGGGTCACTGTAATAAACAGGAGTCATTGTAGCTTGCAGGGGGTCACTGTAATAAACAGGAGTCATTGTAACTTGCAGGGGGTCACTGTAATAAACAGGAGTCATTGTAACTTGCAGGGGGTCACTGTAACAAACAGGAGTCATTGTAACTTGCAGGGGGTCACTGTAATAAACAGGAGTCGTTGTAACTTGCAGGGGGTTACTGTAATAAACAGGAGTCATTGTAACTTGCAGGGGGGTTACTGTAACTTGCAGGGGGTCACTGTAACAAGCAGGAATCATTGTAACTTGCAGGGGGTCACTGTAAAATAAAGAAATTATAAAGGATACAGTATTTGTGCAACAAGTTAAATACAGTAATACACAGGAGAAAGTTGCTGTCAAGTATATAAGTTTACATTACTTAATTGGTTTTCTTATACCTAATTGTTATGGATGCTACTTTTACCATGAAGAAATATCAGATAATCAAATTTCACTGTTAAACATAGGAATCCTCTAACAATGTCTTGTTAATCAGTAAAGAGATCACATTCTATAAATTTTGTTTATATGCTAAACATGTTAAATTTTCTTTGTTCTAAATCACTCCATTTTTTTTAATGCAGTGACTGAAAAGTTTGTATTCTTTGTTGTAAAGGAATTTTACCATTTATGAGTGTGTTTCATAATGTTGCATAAAATCAAGTCTTATCAAGAACATAGATCTCTAAATGTTTCCAAACATTGTAAATTTTTCCATTGTTGATGTAAATAGTAATTCTATTAGGCAGAATTTTTTTTTTGTCTCATCAGTTTCTGACTGAAACCTTTGCTCTGACCACACTCCTGGAAAAGCTGGCTACATTAGTCATATGCATGCCATTCTGTACAAATATGCCATTGTAGCAGTTTCAGAATTATACTCTTGATTATATTCATTGCCACTAAAAAGCAGTAGCAGCAGATATGACCTAAACAATTTACTGTCCGTGTATCCAAAAGCCTGATTCAAGAACTAAGTCCTTACAGTAATTTGAAAAGGAGTCTATAAAAGATACGGGCCCCCCCAAATTCGTGGATTTTTATTTCGTGGTCCTCTATTATTTGCGGATGACACTCTGGATGTATCCAAGAATGTCTGTCGGTAGTTTTAAAGTTGCTGGCATTTTCACGGCTGGGACAGGGAGCCATTCGTTCTAGAGACAGTAATTTCCTTTATCTGTATTGTAAATATATATGTGTGTGTGTGTGTGTATGTGTAGACACACACACACAAATAAATAATAATGGGAAAATCCTCTCACAAATAATCAGAAACAAATTTATTAAAATTGTGACAGTCTACCCTCAAGTCTGTGCTTTATTTATTAAAGCACGGACTTGAGGGTAGACTCACATTTTTAATAAATTTGTTTGATTATTTGTGAGAGGATTTTCCCATTATTATTTATTTGTATGTGTTTTGTGTTTGTAGGAGTGTGTGAGGATGAGGATGACGGAGTGTGAGTGTGAATGTTTTTTTTTTTTTTACGGGGAATAGCCCACCTGGGCATCGGTCACTGACCCACATCAGGGCCTGGGGGGGGGGAGCAAAAGTATAATAATAACAATAATAATAATACCCTGTAATTAAAAATAATAAAGAATCATAAGTAAATAAATACCAAAATTAAAAAAAATGAGTGATAAACCATATATGATATGTTGTGTTGTCAGTAGTAAGAGAAACAACTGAGACCCTGCAATTGTGTAAATGAGGCAGAAAGTCAGATCAGCAACCTGGGACTTGGTCAAAATTTTGGTGATGCCATATGACAGCAGGGTCTACCATTAGACAACACATTATGCTTCCAATATCTTCCCAGGTGGTAGTGCATCCCTGTTTGATAGCTGTCTACTACCTGTGTGAGTGTGTGTGTCCTGCACAATGGCAACCAGTCTGAGTTCTTCCCCATCCAAATGGGGGTAAAACAAGGATGTGTACTGACACCAACTCTCTCTTCCATTTTCTTGGCTGCCTTCCTTACTCGTGCCAATTTAGCCGGCGGGGTGGACATCGAGTACAGAATGGAGGGTCTTTTCAACATAAGATGATTCCAGGCAGGAAAAAGGTGTTGGCAGCTTTCATTACTGAACTTCAGTATGCAGACGACCTCACTCTTGTGGCTCACACTGAACACGACCTACAGGAGATCCTAAACACCTACACAGGTGCATATGCACACTTCAGCCTTGAGGTGAATGTAAGTACCTAAGACCTGGATTCTTGTTCAACCTGCCCCTGGTTCAGCCACACCTCCACCATCCATCCTGCTTAATGGTACTACCGTCTCTAATGTTACCCACTTTCAGTATCTCGGCTCTCACTTGTCCACCACTGCAGACATGGATGAAGAGATTCAACATCGGATCAGATGTGCATCTGAAGCCTTTGGCAGACTCCATACCCATGTCTTCAGCTGTAGGGAACTGAAATTATTTACAAAGTTACATGTATATCGAGCAGTAGTCCTCCCCACCCTGCTATATGGCAGCGAGACATGGGTCACATACAGGAGGCACCTAAAGACACTTGAAAACTTTCACCAACATAGTTTACATTCCATCCTCTAAGTTCGCTGGGTAGAAATGAGAACAAATGCCAGTATTCTCGCTGACACTAACTGTAGGAGCATCGAGGCTACCATTATCCATGAACAACTACGTTGGACTGGCCATGTTTCCCACATGGATGACAGTAGACTGCCAAAACAGCTACTTTACAGTCACCTAATGAATAGTAAACATAACGCTGGCGGCCAACTGAAAAGGTATAAGGATAGTCTTAAAACAAACCTGAAAAAGTGCCAAATCGACCCCTTCACCTGGGGAGACGATCACCCCAGACCATAACTCTTGGAGGAGCACCACATGAAGTATCAATACTTTCGAGTTAGCCTGACTGCATGCCGAGCAGACAAGCACCAATGCCCGAAAGACGCTGCTACTGCCTCTCCTGCACTAGATGTAGCCCTCCACATGTGCAACATCTGTGGGAAGTCCTGCTGGTCCCATATCAGCCTCTCTAGTCACCTCAGAAATCACCAACGAACGTGACATCCTTAATAATTCATATCATTTTATCTCAATTTTTATGATCGTCATACTCGATTCTGAGTGACAGCAAAGTTGTAGTGTGTGTGTGTGGTGCTTTATGGCAGGAGATTGCACTCAGTGTGGTACTGAGTGAAGTAATCTCCAAGACAGAGGCACGTCACACACAGGGCAGGCACATGTGACTTGTGTCCCTCCTATGGCTGTGCTGCAGGTAACACAGGTGGCAGCACAGCCGCCTCCTGTCAGGGATTCTCTCTTGGCTTTGGCCATGTGTTTCATCAAGGCTTTGGACTGTATCCAAAACTTTACGTTGCTTGGCCCGTGGACCCTGTCCATACTCTTGCCCAAGATATAGCTGCAGGTGTGGCAGAAGGGCCAGGAGCCACCAGTGGAGCAGCAGTGGTGGCAGGTGTTGCAGCAGTGATGGGAGGAAAAGCAGTGGTGGTGGCAGGTGCTGCAGCGGTGGTGGCAGAAGGAGCAGTGGCGTCCCTTGCAGCCCCTGCAACCTTTACAGTCCCACGTCTCCATAGCTGCCAATGGGGACATGCATTTGGGACATCAGGCCAGTCCTCCAGCCTAAATTTCAGGAACTTCTTTATGATGTGCTGTGTTCCAGAAAATCCAGCATCACTATCTTCCGGGTGTCAGGGGAATATATTTTGTATAATCACAACTCCCAAAACTACGAAGATTTAGCAAAATGGACACCAAAATTCAACTACATCTATTCAAAGCACTTGTCCGCCCCCACCTGGAGTACCCACCAATACCACTTGGCACGATCAGCCAACTTAAACTTCAATCAGGACAAACGCTATCCGTAGAGCATCAAAGCATCTCCCCCCTCCCCTTCCCAAACACCACCAAAATACAAGGACTTCACGAATTATACAATATCAAACCACTGAAAACACGTACACACAACCAAGTTCAGAGAATCTGGAGCAAACTTGAAGAGTTGGAGGACCCAATATTCTCCCAGTTAAAAGAAGAAGTAACTACTAGAACACACAGCTGGTGGCCCAAGAGCCTCCATGCAAACATAGAAGAACAAGACCCACATTACACATATATGTGAACAAATAGCACCACCATTTAACAAACATAAATTAACACTCATTACACTAATGAATGCCTAGCCAGCTTAGCTCCCCTACCCCTGCCTCCCTTGACCGGGCGGGCATCTGCTGTGTATGGCCACCACCCCAACCAATCACCTCGTCTCGGCTAGGTGGATAGCCCACCCACTATCACTCCCAACTACTTTACTTCCCGTTTCTATGCTTTCCTTCTCTCTCTCCCAGGGCAAAGTTATTTGCCAGTTTACTTCATTATCATCATCATAAAGGTCGGACTACACCACGCTCTTAAGCAGAGAAGACCTCCTCTAAAGAAGCTCCTCCACAGCAACTCCCCAGCACCTGACTGCTCTGTACATATAATATATAAAAAGAAAACGCCATTGTGAGTTTCCTTCCTCACTTCCATCCTGAGTGCGAGATCTCTTCCATGTACGTATGAATGCAAGCCTAACAAGTAGAAAGTTGACACAACAAAGATAAATTGGACAACTGGCCACATACAAACGCTAAAATCTACACTACGGGTCAAGTCTACATCTAAATTAATTTTGCGATAAATTCTCTACGAAGTAGTTCATTTAAGAATGAGTCTCATGCCCTGTTTACTCTCGGAGCTTTTGTCCTCTACATCATACTGATAAGCCAAAATTCTCCACTGAGCTTTAGTTATGCGCACATCCTGAAATTTGTCTGTAGATGGGTCTGCTATGACCCAAATTTTGAAAAGTGCAAAATGAATCAATTCCTACTGTAACCTACACTGAGTTCATGTTAGATCCGATGTAGTAAAGAAATAACTCATACCAAAAACTGTACAACACGTCAAGTATGAAATAATTTTGGACCTGTTCAGCCTCAACCACAAGCTTAGTTATCACTATACTGTACTGCTTAACTACCCTTTGATATGTCAAAATGTAATGAAAGTTAAAGAAAATCAGGCCTCCAGAGTGAAATTAAAAATTTAGACACGTTATTAACTAACTCAATAAGCTAAGCTCCCAGAAACGTTCACCATCTTGTCGGGGGTAGATAGACTCGATGATTAACTAATTAAATTTTTGAGAAGAAAAATACCGAGCTCATAACTCATTTAAAAACAAAAATGAAACAAGAACGTTAACTTTAAATTCCACTCCTGAACAAATAAAGTTGTGACCCCGATCAGTGGTGAAGAGGATAAATGTAAAAAAGATCACTGGCCAGTGTGACGATTGACGAACTCTGTCCCCTCCTCACTCTACCACCCTAACCACCACTTGCTCCAACTTGACACCAGGGGAAGAAACTGCTTCACGAAGCTACTCGACTCCAGTGAGCACCATTTCAGAACCAGCTTCCCATCCGACTATGAGACTAGTTTCCCATCCGACTATGACTACAGATGGACAAGGGACGACCTAGTTGAGGTGTATAAGCATCTCAGGGGGCACTACTCAGTTGAGTGTCCTTACTTGGAGCTGGCGGACGCTCGCCCCACAAGGGATCACAGCTCAAGAGTGAAGAAGCCGCAAGTCCAGAAAACTGTGAGGGCAAACTTTTTCGGAGTGAGAGTTGTGAACTCTTGGAACAATCTACCAGAGAGTGTTGTGACGGCACCGAGTGTGAGCTTTTTCAAAACCAGACTTGACCAACACTGGAGGAGGTTCAGGTACATTCAGGAACCGGTGCATGCCCAGTACTATGAGACCGAGGTATCCCAGCAAGTGTGGCTGCCTGGTAAGCCGAGTCTCTTTTTCTGCGGCCTACGGTGTTCTCTTCTCCCGGGGTGTGGACGACGAATTGTATAAAGGACTACTGCTGGTGGTGTTGTGGTTTGATGGTAGTGGACTACGGCGTTAATCCCTGGCTCCTTGTGGTTGGCCATCGCAACCTAGACTTGCTACCTGAGCTGCCATTTCCATCAGGTTTTTGTGTTGTTGTAGAGAGTATGTGTATTTAATGTTTAAAGTAAGAATACTGTAATTGGGTAATATTCTGGTGTGTTTTGACAAAGGCATAGTTGTTACTTTTGTTTTGATAGTTGCATATTTTGTATTACTTATTACTTAATGTATCTAATTAACTAACTTAATCAATACTTAATATAAATGCTATTAAAATACTTAGTTTACATGATAATCTTATTCCTTTCCTAACTTAAATTTGTCTGTCACGAACAATGATCCTTGTGTGCTTGCCTTTTGCTTGCTCCATCCACGTATTTCAACCCTTAGATTGTTCACTCCTTATTTTTACTTATCAATTTTACTTTTCCTCAATGGTGTGGGTAGCAAAGAGGGACATCACATATTGGGGGCCTGTCCCGGATCTATCTGAATTCACACCAGAATTTACCAATTACGTCTTGCTTAATTGACCCTGCTATTGGTATTGTAACTACGCAAATTTGCCAGGTGAAAGTTTCCTAAGTGTAGTTGTAAAATAATTTTGCTACCCGATACCAGTAGTTCATTTTCTCACTTGGCCACTGTGGTAAGTGCTACAGTCACCTGACAAATCACTGGTAACAAGTTGTTGACTTAATACACTTTACTCCACCACACCGTTATCTTTTTAGAGTAAAGTAAACTAAAGAGAGCCCGTCCTCCCACACAAGCCGACCTGAGACTCGCTCTTTTCGAGATCTTCTTCTTTCATTTATTTCTTGAGACAGAGCTCACCTCTATAAACATAATTTTGCTAATCAAGCAACTACTGTTGTCGTAGCGACCACATCATACTTATTTAAAGTACACAGCTGGTGTCTCGTATTACGTTCTTTTTTTTTTACGGGAATTAGCCCACCCAGGCACAGGTCAAACGACCCACAACGGAGCCTAGGGGGCGAAAAAAAAGAACGGAAAGAAATTGTAGACATAGAAAAAAAGGTTATACTGTATTAATCTACACCACGAAGATGCCGGAAAACCAGCTTTTTAAAGTGAGACAGATTGTAAGAGCATGGAATACAGCCTGACGCATTAAGCAACTGGCACTCTACAATTCGAAGTTCCTGTCAGTTTTAGATTTAAAGGTTGACCCAAAGTTTTAATGTAGTGAAGTAATCCTTATTCTATTGTTTGATAACTAGGAGCAAATTGGAGTGGGAAAACTCTCACTGTTGTTATAAGGGTGCTAACTAGTAAAGGTGAGAAATTGCTAGATAGCCACTTCACTACCTTATAATCTTGTACTTTACCCTCCGACCTGCAATCACCTACATGGGGCTCAGTCAGTATGTGATATTTACAGTGAAAAATTAACTGATTCTAGGGTTACCTGACTGACTACTTGACCGGTCAAATGACTGATAATGATAACCCAGATGATTGTTCTTAGCATCAAATTGTTTCTAAATGCACATATACAGTATACCTTGCGTCTTGTTAGTAAAAACAAGTGATCAGTTGATGACCGTGTTACTGTAAATGTCCTCTAACCTTAATGTTTTTTGGGGGTGTTTGGCTAATTCCCCTTACTGCTTCTACCGAATGAATAAATTTTGATGGTACCCAAGTGCTCCATTATATTTCTAGTCGAGGTCAACACTGAATTACCAGGTTTGAAAGGGATGAAATTACCTATATGTTAGGATGAAGCGATAAGCGAAAATTAAAGTGTCCAAAAAAAGGATACACGTTAATATATGTGTTAATATGGTCTATCTAATCACTTATGGTAGTGCTTGCTGCAGCAGCGGCCACATGCACCCTTGGTGTTTTAACACTGGATTGAAGGTTTGTCTACCAGACGAGTTAACCCCAATAGAAGGTCAATCTGTGAATATGTGCAGAACTCGTTTACAAATTCTCAGCAGAATTCATCAAGTGTGGTAAATTTATCAAAATTACTAGTGGACATGCTTTGTCTATCAATTAATTGTCCTGACTGAAGACATCTTTTCAAGAATGATTACTTACTAAAACCTGTGGTAATGTTTATAGCTCCAAAGTCAACATCAACCTCTTTCAGGAAATTCAAAGCTGCCGTTAAAAGATCTCCATGATCAGAGGAGTAGTGGAAGGGTAGAAAGAGGAGGAATTGGTGTGAGCAGAGCACTTGAATAGTAAACGGTGAACTAACAGAATGAGTTTGTGAGGTTGTGGAAATATGGGGGGGAAGGGGTCAGACTGGCAAGCAAGTGTGGAGGGTATGGTGGGAAGTGTGGTTGATAGGTTATGATATGAAGAGAGTAGTCTGGCAAGCGTAAAGGTAAGATGTAAAGTACCTGTATAGGGGGTAGGTTGGAAAATCGTTCTGGAGATTTCTTTAGTACCTCTGAAAATTGTATTTGTTTGAATTGTAAACTATATGTAAATCTTAAACATAAAATTTAGGTTTAAGTATAAATAGTGCAAATCAGTGTTCGGAATTTATCCAGGTTTTGACAGATCTTCTCCATGTGGAATGGTTGTACACAATGATATATTTTGGAGGAAAAATATGCGAGACTGACTCCTTGAGAATTATGCTAAAACTGGCGAAATTATTAAAAATAGCTGATTAAACACTGTTAGAATTATGTTACCTTGTTATTTCAGCGCCCTCTTATGCTGAGAACAAAAAGAAGCTTTTAATATATAAGATTTGCACTATTTTTCAGACGGAGTATAAGATATTCAAATGTTACTACTGTTACGAAATCTAAACTCGAGTAGGTTTTGATATTAAAAGTGGAGTAAACTCTACTATAATGCACAACTAAATAAACGTATTGAAATAGTTAAAAGTCAAGCTTAACATGATTACGTGTTAACAACTTAAAAAAAACACAGGTTCACACCGCACAACTGCCAGGTGCTTCAGGATTTTCTATCCGAGTTTTACATGTCGCTGTTTTAGTCACTTGAAAGAAAAAATATATAAGACTTAATCCATATTTCAGTGAAATATTCCATGTTTATTTCAAAAGGAAGAAAAATATGCCAGAATGATAGTATATAAGAACTCCCTAGTCCTCAACGGGTGTTTTAAGGTTTCCACGCCTCTTGAGTTGCCTTTAGAAAGTATTGTGCTGTATAAGACTCTGGGCCAGCAGCGAAAATAAAAGAGCAAAGTTAGGGAGTGTCAGCCAGCCATCCCCGTTGTCATGGTAACGCTTGTAACACATCTGTCAGCTGGCCTAGTGTATACATGAGCCACTCCGTTGTCATAGCAACGTTTATAAGCAGCTCCCCAGTTGGCCGGTGAGGGAAGCTTGTCTACGATAATCTAGGTAAATGATTTTTTATTGTTATCTTGTCAGTTTATAGTTTGTCCAGCCATCATACTAAATGATAATGTAATATATATCACTTTTTATTTTTTTAATAAATATACTCAGAACCCTTAAAAAGTCAGTTCTTGACAGAAGCATTTAAACCACAGCTGTCATATTTCAACAAATAGTTATAAAACGAATGTTATCCGAGTACTCTGATGAACATTAGTCCAGGGTTCTGTTGTGAATAATATAATGCGTTGTGAAGCCTTGTGGAAAAAATTTTCAGTTTCCTTGGGATGATACAAAGTAGATTGAATAAAATTATTTAAGTGTGAAACCTTACTTAAGCAATTATGGGCAAGTTGTGGACTTTGTGGCAGTTTTATATGGCTCATTTGTCAAAGTCCAGTATTAATTTTCTATATTAATGTCTGAAAGAGAAAATGTATCTGGTACGCTTGTCGACCCGTTCATAATAGAATTATGCGTATACCGTTTTTCTGTACATAAGGTGGCAGTCTGGCCGACAATGAAGTTGACAATCTTTAATATCCGAACTGTATATGCAGTGCCTAGACTAGGTACCCCTTCATAACTAAGTGTGCAAAAATAACACAGCGACCCTTAAAACAAGAGCTGCACCACGTATATTACTACCTGGTGAAGGTTCAAGGGGTTATTCTATAACATGACTGCTCGTTAAGGATAGTGTGGAAAGAGGACACTGTATAATTAACCATCGGTACGTAACATGGCAGTGTTCTTGGCACGATACTGCGTAGTTAAATAGCTATTTACAGCTGGTATGATTTACCAGTGGCCCTTGGGACAGGAAGCGAGAACTGTATCAACTCTGCCGCAACACTCCATAACCCTATAATGACGTCATATTAATGATATTATTACTCCATATTAGTCATGTTAATACTGTCATAATGTCATATTACTCTTATCATAAAATCAGGTTAAAATTACAATAACGATATATTATTATTACTCCATAAAGTCATGTTAAAACTATAATAACGTCATTTCATTACTCCGTCAATCAATCGGAGTATCCTCCTCATATCTGGGGGTTGTCGACCACAGTCCTCCTCCCCAATCGTTTTAGGGCTGATTTTACTAATCCTCCAATATTTCGTAACTCTGGGGATCCAATTTTTATTTTCATCCACCCACCCTAGACTCTGCTTTCCCCTGACCCCAAAACTTTCAACTTTGCCCATTAATATTTGTTATTATTTTCTCATCCCTAATTGTATGACCAAAGTACCTACTTTTTATTTTTCTGTAAATTTCAAGTATTTCTCTTGAAGTTTCCTAGTGCTTCTTCATTTGGTTTCTTGTCAGCGTAACTTATTCTGAACAATATTTACACGAGTGAGCCTGAACTCTCGCAGTGGCATCTGATATATACTGTACATTTATCTCGAGGAAGTATTATGTAACATATAATATCATATAATATACATATTTTACGTTGGAGTTGATGTACATTAACATGATAAGTGGGGGAAACAAAGCAACATGGGTTGTATTCAAGTGAAACAAAAATACAGAAACAGTCAGGGTCATGTCTTGACGGCAAATAAATAATTATTGCAATGGTAATTCCTATTTGTCTACGAGACAATATATGATATAATGGTTTTGGTGGTATTATGAAAGTAAGATTATAAAGTAAGTGTTACAAAAATATTAATACTTAAACAATAGATGACAGGAGGTTGTATGCAAGAGCCAGAAACCAAGCAAAAGTAGAGTGTAGAAGGGCTGAAAAGGAGCTCCAGAGGCTGGTTGCAAGCGAGGTCAAGTCAAACCCAAAGGCGTTTTATCGCTATGCAAAGTCTAAATTAAAAACGCGAATAGGAGTATCAGACCTGAGGCTTGAAGATGGTAGTTACGCAGATTCTGACCAGGATAAAGCTGAGGCATTTAACAGCTTCTTTTCCTCGGTGTTCACAAGAGAGGATTCGATTAACCTTCCTGCGTTTGCACCAGCAGGAGGTATCGGTAGCAGCCACCAACAGTAAGAGGCAACAGAAGAAGACAAAGACGGGGGTGTGGTAGAGATGTCGTCAAGAAGACCTTCTCTAGCTCCCCCAGGTAGGGACAGTAATCCAGGAAGGGAGAATAACCCAGGGAGAGAGAGTAACCCTGGGAGAGATTGTAATGCAGGGAGAGACAGTAACCCAGGGAGCACGGATGGTCGACGACGCTCAAGTCTACGCCTTTCACAGTCACAGGTGGGTGATGACCGGAGGTACAGTTCCTCTTACGTGACATGTAGTATACCACTCTTATGACAAGAACAGCACCACTCTTATGGAGGTACAGTACCCTTTTTGGCATGCACAGTACTATGGTTATGTCAAGTACAGAACCATTCTTAAGACAGGTACAGTACCATTTTATGATAGGTGTAGTCGGATTCTAAAGTTTACTTCCTACGAAACTGAAGTTGTATCGACCCCAAATGAGATAAAACAGTACACCCGCACCAGTCCGAGTAAGTAAATTCGACTCATTCCCGTGACTCTTCAGCTAACCTGGTAAATTCCCTCAATTTCGTCAATCAATGTTCATTCAACTTTTTCCTCGTGCCTTCATTCATAGAGTCGTATAAATATTTAGCTTTAGTGAAGTTAACTTTTTAGTTAGCAGATTAGCGGTTTGCGAAGCTAACTTTTCGTTTAGCTGTGCCCAGCACTGCTCCTGAAGTATAGAATCCTTGATGTAGTATTTCTAACTTTTTCAGTTTTATCTTAATAACAAAACAACTTGTTTTCTACCTAAGTCGCTTATTATGATCATTTACGCAGATGGAAAACTCTGACGAGGAGGCGCAAGTGGAGGACGCGGAAGATGAGGTGGAGGAAGAGGAAGACGAGGAGGAGGAAGAAGAAGACCTTTACCAGTTGGACCTCCAGTCAGCTGAGCTTTCTACCGACTACTGGCAGATACACAAGATGGTCAAAGTGAGTGAGTGACAAATTAAGTGAATCACTTAGCAGTTAAATTACATTAATACAAATAAGTGAATCATAAATGGCTAACTTACACTGACAAAACTAGTAAATCCTTCATAGTAAACTTACGAGAGCAGTACCGGTCAGGTTGTCTCATTGTGTGCAGTATCCACACCGTCAGTAAGGGGCAGTCATGTACAGTGGACCGACTTTCAACTTACACTAAAACAGTAAATCATAAATAGTTAACTAACTCAACTAACTAGTGAATCTTTCAATTAAATGGTGTTGATGGTGATGGGGTTGGTGTTGATGGGGTTGGTGTTGATGGGGTTGGTGTTGATGGTGTTGTTGGTGTTGATGGTGTTGGTGTTGATGGGGTTGGTGTTGATGGTGTTGGTGTTGATGTTGTTGATGGGGTTGGTGTTGATGGGGTTGATGTGTTGATGGGGTTGGTGTTGATGGGGTTGGTGTTGATGGGGTTGGTGTTGATGGTGTTGTTGCATTATTCCACTAATATTTATCATTATTCTTGTCTGGTGGCTTCAGTATTTGAAGGTGGGGAACGCGACCTGCACGACTATCGCTCTGGTGGGCCTCAAAGACTGCGGCCTCCACCAGGAAGTGTGTCAAATAGCCCTCAAGATGGTGGGAGGGTTGGAGGTCCTCCTTAACATTCTCCGTACCAGCAATCTCCGATGTAACGTGAGTAACACTAAGCGAAAAAGGCAGAAGCTATAGACAATAAAAAGTCCATTCACCAGTCCACCTTTGACATTAGTTATGTGAGTCTGGCGGTTGTGAGCTACCTACGGAAGTCTGGCATCTGTAAGTTAAGTACGTGAGTGGCGTCTGTGAGTTAAGTACTTGGGTCTGGCGTCTGAGTTAACAACGCGAGTCCATCTGAGTAACCTGTAAATATTAAGTAACTTGAAAATCTGATTAGCAGTTCTTAACTTTTTGGTCGTTGAATGTAACTTTTTATATATGTACTCCGGCACCAGGACCTCCATGTTCATGAAAAAAATTATCACTATAATTAATAATCAATATCTGATCAAAAGAGGTGAGAGTAAAAGAATATAATTATTACTTATAAAAAACGTATTTAATTGAGTATCATACATAAGTTAGGCTCAAAGAACGAATTTGTACACAGAGCGAAAACGCAAACAAAAAACAACCACACGAGTTATAGACGTTTTCAAAATAACCAGAAAGCGAAATTTTACATACTGGGTTTTTCCGAACAGTCACGACGCGTTTAGGACGGTCTAGAAATTCCTTTAACCTAGCCTAAATTAACCTAAAAAAACAAAACATAAACAAGCCTATTCTAAGCTAACCTAAACTAATGTAACCCATACTAACCTAAACAAACTTAATCTAACCTAACCTATAGTAAAATTTCGCATTCTAGTTATTTTGAAATCCTCCACAACGCCACCAGGGGGCAGTAGTAGAGTGCTTCCACTCAGGAAAATACTCGTATTGTCAATATATATGTGTGTGCCAAATATGAGACTTGTAAAGAAAAGTGCACAAACATGCCCCTTTAGAGCTTTAAGCTACTAGACTAAATCGTTCTTTGGGCCTGATATTTGCACTCGTGCCAAGTAAGTCATATCAACAGTAACTAGCTGGGACCCCTTGGAGGATGACGTCACTAAGTAACTTGGGATTGGTTGGAGAAAGCCGTCCGACCTATATTAACACCTCGCAGCCGGTTGGGAGATAAATAATAATACATAATATTAATTAATAATAATATATGCTTATCCTGAAATTGACTTGGCAATGTCATATAAGTTGTTGTTGTTGCTATAATGTTATTCTTGTGCTACAACAACGAAGGGCTTAAAAGCGCGTAACAAGGTATTAATTACACTATTCTAACATTTAAAAAATATGAGATAGAACTCTGTGTAGGTATGAGTAAGAACTAATACAGCATTTTGTATTAAAAAATAGTTCTAACACTGCAGTTAAAATATGCCGGTAAGTGACTCGGGTGTTTTGTTTTTTATGTTGAATTATTTGTTATAATCTATTTTTTGTTTTATCATAATGTTAACTGTTTTGTTCTAACGTATTTTCCCAATCTAATTACTAATGTGAGGGTATAATAGTGATTTTTGTTATCCACGTGGTGACACGTGTAGGTGGGCGCCCTGCAGGTACTGGAGGCAGCCTGTGGACACGTCACCACCCGTGCCACGGTTCATAAACTAGGAGGACTGCAGGTTAGTGGTGCAAGTTACTGGTTCACTGTGTAGTATTCATCAGTGGTTAAATTAATGGTGCAAATATGTGGCAATCATTAATGGTAAATATGTGGTACAGGCTAATGGGGCACAGTAGGGTATGATTCAATGTCACTAAGTGTAAGATGATGCACCTGAGACACCAACGGTAAGGAGGCGTATCAAATGTACTAACGGGACGAAGAGCTTGGATTAAATGAGACCGAATGTGAAAAGGACCTAGATCACAGGTGTGTACGTTGACAATGAGCTGAAGTTTTCGGGCCATTGCGAGAAGGTAAATCAGGCAACTAGCTTATTAAATTTTATAAGAAGGTCGTAACGATCTTCAAGAGTGAAGTGCTTCCCCGTCTGGAGTACTGTCATCCTGTCTGGTCCCCGAGATATGCCAGGGATATAGATTCAAACATATCCAATAATCCACATGCTCATAAATACCCGCTTTTACAAAGGAACACCTTATTTAGAACATGATTTCTAATTAGCTCTAGAGTCTAGATGATTACAGTCAGCTGAGGAAATCCTGTCGGTATTGTCTACCCCCCATAGAAAGACACCTCCCTCTCACTAGCGAAGTCTTCGAATTCAAACTCTGGAGTTCATGGTTCACAATTCGGGGAGAGAGGATTGGCAACGCTAAGTGGTAAATGCAGGAGTGGAACCAAATGTATTCTCGTCAGGATTCTACTGGTGTGAAGGGCCGGACTCTGGGGGCGTCTTAACAATGCTGTGTTCTTATTGTTAGTCACCCTGTTTCTGCTTGAGAAGGAGCTACCAAGTCATCAAAGCTCTGCTTCAACCGCCACTGCCGTTGGCCACCATGTTCCAAGTGTCAACGTGGTTTAGCTCCGGCCGTCCCTGCAACAAATCATTCTCTACGGTCTAAACAGTACACCCCCTTGCTGAGCTTCGACCGTTACTGCAGATCTTGCTTCCTGTTGACAGCCCATGCTGCTGAGCTACCCATATCATTCATTACCCATGGTCCCATACTCAAGTTGCTACCTCTAGCTTCCCATTGCTTCAGGGGTTGTCTGTCTTGCACATCTACTGGACGGGGCCTGAGTATAGATTAGGAAAAGTACCATTACAGTTGGTTGAGGTGACGGGAGTATTTATTGATTTTTCACTTTGTGGTCGCCACAATGGAAGGGGGTTAATTAATGATTTATTGTAAATATGTTAACAAATGGGTTATTTGGTGAATGCTCTATTCATTAGCTGGAAGTGAGGAATTGGAATGATCCTGTGTGTGTGTATGTATTTATACACCATTGACAGCTTCTACACCTTAAGCAAATTCACGCCTAAGTGGCCCCTGGGCCGGCCATCCTGTTACACGAGGGACAACCATTATACACCATTGCCAATAATGTAATAAAGAATATCTCTCCTTTACTTGTCCAATTCTGACTAAACGTCAGGAACGAACTGTTTGGTGTACAGTAAGCACTAGGGTCTTGGGGGTCAAGGTCATGGCCATCGAAAGTAAAACAAACACATTTGTCTCAAACCATAGTAGGAGGATGGGACTTGTTGATTAATATAGACCGATGAATAAGAGAAGGAAGGCAGACTTGAAGTTCCGATGAAAACAACATAAATGTAAAAACAAATCTGTTCACACGCATCACAAATCAAAATATAATATGAGGTCAATAGGCCGAAGGTTAAGGTCATAATGAAGATAAATGCGCAAATTTTATAAATCCTCAAATTAGCTCAGCGGGATACAAGGCATGCCATCACTGATTGCCTTGTCTGAATGTTTAACTCGACGGCATTACAAGAGAGATGCAGCTGTCATAGACTCGGCTCTGTAGAACTGTTATCTTACTGTATAACTTACAATACATTTTCAAATAATCCGACTCTATAAACATTGCAGTCATGTTTAATACAGTATGTACTGGACTTATTTTAAATGACGTCCTTGTGTACAAGAGTCCTCAAGTATTGTTATATGTGTGTTAGAACCTGTGCCTCCTCTCCTTTCCTATTCACAGGTGTTGCAGGGTTTGGTGGGGCATAGCCAGGTGGAGGTACAAGGGCTGGCGGCGTCAGTGTTGGCACAGGTATGTGGTCTCTCCAGCGCCCGCGCTGCGCTCATCAGGAACGACGGTGTGGCCACGCTGGTGAGTTAATCTCTATTCCCAAACTCTTTTACACCATGTTAATCCATCGTTTGTTTTTGGTTCGAGTCCGCCGTGTCTGGTGCGGTAATAGATGTAAAAATTTGTTTGGTTAATGGTCATTGTACAGTATGTGTTTGGTTAATAGATATTGCCTCTGGTTAATATAAAATATTAGTTTCGTTTAATGAACATTGTATGCGTTTGGCTATTGAATAATGTTTGTGTTAGGTTAATGGACATTGTTTGTTTAGTTAATGGACACTTTGTTTGGTTAATTGATATTGTTTGCTTAGTTTTGGGTACTGGATAGTGTTTGTGGTTACTTGATGATCATAATTTGTATTTGGTTAATTGACATTATTTGTTTGATTTATTAAAATTGTTTAATGGCCATTGTTTGTTTAATTCATGGACATAGTTTGTTTAATGTATGTACAGTTCCGGCCAAAAGTTGTGCCAGGCAATTATGGTTAACCCGGTCGTGTGGCAATGTCGGAGACACGAACACACATGACGTGTGCCAGAAATCCCGATTTTGTGAACAATCAATGGTAAAATGGTAAAGACTATTTTATTCTGTATTCCCTTTTACATAACATTACCAATGATATTGGCCACTGTCAGTCAGTAGCTACAACACAATACCTCGATCACTCATGTCTACCACACCGTACTTGCGAGTTTTAGTGTAATACTTGTATCCATAACATGAACGGGTGTCCTCTTGCTGCCATTTGACAGTAAATGAATTTAGCGGTCACATAACATAAACAAACTAGTTACCTATGTCGCCGACTGGTAGTTTTACTCAGTGTCTCCCACAGGTTGCTTTACTCCGCGTCGATCCCAACACACTTAGTACAGACACGGAACTAGCGGTGGCCGTGGAGGGGGCGGCTCGTGCTTTGTGGGCGTGCAGTGTGTGTAAGAGCGGGCGGGCGGCGCTGCTGAGGGCAGGAGGTTTAGAACTAGTTGGTCGCTTGCTGTCTGTGTCACGCCCAACTCTCCTGGTGCCTGTCGTGGGTGTCATACATCAGTGTATAGCAGAGGTCAGTAAGTTGTTTAATGCATAGCAAAGCATTTTGACAACCATTAAAATTATTGTTACTTGTTTCTTCATTACAAAACACCAATTAAATCATATTGTTTTTTAATACAAAAAACACATAAATATTAATGCATTTTTATATTTATTTTCTTGTTAATAAAGCACAATATAAAAATGTATTTTCTTAGCTATATATATATATATATATATATATATATATATATATATATATATATATATATATATATATATATATATATATATATATATATACACGGTATATATATATATATATATATATATATATATATATATATATATATATATATATATATATATATATATATATATATATATATATATATATATATATATATATATATATATATATATATACACAGTATATATATGTATATATATATATATTATTATTATTATTATTGTTATTATTTTAATTAAGGTATTTACATGGTTTAGGCTGTATTCCGCGAGAGGGTGGAGGCGTCCGGGTACACTTCAGCTCTGGTGAAGCTCCTGCACTCTCCCTTCCCCCACCTGCAGGTGTTGGCCACCAAGGCCCTCGCCCGGGTGAGTACCAGTGATGTAGTGCATAGATCTTGATCTCGGACATTCTGGTCTCGGGTTTTTGCTAGGGTCATATCACTAGTGGAGTATACCAAGGCTCAGTACTTGGACCATAACTATTTATTGTATACATTAACGACATAGATAAAGGCATTGGCAGACATAAGTAAATTTGCTGATGCCACTAAAATAGGACGTTTAATTAAGAAAATACGAACAAAAGAATGAAGGAAACGGCAGCTGGCCTATTGGCTCATACTAGGCAGTTCCGTTTACACCCAACATAATCAGTCCAACCTATATTTGAAGCGTCCGAGTGTGTTCGAGTTTATGGTGATGTTTGGTAATTTGTTCCACTACTCTGATTCCAAACCAATGTTTACCTATCTCGTGCCTAAATCTAAATTTGTCTAATTTAAAACCATTGCTACGAATTCACTCCCTGTTGAGTAGTTTAAGTACCTTTGTTATATCACATTTGTTTAGACCTGACTTCCATTTATACACCTCGATCATATTGCCCCTCACTCTACTTCTCTCGAGGGAGTGCAAATTAAGATGCTTTAACTTGTCTCTGTACTCAAGGTTCCTAATGTCCGGGATTAGTCTTGTCATCTTCCTCTGAAAGCTTTCTAGGGATTCGATGTCTATTCTGTAACAGTGACCAAAAGTGAACATATTGTAATTCAAATGCAGTTAAAGGATGACCTCGCTAGTCTTATAATTAACTCTTGTATGAACCCAAGTACTTTGTTAGCCTTGATTCGGTCAAATAAGCACTATTGTCTTTCTCACAGTCGGATTTTATATATGAATGTTGTTAATCTTATATCTGGTTTCTCTATTTACAATTCCTAGGCTAAGTACTTCACGTTTTTCCAAATAAAATTTCATCAGCCAATTTTCAGCCCATGCAAAAAATTTGTTTAGATCAAACTAATTTTCTGAAGTCAACATCAGATTTGATTACACTCTCTTTTAGTGTCGCAAACAAAACTACTTATGTTGCTATATACGTCTATATCGATGTAATTTATGTATAAAATGAAAAGAAATGGTCTAAGTATTGAGCCTTGGGGTACTCCACTAGTGACGTTACCCCAATCGGATTTGGTACCATTAATGCTGACTGTGTTTTCTGTCCTGTAACCACGCCCTAATCCAATTTAGAACATCTCCTCCAATTCCATGAGCCTCCATTTTACGCTTATAGTCTGTCGTGGGGGACCATGTCGAAGGCTTTGCAAAATTCGCAGTGAACCACATAATCGTGTGCGTCATCCACTGATTCGAAAACGGTTGAGAGGAATGATGATAGATTTGTTAGACATTAATGCCCACTTGTGAATTGAGGTTGAAATTAATGCTTCCACCCACAAATGCCCCATAAAACACTACACAAAATTCTAAAAGACTGATTTTAAATAATGAAGGACTCTAAGGGACGCCACATGCTCATGGTGTCACGTCTCATAGGCTTTTGTTATTGGTTCAGACCTAAGGCACTCGCGCTGTCATTGGTCAGCCCTCCTGGGCACCCATAATTGGGAAGCTTGGGCGTAAACACTGTCGTTGACTTGACAGGCAGGATCTTTTGTTTGTAACTGGATTTTCATACATATTTTCTCAAAAACATGAACAAATTTACTCTTAAAACATAGCACTGTTACTCCTATCTACTTAACTGAACCTACCTAGTATATTGGACCAGCCTATTTTACTGAGCCAACTTGCTTTACTTTTACTTTTATCCTCTTCACCACTGGTCGGCTCTTTAGCCGCTTGGGCGATCGGTCACGTCTCTGTTACGCACTGTTGGCAAGTACTGGGCATGCACCGGCCCCTGAATGTACCTGAACCTGCTCCAGTGATGGTCAAGTCTGGTCTTGAAAGAGCTCACACTCGGTGCCGTCACAACACTTTCTGGTAGATTGTTCCAAGAGTTCACAACTCTCACTCCTTTATTGAGCCCACCTAATTCACTGAGCCAGTTATTCTATTATTTCAGTGCTCGGTACTGGAGGCAACAAGTGCGCGGTTGGTGCGTGAAGGAGGGTTAGAGGTGCTAGTCAGCTTGTTGACAAGGGGGGGTGAGAGTTACACAGAGGCGCTGATAGAGAAGGACCCAGCCTTCGCCAGGGACTGTGGCCTGGTAACTGATGCTCCAGGTGTACCCAGATCCAGGAAGGTCAGTGACATGTGGTTTATTGTTGAAGTTAAGTCGGTGAGTTTATGCTCCAGTATGACCAGTGTATGTGTTCTTTATGCTGTAACATGATTGGGTTAAGTCTCCTATTCAGTTATGTATCAGTTGCAGTGATTGGCCAAGAGGAAACACAAACCACCGCCACCTGTTGGCACTTTACGAACTCATACCAGAGTTGTTGTGAACACCACAGCTAAGTTACGAACCGTTAGTGAATCGTCCTTACAATAGTTCGTATAGACTTCAGATATGCCGGCAGTTGTGAACTTCGTATCTGAACAGTGCTAGTGAATCTCGACCCAGGGCTGTCCAGTACACAACATATAAACTTTATTATTTAAGACCATTAAACAACAACTATATCACTGCATCATAATTTGCACATTTGATAATAATAATAGTAATAATGTAAATTTTCTTTTTAGCAGCCATTTAACTTCACTGTTTGGCTCCACTGAACTATGTGGGTTGCTGATTCTTTATCGGACAGCTTCCAACTTAATTATTTTTGTTCACATCACCTACTGTATGTGGTGCTCACTTCCTGACTAATCCCTTCAGTACGATGTCTTCTTATTTATTTCATTCGGCTGGGGAAGTTCCATCTCATAGTCAAGGGGTTAAAGAAAACTTGGCTGCTTGTACAAGATGTAGATTCAAACATAACCATAATACATTTGCTGTATTTGTAACTAAAGTACCTATGATTGCTGTATTTGTGACTGGTGTATATGTTCTGCAGCCATCCATGATGCCGGAAGGTGGAGGGAGCGTGGCGGGGACAGGTCAACCGCTGGTCAATGCGCTGGGTGACGGAGACGGAGGTGTGGCTGAACCGGAGGCCAGCGTCCTTGGTGACCTTAACCACTACAACGGTAAGACCACGGAGGAGTTGGTGATTCAGAGGCAAAAGGTGGTTAGCCTGCCAACTACTACCTCCTGCACTTCTTCATCTTCAAAACATTAACCAACTTCCTGTATTATTTAATTTTCTTTCATCCCATCAGTCCTTCTAAAAGGGGGTGTACTGTATTAAGGATGGGAAGGTGGTGGTGTTTTGAACGGGAGTGTGTGAGAGAGGAGGAAAGGTACTGGTAGAGGGGGAAGGAGGTGAGGAGAGGGATTGCATTTATATTTTTGCAGCTAACAGCAACTAGTTTATTGTGCACCTCATTCTTAGCCTGTGAGCAGTAGCGCTAAAAAGATTACTGAATAAATAGCACAAACGATGTTTATCATGAATATTTTGAACTTAGATGAGCTATGGACCATGGCCACAGTGGTCATCATTACTCTCTTCTCGGCCACCTTTGCAGACGGTCCTTCTAAATAGAGATTTTACCTTGATGAGTTGCCCTTGAGAGTCTCCCTGCTGACAACTTAATGGTACTATTAGATAGTCAATGATAAGCGTGTCTACGTCCTTAGCGGAGAAGGCGGCGGAGATCAGTCCGGAAGAGGAAGAGCAGAAGCAGCAGGTGGGGGAGCTCCAGTCGTCCTCCATCATCTCAGAGGAGGCCCAGCAGCAGGAGGGAACAGAGACCAACATGCTAAAGTGTCAGCCGTGACGTCATACTGTGTTTGCGGGTTAACCCGAAGTGACCGACCTACAGAGGGACAAGAACCTACGACCTTGCATTAGAAAAAATTTACATTTATGAGTTGGTAACAAATTTAGATCTAAAGAAGCAAATGTTGACTATAACTTTATAAGTTATATCGTTACTGCGTCATGTACAGTAGTCACTAAGTGAACTAGAAGCACTAAACTTGTCCCTCACTGGATCAGTCGCTGAGGATTGTAACTACTTTTGCTTCCAGTCGATATTACCTGATTGCTTTGTAACACCTTGTGAACCCATGTGACACCTGTAATAACAGTCAGTTCCCTGCATTCTGACTAATTCTCGTCTGTATTGTTCCTTGTGCTTACAAGCTGACAACATTGGCAGTAGTCGTGAATCGCCAGAGAGACTTGTTTACACAGCCCTTAAATTCAGAGAATAGATGCTGTTGTTCCTTTGATCAGTTTACTTGCTTTGTTATTTCTTGATATGAGGAAACAAACAACACGTGAGACATGTCGCATATCACAGATAAGTGGAGAGGGGAGAGCTGTATAGATCGTCTCTTTTGTTTTATGACGATATAAGTTTAACTCGGGACGTCACGCACACATATGAACGTTCTCACATATCCCGATCCAGAGACAATAGGTAAATATATCTTCATTTTTGCCCATGTCTTTGTGAACCGCTATACACTTTGATATATATGTTAATTTTTTGGCGAAATTGGTTAGTTTGCAAAATTCCCGGCATTATATCGGTAATTCTGCGAAATAACTTACAAACAGGCTAACCAAAGTTAAAAAAAAAAAACATCAGGACCACTTAACTGTGTATTAATCTACACAAGCCATCCTAACCAAACCTCTCACTCAACTTAACCATAAGGTTAGGTTAGTTTAAGTTGTCTGTTAAAAGTTATTTCTCAAAATTACCAATATGCATGCCAGGAATTTTGCAAAATAACCAATTTCGCAAAAAAAACCCACACCATGATGAGATTATTTTTACATTTCAAACCTATCGCGATTAACGCTTTAGCTGTGCTTAGGATTTTACCAAATGGTGCGATCGAGACGTGCGACTCCACAGGCATGTTGTAACAAGTCTTCTTACGGTGGATTCTACGTACACACCATATGTTCGTACCCCTGACATGCTGCTTGCTGAGGTGAATGTGTTCTCGAGGACGAATATGTGTAAGTATAATGGAGGAGATAACCAACTTGAGAGCCGGGAACCTCTGTACTCAGGGTTCCTATCCTGAAGATGGCTTGTGTATTGTGGTATCATACATAGCAACCTCTAGTATGTATACAACACAATACTGTGTTGGTGTGTGTGTATTGCAATATCATGCATAATTACCTCCTATATGTATATACCATAATACTGTGGTGGTGTGTAGTATTATACATAGTTTCTGCATGTATGTATATGTTCTGTTTTATTTTGTGAAATTTTTTATTTTGCAAAATGACCAGGCAAGCATGCTGGTAATTTTGCAAAATAACTTGCAAATAGGCCAACTCAGCCTCACCTAACCATATAGTTGAATAAGGTTTGTTCTGGCTTGATTAAGTTAGAAATCAAAACCTATCAACCATAGGGTTAGGCTAGGTTGGCCTGTTTGCAAGTTATTTTGTAAAATTACCAGTTTTGCAAAAAAGTTACATATTTACCACAACACTGTAGTAGTGTGTGTGTATTGTGGTATTATTCATAGTTGCCGTATGTATGTGTATATGGTACAGTCAATGTGTAAAATATCTGTAAAAATTTCCGTTTCGTGCTGTGCACATTGTGTATACCGTAGGTTAGGTCAGGTTAGATGATGCTTAAGTTATTCAGGAGAGAACTGCTAAATATTATTAAACTTCACGCCAAACATAACCTAACCTATATACAACATAAACACAACATGAAAAGGAACATTTTCACATAATTTAGACACTGACTGAATTGACACTAATATACTGTATATACCACAATACTGTAGTGGTGTGTGTATTGTGGTTTAATACATAATTGCCTCGTGTATGTACTGTATATACAACAATACTGTGGTGGTGTGTATATTATAGTATTATACAGGGCTCCGTGTGAACTGTTCATATCCGACATACTGTTATAGCTGGGTGGTGTGGCATCAGATAACGTCCACCACTGCTGTCAAGATTGGCATACTGTGCTAAATATATTTACATTGTAATGTATTATGCATTTTATGACCAATCAGCTTGTACTTTGTCAACAAAATAGAGATTACTACAATGTCTTGCTTTTTCTTGTTGTTTAGACATACGGGCCAATTATGACCTACCTCAGTGTTAATATTGTACCCGTAGTGTCGTGTTTACCCTGAACAGTCTTCTTATGCTTATCAGTACAAATGCACCGTTTTCTCTTCCTGAAGCATCTTATCTGATGTACTATATTTTTGCATCTTGATTTTTTGTATTCGTGTATTTTTGAAATATGAATATCTTTAAAGATGCACCCACACACACACACACGCACACACACACACACACACACAAGCATACACACACACACACACACACACAAGCACACACACACACACACACACACACACACATGCACGTGAGCTTAGAGTTATTTAATTAAATACTGTACACTTACAAATTAGAAACACGACAATAAGAAGAGGGTTGAGGGTAGTGTCTAGATGAGACCCAACATAAAGCACTACTTGTACTGTACTAACACGACAGCTGGAGCAGGCGCGGCCGTAGGGGACAGTGAGTTGCTGGAGGCGGTGTCGGAGGCTATATGGCATGTGTCCCTCCTCCCGGAGCACGTCACAGCAGTCAAGGACCTCACTGCTGTACCTGTTCTGGTTGCTCTTCTACACCACAACGACGAAAAGGTATGACTTTTCACCAACTGCAGATTCAAATGCTTTAAATCACAGCTGCATTTAATGCAAATGTATCTGAATAGTTTTAAACATTTTTAATGGAACTGATAATAATACCCACTTGATGTTGCAATTTGATGTGATGAAGTAGATTACTGGTGGTAGCTCTGGTGAACATTTCATTTCTCTTCCTGGTCACGGGTACAACCTTAGTCCAGCTTCATCCACACTCCAACCACAATTTCCTCTTCACTGTGTTTAACTGAAGGGGTGAAGTATAGTTTATTATACATTTATGTACTTAAATTAGAATTATTTAACCAGGAGCGAACTCGTAGCGTGGTTTTAAATGAGACAAATTTAGATTTAGGCGCCAAATAGGTAAACACTATTTTGGAAATAGAGTAGTGGATGAGTGGAACAAGTTACCAAACATCATCATGAACTCGAATACGCTGGGTAGATTCAAACATAGGTTGGGTGGATATATGAGCAATAGGGGTTGGGTGTAAACAGGACTGCCCAGTATGGGCCAATAGGTCCGCTGCAGTTTCCACCATTCTTATGTTCTAAAGTGTGTGGTGTGACATGTGTGGTACAATGGTGTGATGTTAGGCATGTGGTACTGTGTGTGTGTGTGTGTGTGTGTGTGTGTGTGTGTGTGTGTGGTACAAAGTGTGGGGTGTTACATGCATGCTGTATAGTGTATGGAGTATTCACAGTGTGTTACATTGTGTGGTACAGTGTGTGTAGTGCTACATGTGTGTTATAACGTAAATTGTGTTGCAGGTGTTGACTAATGTGGTGGGTGCTCTAGGGGAAGTGGCTGGTGACCCTGACTGCTGCATGACACTGCTCCGTGGTGGAGGAGTCACCACCCTCATCCAGCTCCTGCGACGCACATCTGACAAACTTCTCCTCAACGTGACTCGCGCCCTTGGGTCCTGCGCTGCTGAGGAGGAGGCCCTGTCTGCTCTCCTGCAACAGGATGGTCTGCGTCTGCTGTGGTCACACCTCAAGAACCCAAACTGTCGCGTCCAAGCCTCAGCAGCCAATGCCATCTGCACCTGTCTTCAACAAGAAACGGTGAGAAGTTAACAATTCTCGAATGGTAATCTAACATTATCGACAGTCTATATCGTACAGTCAGTTCTGATTTAGTGCATCACTGTGTTAAACCTCACGTACAGTATCTCAAAAAAGTATCTGTCCACACTGTGTATGAAACATTATGAGACCACCGATGATAGATATTGGGATATGTGCGTTCCTGCCCTGTATAGTTTAACATAGTTAATGCAATGCATATTTATTTCGGCGTAATTAATATGATGTTCGGACCCATCCAGGCAGATTCTTTTTGAGATACTTACTGTACAGTCGGGGTCGGGAATTTGTGATATCGTCAGGCCGGAGGGTGAGTAGGCCGTTCCACCCTTACTTAAGGTGAGTCGCTGTGCCGAACCTCCCCACCATAGTACTTGAATGATGTAGCAACCATTGCATTTCCTTAATGTTGTGGGTAGTAAGGAGGGACATCACACAATGTAGAAATTTCTTCCACGGCGTTGTCTTGCTTGTTCATAATTTTTTTCAAGGGGATCTTGTGAAAAAAAACCGCAAGTTGCATGTAAGTAAAACCATGGCTCTCATAAATATATTGTGCTGCTTCTGTGTTATACATTGTTGTGGTAACAAAAGCATCTGCCGTTGATTTTTTTTTCTGCCTGCCATGTCCACCAGTCCACCGACAGCTGGAATGATCTTGCACATTTCCTGCAGCTCATTGAAGTTTTCACAGTTGAATGTCAGGGTTCATGACAATACTCTCGTAAATGAATTGAACTGAATTTATTTTTAACATTCATCATTTCAGTGTTCCATCCTGATAATCAACAGTGCCTCCCAGAGCTTTAAATGCAGCAATTATTTTTCATTGAATACTTTACAAACTAAGGCACACTTTGACGCTGCAAAGGTTTAGGGCAGAGATATGGGTGATTGTGTGGATAAGTAGGTGCGTTTGTATGTGACTCGGTGTGTGGAGGGGTGTGTGTGCGTCTAAGAGATAAATTATTTCATTACGATGCATTTTACACAATGGACTTAAGTTTCAAAACCCGAGACTGAACGTTTCCGGTCCTTCAATTAAAGAGTCTATGCTTCCACCACATCTATCTGTCTGTCTGTCTGCTAACAGTATGTATTAAAGGGTTGATGGTGGTGTTGTGGAGCCCTTGACATATTGGGGAGTGATACGCATGTTACCACTGTACCACCAACAGGTGTGCAGGTGTAATGATAGTCTTGTACTAAAGAAGGTGGTAGTCATTCTGGTGCAAGTGTAATGTTGGTCTTATACTACAAAAGTTGGTAATGATTCTGGTTAAGTTAGAGCTGCTGTTATTTTTCTGCAGATGTTGTCGTGGTCTTTTACGTTAAGAGAGGTTAGTGTAGTTGGTAAGGAACCTAAAATAGGTATACAATGACTTTTCTGTTTGTATAGGAGATAGCAGGGAGTCTTTCACAATGTATAGATGTGTTGGTTTACAGGAGGGGCTGGCAGAGGTGGTAAGGAGCCTGGTTGGAGGTATAGAGTTGCTGGTGTCGCTGTTGGAGAGTGAGAGTGAGGCGGTACTGTCCGCCGTATGTGCCGCCATCGCTAGGATTGCCAGAGACCCCCAGAACCTCGCCATCATGACTGACTACGGCGCCGTCACCTCCCTCTCCCGCCTGGCTGTCAGGGTAGGTTGTGATGCAGGCCGCAGTAACCTCCAGCATGATCTGTGTGTTAGTGTATGCTATGATGACCTATAATGTGATCTGTGTCAGTGTAGGTTTTGATAATCTACAGAATGATCTATAACAGTGTATATTATGATGATCCTAGTCCGTGTAGGTTGTGATGAATGCAACAGTGTGGTATGTTTATCAGGGGAGGCCTTGCTGCATAATGCTCTAGTATATGAACTGTGGGCCAGAATAGGTTGGTCAGTATGATGGTGTGTATGTCAGGGTAGGTTGGTCAGTACGATGGTGTGTGTGTCAGGGTAGGTTGATCAGTATGATGTTGTGTGTGTGTGTGTGTCAGGGTAGGTTTGTCAGTATGATGGTGTGTGTGTGTGTGTCAGGGTAGGTTTGTCAGTATGATGGTGTGTATGTGGCGCAACGGGGACAGGCAGAGATGACTGCCTGGAGTCTAGTCACAACTCTTCACATGTGCAGCACAGATAAGATGGTCGTTTATGCATTGGGATCTAGGCAGCAGTTGACTCGGTCAACAGGGAAGCCCTCTGGTGGACCCTCAGCCACTTTGGCTGCCCACTAAAATTCATCGCCATTGTGAGGCAACTCCACGATGGCATAAACGGCAAGTGTCCTGCACAATGGCACCCATTCTGAGTTCTTCTCCACCCAAACGTGTTAAACGAGGATGTGTACTGGCACCAACTCTCTTTTCCATTTTCTTGGCTGCCTTCCTTACTCACGCCAATTTAGCCGGTGGGGTGGACATCCAGTACTGGATGAAGGGTCTTTTCAACATAAGACAATTCCAGGCAGGAACAAAGGTGTCAGCAGCTTCCATTACTGAACTTCATTATGCAGACGACCTCGCCCTTGTTGACCACACTGAACACGACCTACGGGAGGTCCTGAACACCTACGCAGATGTGTATGCACACTTCGGCCTCGAGGTGAATGTACGTAAGACTCAGATTCTCTTTCAGCCTGCCCCTGGTTCAGACACACCTCCATCATCCATCCAGCTTAACGGTACTACCCTCTCTAATGTTACACTCTTTCGGTATCTCGGCTTCCACCTGTCCACCACCGCCAACATCGATGAAAAGATTCAGCATCGGATCAGATGTGCATCGCGAGCCTTTGGCTGACTTCGAAATTGTGTTTTCAACTGTAGGGAGCTGAAATTGTATACAAAGTTACACGTATATCGAGCAGTGGTCCTCCTCCACCCTGCTCTATGGCAGTCAGACATGGGTCATATACAGGAGGCACCTCAAGGCACCTGAAAACTTTCACCAACGAAGTCTGTTCCATCCTCCGAGTTCGCTGGGAAGACAAGAGAACAAATGCCAGTATTCTTGCTGACACCAACTGTAGGAGCATCGAAGCTACCATTATCCATGAACAACTACGCTGGACTGGCCATGTTACCCACATGGACAACAGTAGACTGCCAAATCAGCTACTTTACAGTCGCCTAACGAATAGTAAACTTAACGCCGGCGGGCAGCTGAAAGGGTATAAGGATAGTCTTAAAACAAAACTGAAAAGTGCCAAATCGACCCCCACCCCCTCACTTGGGAGACAATTACTCCACACCGTAACGCTTGGAGGAGCACCACACGAGGTGTCAATACTTTAAGAGTTAGCCCGACTGCAAACCGAGGCAGACAAGCGCCAACGCCGAAAAGCTACTGCCACCGCCCCTCATGCACTCGACGTAGCCCTCCACAAGTGCAACTCATGTGAATGACTCTACCGGTCCCATAGAGGCCTCTTTAGTCGCCTCAAAACACCCCAATGAAGGTGAAATCCCTAATAACTCGTATCATAGCTGGATGATCGTCAAACTCGATTCCGAGTGACAGTAAAGTAATAGTAGTAGTGTGTTATGTATATGATAGAGTAAATGGTAGTCTATATAGCAGTATGTATTGCATTTTACTCTACATTGTAGTGTGTATAATGTAATTCATTGTGTATGATAGTGCATCATATAGCGTGGATATTAGTGTGTACAGTGAGGTTGTGTTTTAGGATGTATTGCTTTGTGCATTGATGCATATCAGTATGTTATATATATATAGTAATATGTTTGGGAGTGCTTGTAGTGATATGGTTGTCTATTGAGTAACTGTCTTTATAATATTTAAAGTGTGTATGGTAGGTTGTGTAACAGTGCGAGAGGTTAGTACTGTGTTTGGAAGCGTAAGTTTGGTAGTTTGTATGTCTGTGTATAGTAATGTACAAGTGTGAAAGATAATGTGTCTAGTATGTGAACGAGTAGGCACGGTAAAACATATGACTGCGAGTTGTAGTGTGTGTCGGGCACGTATGTGATTGTTCATACATTTACGTGCATTGCAACTTGAATGATGGTGCGTGTGATAGTATTGTAAAAAAAATTATTGTTTTGTATATGATCGTATATTGTAAGTGAAAAGGGTAAGGTAGTAAGTATTACAATATGTAAAGCTAAATGAACTGTGTATGGTAGTATTTTTTATAGTATGTATGCTATTGCATAGGGCAGTGTACAGTATATGGGAATGTGTATGGTAGCATGTTCTTCAAATTTCAAGAAAGTGGTTATAATACTACCTATAAAAATTGTGGATAGAACTGTATACTTAAATGTTTATCGCACTGTGTTTCATATTGAGCGTGTTAGTGTGCAACAGATTAAATGAGAAAGTGTATGATAGCTTGTTTTTATGATAAGTGTTGGTGATACTATGACTGGCAGTGTGTGCGGCAGTGTTTGTATCTAGTAGTGTGTATGGTCGTGTATATCACAGTGTGTATGACAGCCAGCACAGCATTATGAATGGTACCTATCATAGTATAGTGTATAACAGCCAACACAGTACTGTATGGCAGTCAAGAGAGTATAGTATTTGACAGTCAGTACAGTATAGTGACTGCTATGTAACATGATAGTATGTATGACAGCCAGCAACCATATAGTGTATGACAGCCAGCACGGTATAGTATATGACAGCCATCACCGTATAGTGTATGACAGCCATCACCATACAGTGTATGACAGCCAGCACCATACAGTGCAGCACCATATAGTGCATGGCAGCCAGCCCAGTATAGTGCATGGCAGCCAGCACAGTATAGTGCATGGCAGCCAGCACAGTATAGTGCATGGCAGCCAACACAGTATAGTGTACGACAGCCAACACAGCATAGTGTATGACAGCCAACACAGCATAGTGTATGACAGCCAACACAGCATAGTGTATGACAGCCAACACAGCATAGTGTATGACAGCCAGCACATTAGTGTAGCGTTCCAGTACTGTGTGTTCAGCATTATTTTCGTTGTCTTATTGTACTTTCTTTTGGTCAACCAGACTTTTGAAAATTTTCGTTCCTTCAGACGCAGACATTGTACCTGGGAGAGTGGTTCAGGTAAGTGGTGAGTCTTAGTGACTGCTGGACGTAGGGTTAGGGTAAATGGTGATTGGTGACTGAAGGACTCTGGTGACTGCAGGATATAAGGATAGGGTAAGTGGGGACTCCTGGTGACTGCATGATATTAGTGTAGGTTAAAGGGTGAATTCTGGTGACTGCAGGATATAAGGGTAGATTAAGTAGTGATTCCTGGTGACTGCAGGATTTAGGAGTAGGGTAAGTAGTGAGTGATGACTGAAGGATGTATTAGTAGGTTAAGCGGTGACTCTGGTGACTGTAGGATTTAGGGATAGGATAAGTAGTGACTAGGATTTAGGGATAGGATAAGTAGTGACTGTTGACTTCAGGCTATAAGGCTAGGGTAAGTGGGGACTTCTGGTGACTGCAGGATATAAGGGGAGCATAAGCGATGACTGCTGGTGACTGCAGGACATAAGGACAGTATAAGTGCTAACTCCTGGTGACTTCAGAATATAAGGTTAAATTATGTGGTGACTGCAGGACGTAGGGTTAGGGTAAGTTGTGACTGCAGGGTGTTGGGGTAGGATAAACGGTGACTCATGGTGACTGCAGAACATAAGGGTATAAATGGTTACTGGAGGACGTTCGGGTAGGATAAGCGGTGACTCATGGTGAATGCGGGACGTAGGGTGCTGAGGAGTGCCTCGGGATGGTCAGGTCGAGAATATATATAAAGACTGTTGAGGTGTTTAATGTCGTGACAGACGAGTGGCTGGAAGGTAAATATCATATTATAATACATTATACTTAACATTTTAAAACATTACGTGTGTCAATAAGTGGTGGCTGTCAAGGTAACACCACCGGTGGCTGTGCGATGGCGTAATTGGATGTAAAAAAATCGGACGTAATTTTGCATGATAGAATTCCGAGGTAGATCTTGAATTTTTACGCAAGATGTTGATTAACTAATTAACACCCCTGTAAATAATCTACTTTAACATGCTAATTTTCCTGTATTCTAAATGCATCCTTAGTTATGTCTATAGTTTTTGCAGGCAAAGGAAACAGGTAAATTGTTTTGGTTTTGTTTAAGAAATATTTCAAGATTATTTCTACTACCTGTAGTACTTAAGACTGAACTACGGTCGCCTAACAAGGCGCTTGACACGACGGTTTCACTCTTGGCAAGTGTAAACTTCAAGATATTTCTAATTTTACTTTGAAGAGAAACTTTCTTGCAACAAACACTCAAATTTTATTCCTCTTGCCTACCATGATATAACAGCTTCATTACCTACCATGATGTAACAGTATCATTACATACTATGATATAGCAGCATCATTACCTACCATGATATAACAGCATCATTCCCTACCATGATATAACAGCATCATTACCTACCATGATATAACAGCTTCATTACCTACCATGATGTAAAATCATTACATACTATGATATAGCAGCATCATTACCTACCATGATATAACAGTACCATTACATACCATGACGTAACAGTACCATTACATATAATGGTTGCCCCTCGTGTATGACGATGGCCAGCCCAAGGGCCACCTAGGCGTGAATTTGTTTAAGGTGTAGAAGCTGTCGCCAACACAACAACCACACCCTAAGTTAACGTGCTGCATGACCCAGTGTCAAGGAATAGTCCAGGAAGACTGGACAACTCGCCAACTGCAATGGCTAACCATAACTCCGGAACACGATCCGCGAATCGATTAACATCCAGGTTCCCAATTACTGCTGGGTAGACATGAGGCAAATGACGTAATGAAACTTGCCCATAGTTTCACCCTGCCCGGGGATCGAACCCGCCTGCCACCTTTACATACCATGGTGTAACAGTACCATTGCCTACCATGATGTAACCGTGCCATTTACCTACTATGGTGTTACATTACTATCATCTACCATGGTGTAACATTACGATTAGTTACCATGATGTAACATTGCCATTAGTTATCGTAGTTTGCCATTACTGTTACCTACCATGGTGTTACATTACCATTATCTATCCTGGTGTAACATGAACATTACCTACCATGACGTTGGAGCACGGTGGAGCACAGCTTCTTGTTAAAGCGGTCAGTAGTTCGATTCCCAGGCACTCCCAGCTCACCCAGCTGTAAATGGGTACCAGTTATGCTGCCTCCTTGTTTACCAAAGGCTTATGCCTTAAGTTTTAATCACCCTCTTCCGTTGATGGGGGTCGTCGTGTTTACAACCAGTTAAAAAAAAAAAAATATATATATATATATATATATATATATATATATATATATCTTGATAAATCACAGAAATAAAGGACCTTAGCTTTCGTCTTTATTCAAAATCACGTTTATATATATATATATATATATATATATATATATATATATATATATATATCAGGGACCGCACGACCATGCCACAAGAGACTGTGGCATGGTCTCGTAACGTTCCTGGTCCCATGGTAGGTCAAGGGTTCGAGTCCTGCTGGTGAGGTCGTTGATTATATTGTTCAAAGTCCGCTGTCATATGGACTAAAATGAAGTATATATATATATATATATATATTGATATATATATATATATATATGTATATGTATATATATATATATATATATATATATATATATATATATATATATATATATATATATTATTATTTTTTTTTAAACTCTGGTTGTAAACACGACGACCCCGTCAACGGAAGAGGGTGATTAAAACTCCGGGCATTAGTATACACATGCAGTGTGCTGTATCCGCACTGTCCCTAATGGGCAATCATGCCTATGGGATGCACTTTCACCATGATGTTACATTACTATTCCCTATCATAGTATAACATTACCTACCATGGTGTAATATTACACATTGGCTACCATGGTGTAACATTACCATTGGCTACCATGGTGTAACATTACCATTGGCTACCATGTTTTTACAACATCATTAGCTACCATGGTGTAACATTACCATTAGCTACCATGGTGTAACATTACCATTAGCTACCATGGTGTAACAATACCATTAGTTACCATGGTGTAACAATACCATTAGCCACCATGATGTAACGTTACCATTAGTTACCATGGTGTAACAATGCCATTAGTTACCATGGTGTAACAATACCATTGTCTACCATGGTGTAACAATACCATTGTCTACCATGGTGTAACAATACCATTAGTTACCATGGTGTAACAATGCCATTAGCTACCATGGTGTAACAATACCATTAGCCACCATGATGTAACGTTACCATTAGTTATTATGGTGTAACAATGCCATTAGTTACCATGGTGTAACAATACCATTAGCCACCATGATGTAACGTTACCATTAGTTACCATGGTGTAACAATACCATTAACCACCATGATGTAACGTTACCATTAGTTACCATGGTGTAACAATACCATTAGCCACCATGATGTAACGTTACCATATTACCATGGTGTAACAATACCATTAGCTACCATGATGTAACATTACCATTTGCTACCATGGTGTAAAATATTGTCAACACCAGTATTAGCTGGCGACAACTGACACAATATTCAATCCCTGTTTGTACTGTTATACATACACGTTTTCTTTATTGTGTACAAATGGCATTTTTCACATGTTCTATCCATCTGTATGCTTTACTCATTCATACGTTATAGCACTTGCCTTGTGTTTGTTTGTGTGACCTGGTATGTGATCACCCATGACCTCGTCCCTCACAGCTGATGCGAGCTCGAGACTCTGAGTTTCCAGCACAAGGTCGACGAGGAAGACCTTGAGGAAGCGGCCAGGCAGCACTCACCACCGACGTACTAAACACATCCAAGTTGTAGCCTCACTTAACAAAACTACTACTTACCCTTCGTCGTTTCCAACTCATTTGACTTGAGTCCATTTCTTTACTATATGGAGTTTGATGTGTGTCTGTACCTCTGTAGTTCTAAAATTTTTGGTGACATGTCACTTTAGTGTGGAGTGTGCGACTAGTGGGGCTTCTTTGGCCCGAGAGGACGCTGAGCCAACCCACATACCAGCTGACCTTCCTGACAGTTCAGGTCTGGTTTTGGTCGAGTTCTGTCTATAACTGGAACAAAATTTTTTTTTAAACATTCTTACGTGAATATCCTTGTAAATATGTACAGCCTGTCTTATGAGTAGCTTGGTATTGTATGAAAAGAAAATGCTGGAACGTGTTTGCATGGCTATTTTTTCTCTTGTGTGTTTTACCCCTTGCAAACACCACAACCTGAATTCTTGTAAGACTCTTTGCCTGTTATTTCCACAGCTATGTCAGTGTCACCTCCCTAGTTGTTGGGAGAGGTTTTTAACAAATCTAGACGTGTTGTTGAGCCAGCTTGAGGACACAGCTGGTTGTTGTGGCTTGCTGAGTTGTGCTGTGTTTGGTCACAAAGACGTTGACACACCCTGGTCCAGGTTTCTCAGAGACTAGTATGTATACTTTTTCCTGTTCCAGAAAGTTTAAAACTACCATACTTGGTTGCCAACATAAATAAATGGGCCAAAATGGCTTTGAAATTGCATCAAGAATTTACCGTAATTTGTTGCACGTTTTATTTTCTCTTAATTACAAGGAAAAATGAACGTTATATTCTACGAGAATGTGGGTCCTGTGTTAGCGTCCACGCTAGCCTAAGAACAACTGTTACACACCTGTACACACCTAATTTATTCCTTTGGCATTACATCAAACACTTCACATGTTTTTACAGTAACTTTGCATTCTTCATTTCACCATTTATCAGCAAAGTTCATTGTTTTCTGCTTCCTGATGATTTAATTACATTCTTAGAGTAAATAGTTTACTTGCTGCACAGTTAGTGTTAGATGGAAACCAGTCTTTGTAGTCGATTTGTTACTGTTTTTATGTGTAATTAATTTTATAAATTAAACATAGACACGTTTTTCCTCGAACAAATCTTTATTACACTTTTCTTTTAGTTTCACGATCTGTGTTTTCGGAAGAAACATGCAAGATACAACACAGAAACACTGCATCCATAGACTGCAAAGTTCAAAGACGTACACATAAATTACATAGTTATTTGTAGCCAGTACTAAGTAGAGTTTTAACTCAGCTTCGATAATCAACTCTTTCTCCAGGCTTGTATATTTAAGATTTTCTTTAAGAATAACACTAATAATAGTAACTTTAAGGTGACCAGTGATATAAAGAGATGTCTTTATATTTTTTTAATTGATGAAATGTATTTGTAGTACATGTTGTCCGCGTTGTTATTGCTTTGTTTTACTGGTATATGAACTAACACATATTAGTGCCGTGCCCTGGATAAGACGGCTATCAACAACACACATGAACCAATATCACTTTCTCACCCATAAATGGCCAACCAGCACATATGTGTGAAGTTAACTGCTGCAGCCGCTGCTACGCCCTTGAGATGACCGGGGTGGTGGCCCTCTACTACCTGCCGTGTCATTGTCAGCCAGCTGCTACCCTCGCCACCACACTCAGGGTCATTAACCAACAACTATTTTCACCAGGTTTGGAACTGCCCTCAGGAAGAGCCGAATCCGGGCTGTGAGCACTACAAAAATATTTTATACAAGCGACTCAGCACCAGGCCAAGATTCTCACAGGCTCACACGTTAAATTTATCCCCTGACTGGAGGTGTAAGAATACAAAGAACTCACTTGGGTTTAGTCAATAAAACTGTATAATATCATTAAGATATCTCATATTATTAAGATATCTCAGATTGACTCAAAACTAGAAATGGTGAAAATATTATTAAGATATCTCAGATTGACTCAAAACTAGAAATGGTGAAAAGTAACTAACAGGCTTAGCTATGCTGCACAAAATAAGAAATCAAAATGATGTCAAAATTCGAGTGAACTTTAAAGGTAAATAATTATAGTTATGTTCTGTTAAGGGAATAAATTTAACGGTGGGAGGGTTGAGAAGCCGTGTCCAGGGTGACCACCAAGACTGGTTATATCTTGGTAAACAAAACATGCATCCTTCCTTTTTATTGTGTTCCCTCCATCAGCTGACCTGCCACTACAAAACCATTTTTTAATAGGTTCCGTGTCTTCTCCCTTTTTCTAGTTCTTTCTGCCTTTCTACCTCTATCTGTACAGTCGCCTACAGAGGACATAAGAGGCTTCGTATCCGACCATGCGACAGACGGGTCAATCTTGTTCAATGCCTCTCACGGAATTTTCCCAAAAATATTTTTGCGTACGATTAGAACATCTTTAGCACAACCATCTCTTACTTTATTAGTCATCGATTCGCTTTTCCTTTCGTTATCTGTTCTGTTTTTCGAATAAAACCTTTATTATTGATTTGTTAATACTGATAGTTAAATAAATGTAAACTAATGATATAATTAAATAAACATATATATATTTTACTAAAAAAAACTATAAAAAATAACCGAAACCGAGAAGAAATATTTATAATATTCTTGACCATCCGTTGTTGTGTAGCACCGTGTTGTTCCTTCCTGTCGGCGTGTACAACTTTCCAGGTGTTCACCAAGTATTAACCTCCCACCTGTAGGAGAATGACAGCCTGAGGCCCTACCTGGCTGAGGCCATTGCTGCCTGCTGCGTCTCAAGGGAAACCGGGCTCCTCTTCGGCCAGGCGGGAGCTGTGGCACCACTTGTTCAGTGAGTACAATAAAAAAATATAGACGACACATTTTCTCTTTTAATCTCTACTGTTAAATGTTTTAACTTTGATGTCGTCTGGTGAGAGCCTACCACAACAACAATACCAGGTGAGCCTCAGCCAGTGGCCGCACAACACAAGAGTACAGATGGTAATTAGAGAAGAAATAAAACAGGTACAAATAGTGCAAAATTTAAATCTAAATGTTGAAGCTTAAGAAAAAATGCCATTCATATTTCTTATAGATAATGTGCAAGATGTCTATGGTATTAAGGAGACTGATTACAGTACTAGGAGGAGGGAAGGAATGTCAGAGATATGATGTCTGGGAGAACATTATTGTTTGGGTGTTGTGGTCCGAACTGGAGGAGACATAAAAGGAAGAAGACAGGTGCGGGAATATTCGCATCAATAATTAGACTAAAGAAACAAGAGGACACAAGGGTTTGAGTAGTGTGGGGGAGGTGACATAAACACTCTTTCTTGGCTGTGTTTATGCCCCTGTAAATAAAGACAAATGAGGAAGAAATTTTTAATATTTTGGTCATGATATACATGTATCCAAAGATTACAGAAAAAACTAGTCTTGGCTGATGTAACAGCTGGGGAGATAGTGACTCGGTAACAGCTGGGGAGATAGTGACTCGTATTACATTCTCGTAACAGGTTAGGTAGGTAATGATTTATTAACAGCTGAGGGAAGCAGTAACTCGGTAGCATTACAGCAGAAGGCAGCTACCAAACAGGGAGGTACTACCGCCTGGGAAGATATTGGAAGCATAATGTGTTGTCTAATGGTAGACCCTGCTGCCATATGGCAATTATGGCATCGCGAAATTTCTGACCAAGTCCCAGGTTGCTGATCTGACTTTCTGCCTCATTTACACACAATTGCAGGGTCTCAATTGTTTCTCTTACTTTGACAACACACCAGTGTTTCCCTTTTCCTGTGTGGTTTTATCGAGATTTATCTTGTCCACGTTTACATTGTGGATCTACATGAAAAAAAAAAAAATATATATATATATATATATAAATATATATATATATATTTCATGTAAATCCACAATGAAAACGTGGATAAGATAAATCTTGACAGAAGAAAATAAATACCCTTAGCTTTCGTCTTTATTCAAGACATTTCAGAGCAACTGGATTACATGGATAGAGAGGCTTAAATATAGGTGACCTAAAACATGAGGTCAGGTCATAATGATGACATCCACTAATCCCCACAACAACACACGTAGAAGGAGCTTAAGAGAAGGGTGGTGACGTGACTAGTCAGGTCAGGTCAAAAATAAGGGACCCACAAAATAACTATCATACATCTAGATCAAAGGTTTTCAAAGCATTTTTAACCTTGGGCCACTGACAAATAAATTTATGTAACATATTATCAGTTTTGAACTGACCATCACTAAGGTTTATTGATTTTAATTCCTTAATCAAACTAGCTTCAACCAGAAGTCTTTCTGTGACACTTTAACCAGTATCTCCTGCAGGTATTACCAGTAACTCTTCAGGTTTGTACTACCAGTAACTGTCCCTCTGGTACTACCAGTAACTATCCCTCTGGTACTACCAGTAACTATCCCTCTGGTACTACCAGTAACTATCCCTCAGGTATTACCAGTAACTATCCCTCAGGTATTACCAGTAACTATCCATCAGGTATTACCAGTATCTCTCATTCAGATACTAACAGTGTATCTCCTTCAGGTACTAGCAGTATCTCTTCCTCAGGTACCTGGAGACAGATGACAGCACCATCAGGAGACCCACATGCCGCGCCCTCCACCGCCTTTCCTTGGAGCCAGAGAACTGTGTCACACTTCACCAGAGTGGCGCTGTACCGGTATGTTGTCCTCTTCGTTAATATATTAGGTGGTGTCTCGACATTCATAAAGTGGCCTTGTTCAGGAGTGTTTCTATATCTAGTAATTGAGTGTAGGACGCTGTAGTGACTACAAAATGGTCATTTTATTTGTAAGAGTTTGTGGTGATTCTTCCTCGTCTCTCTTAAACAATGTGTTATCCTACATCAAGTGTTGTCGTCGTACAACACGAATTTTAATTTCAGTTTGGAAATGGGAATAGTACACAGGATTTAATTATGCACATTGCAGCCTCATTCATCCGTCGACATTTGGGACACACCTCTTACGGATAATGTCAATTAAAAATACGAAAAAAACTTGCAAAAGCCAACATGGTATTGAAGCGCAATGTTGTTTTATTTCATTTTCACAAGAGTAGTAATAAACCTGCTACATAATTTCCTGTTATGATGATATCTTCTACATGTTCATGAAACTGGTAAAAACTCTTGAACATGATTAACACCTGATTACTCTATAAGGCCCACTGCTTTTGAGTAGAAAAAGGAGTCTACAGAGACAACACAGAAAGCGACAGCATCGGAAGTACAATGGCATGTATGATGACCTAAGATTATATGAAGACTGAAGTAGCGACATTACACGTGTAGTAACTGTCCACTTACACAACTTCCTCGGTCATTTTCACTTATAACGTCTACTCTCAGATGAGTAAATCTGAAACCACTCCGTTAGACCCCGTACATTAGGCACTCAAACCTGTAACTAACACTATCTTTAAACTTGTTTACTCACAAACTCCCTGACATTATATACTTAAACATGTCCATCATAAAGATCCTTCACATTCTACCCTTAAACCAGTCAACTTATATGTAGAAACAAAACTTTATTTATAACGAAAACTTTATAGCAATTTTTAAAGGTAAGTCAACAGAAGCAACACCCATAAGCTCCAATAAACAATAGAAACAAATTTTAAACATCAGAAGACTGCACTTTGATTTAATATCAATCACTTAATTAAAACAACACACAAGACAAACCAACGTGGACTTTAGCCTTGTAGTAGTATACCTAGAAAGACAATTGAGTCGCCCCGACATTTCACCAAATATAAGAATCATTGAACCCTGCTAAGCTATCATACACAGTATGCCTAAATAAGATGACAAATAATTCAGAATGAGATAAGTCACTTGAAATACATGAGTATTTTTACCAAAGTCATCTCTTACAGCAGATAAGATCATAGATAATTCACTGTAAAAATGCCTGTTCACTTAAATTCCACTAAGTTATGGAAATTTCTGTCATTGGACACAGTAGAAAATCACTAACAACTCCACTAAACTCATTAGTACGAGTGTATAGCTATTTTGCAGGAACTAACTCGGTTTCACACAACTAAACAACCTTCGATATTGTACTTAACGAGCACTTAGTACTCAGGACAGATGATACGTAGTTTGCTGGGTAGGGCAGCTATTGGAAGTAGAGGCATTCCTAATGATAGTAACGGCAGATCAGCTTCTACAGACTGCCGGGGTGTACTTCATACACTGAAACTCTGGGCAGGTTTGTGGGCACAAAGTTCCTGATGGTGGGCGAGTGGTGTTAGCGGACTTGTAAAACGATCATCATTGGTCCAGGCAATCATTTCCACAACCTTATGACGGGAGAAGGGAGAAGCTGCCAGATGTAAGAGTTGGAATACCCCTACTCCAGCTCGGGAAGCCACATGTTTCAAAAATACTGTACGTGACACCTACCTCTTAGGGAGGTCTTCATCATCTCATGTGAAGGTGTTGAATCTTCATCAGGGCATGAGGAATACACAGATTGATCAGGAGTTTTAAATTGCTGAGGAATGACATGGCCAGCCAATGAAAAGTGAGAGTAAATATCTGGATAGTTCATCAACAAAAATGTTGTCTTGACTCCAGATATGAGTTGCTTGTAGATGGCAATCTTGTAGTTGTCAACGATACTTTTATTTCCAAGGTTTGTTCATCAGGTTGGTTCTCGACTGCACGATGCTGGCGATAGACTGACTGTAGCGGAGTAG